CCTAATCCACAACCCCAGTTTCTTTGGGGCCAGTCCTCTTTGAAGTCATTTTCAGGATCATGATCTACGACCTGCTCACGGTGCATCCGAAGGACCCTCCAAAACCCCTTAATTAAGGAATATACCTTAAATTATAATAGGACCCCTTATATGATTTAAGGTATATTCCTTAATTAAGGGGTTTTGGAGGCTCTGGGGACCTACTGTTTTAGTTTGTTCCCACCATCGACCCCTTGCCTCCCACCCCCCCAATCCCTTACCCCTGTACTAACCATCTACACAAACGCCTTTGTTCTTCAAATTCCCAAACGCCTGATTCAGGAGCCTCATTCTAGACGACGGTCTTCGGGGTCTGACTACCGTAATGAAACCCACAGGGAGCACATCCTAATGTCCTAAACCCTAAACCCTAAACCGTGACTATCCTAATCCGGATGCGAGTGTCATCATGGCGGTTCGATGTTCTCGGCCTGGATCTCATAAACATGTCGCGAGCAGGCCTTTGTGTTGCGACGGCAGTGGAGGAGGGCCCAAGCAGCCAAACACAAATTCTTGAGGGTGTTCCGTAGCATGCTACAGGGTTTCTGAGGTTTTCACAACGCTTTACCGTGTTAGTACCTTTCAGTAAAGGAAGATGCAGGTAATTCCGAAGAAACGGACATCTGCACTTACGGGTGGACGTCATATTTCTGGGGTGTGCTCACTCTCTCGGGGCTTTGTAGCTTCGGGGCTTCACCGCTTTAGGGTGGGAAGGTCTACCCTTGGGCCTAAACCCGTTATGGATGCCAAGTTAGGAACACAAATACTGGCTGCCAGCATGTTCCTTTCGGTTCCCTCATGGTTGTTTTGTCTTTGAAATCCCAAAGCTTTCCATCATGACTCCACTTTGTTCGGGGATCAAGGGCTGCGTCGTAACATGCCAATGCGATGTCTCATGCCGCAATGCTTCCTGAGCTCAGGCTTCATGTTACCTTAGTTGCTGTGTTCATAACCCCCCCCAACGTGTACACTAAACCCTAAACCCTAAAGGGTAATACGGTTGATGATATAAATCCTGCATTACCTTAAGGACTCTACACTATGGGAACTATGGTATATTCCTTACTATGGGTAATGCAGGATTTATATCATCAACCGTATTACACCCAAGAAGTGTAAGGTGTATCCACTCAGCTACTAAGTTTCTGGGTTTAGGACCTTAGGATGCCCGGCTCGGGTTGCACAGGATTTGGGGGCGTAGTGGGTCAAGGGTTTAGGGTTTTAGGGTTTAGGGCTTTAGGGGTTTAGGGTTTAAGGTTTAGGGTTAGGGTTTAGGGTTTAGGGTTTATAAGGTTTAGGGGGCATCTTCCTCGTGCTAAACTGAGGCATACCATGTCGTTTGGTTTCCATACACCCGCAGTCCCTGTAGCCAGGGATCAGCTCCTTTAAGGGCTCCTTTAAGGGCTCCTTTAAGGATTGCTCCTTTTAGGGCTCCTTTAAGGATTCCTTTAAGGGTTCCTTTAAGGGCTCCTTTAGGGGCTAATTTAAGGGCTCCTTTAAGGGCTCCTTTACGGGCTAATTTAAGGGTTCCTTCAGGGGCTCCTTTAGGGGCTAATTTAAGGGTTCCTTCAGGGGCTGCCGTATGCAAACCCTAAACTCTATAAGCGCGCACTTCATCAAAGGGCAGTGGGCTCTCTTAGGTCTTGCTAGGTACAGCAAGCCAAAAGTTGGAAAACCCAAGAGCCTCAATCCTTAAGAGCAATTTAACGTATAAGGAATCCCAGCACTAATTGTCCTTGATCCGGTTTCCAACTTTTTGGGGGTTACTTCAGCAGGCCAAGTATGGGACATTTGAAGGCAAAATCCTCTCGATCATTCATTTTGGGCAGACGTTCCCCCTTTTTTTACATGGGCAAATATTTAATATCTACGACAAACTGAAGAGCCATAAGTGTTTGGTGGAGTTTGGGTTGAGGGTCCTGTAGGGCTCAGGGCTTATATGCAACGGCAATGTATGAACAAACAATCAGAAGCTGAAGCTGAAGCTTGCAACCGACTCAACGAGTATTCGGTGGACTTCGCTTCCATCGAACCCGCAAGCTTCGGGACTTCGGGACCTGAATGGTGATGTCTGAAACCCGAAACCCTTAAGCGGCAAACCGCTGAAACTTTCAAGCCGGAGACCCCAAAGCCCCAAACCTTTCCGCCAAAAATACAGAAGCCTCAATAATTACCTATATTATTCAATTCTTCCTGACCCTGCGGGTTCATGTACCCAAATAGTATATATTTTGGGCCCAATGTACCTACATAGGGAGTACTTTAAGGCCAAAGTATATACAATCTGGGTACATGGAACCTTAGAGTTAGGGTTCCTGAAAAAGGGCCTATTCGAATTATGAAGGGCCCCTTCAACAGACACACTCCAGGAGGCTAGGACACCCAGTAACCTAAGAATAAAAAGGCCTCTCTTTTTGGTATTGGGCAACTTTATAAGGAACCTAGGACTACAAAAAGGAAATAAGGGTACTACTGGGCATCCTAGGAGGGCTTAAGAATCGGGCTTTCCCCCAAAGCCTAGGAGCCTGACGACTGAACCCGACTGGACCTTGGATCCCTGCCTTCATGGACAACGTACTATCGGGGCCTTAATTTATAGTTAGAATAAGGTTTTTGGGCCCCTTATGCTGTAATTATGACAGAGGGCTTGCAACCTTCAGGCTTTGGGGGAACTGCTTTATTCACAAAGGGAGTGGGGTCACGGTTTAGGGTTTCGGGTGCAAGCAGACGTTTACCGAGAAACCAGTTTCCGAGTTTCCGGCCACGCGCCGTCAAGGCTCACAAAAGAAGAAGTTGACACAGCTACGTCACTCATGCGCAGGTTGTGATTGTAGGTTCGGGGCTTGCGGTCGCGTGTATGCTGCGTCTTAGACCTGAGAGACATGCATGAGCGTAGACCCACACACTAGTTACACCGTGCAGGGAAAGCAGTGGACCACAAAGTGCTGAATTTACAAGATGTGGCGTCGGATTGGATCTCTGCTTGCTAAGGCATGTGAAGCCGTAAACCGTGCCCAACGTTGCTTCTGGCTTTCTGAGACGGGCAGTCTAGCTCGGTCCGGTACGATCCCCGGTCAACAGGAATGCAGCCAAACCCAAAGCGTAGGGTTTAGGGTGTAGCCCCTAAGGATCCATGTGCCCAGACTTAAAGTACTCCCGATATGTGTACATTGGGCCCAAAGTATATACTATTTGGGTGCATGGACCCTCAGGGTAACATGGTCGGATCGCAAACAACACCGCTGCATGCATAAAGACTCTATCTGGGAGTTTCCGAAAATTATGGGTACCTTATCTTGGGGTCTTCATATTAAGGATCCTACTATTTAGGGTGCTATATTAGGGCCCCCTTTTTTCGGAAACTCCCATCATGCTTCATGTGCACACTCGACTAACAGAGCCAATGGCTGCACTCAAGGGGACATGAATGAAACCCTAAACCCGATGCCTCTACCCTAGGTCCCCTGATCCCTAAACCCTACGCCGAAGCTTGAAGGCCCGAACCTCAACACTGACTAGACTAACCTAACACTGTGGCCATCAATTAATGATCAGACTGGTGACTATAGTCTGTAACTAGTAACTATAAACTAGTGAGTGACTGGTGGCGGCTAGTGTTAGTGACTAGTGACTTGACTAGTCACTGGACTAGTTAGTTTCTAGTGACTAGCAGCAACCGGTCAGCATAGGGACTGGGACCGGGAAGCCGTGACTCCTGACTAGTGACCAGTAAACTTGAATCTAGAAGCTAGTAACTAGAATCGAATTAGAAACAGATCGTCCGACTGTCTGACTGTGGTCTGCCCACCCCCGGCCTCGTCTTGCTGCTCCCCATCCTCGGGCAAGTCTGCCAAGAGCTCGTCCATGAGGGCAGACTTGCGTTGGTCAACAGTAAAAGATTCGTCCACCGGCGAAGGCGTAGGCCCTCCAGTGTAAGCAAGCAGTACCGGATGGAGAAGGTTGTGATGCGCACTCAACAACCCGGTCCACGACACGGCCGCCATCTGCTGGCACCAGCGACTAACCGCAAACTTCGCGAGTTTGGACGGAATGAGTGCCAGTGCGGCGTATTCCCGAAACTTCCGCAAGGTGTCCTCCCTGCTGCTGCAGTCCCTCTTGCCACCCTTCCAAAACGGCTGCACTTCATCATGCAGCCGAAGAATAGAAGCAACAACTTAAGTTGGCAAACAAACATCCTGCCTTGCCGTGGCGCTGCCGTAAGCCATAAACCCCAAGCCCTATCCGACGCCACTCTATACTCTTGAACAATATACGTAGTCTAATTCAGCTTCGTCAATCCTATCTTAGTTGAACTTATCTTGTCTCATTACATACACGAAACATGGTACCCTTAACCCTGAGAGCATTCAACCCACGCAAGGCTTGTCAACAGTGTCTGGATCTAGGTTCCTGAGTAGCCCCATTATAGTACGTGTACCTTCTTTTCCTGCGGTTGATGATATAAATCCTGCATTACCTTCAGGACCCTAAACTATGGGAATTAATTATGGTATATTCCTTATTATGGGTCATGCAGGATTTATACCATCAACCGTCTATTCGGTCTTAAGAAGGGGGGGCCCTAGAAAAAAAAGGGCAAAAGGGTACTGCTCAGGAGGAACCCAGGGATGCGTCCTGAGAGGCCCCTTCAAGCTTGGCAGGCTGGCTAAGAAACTACCGAGGTCCTTACATGGTTTGGGCAAGTATCCCCCCAAATCGATACTTAGGACCCCTTGGCCCAGAGTCTCCAATCTCCCTTAATTCAGGAATATACCTTAAATCATATTAGGGATCCTACTATACTTTAAGGTATATTCCTGGAGTCTCTGGGGGGGACTCCCTAAACCCTAAACCCCAAACCCGAGGTTTAGGGTTGAGGGTTTAGGGTTTACTTAGGACCCTTTGGGAAAAGGTGGATGAACCCTAAACCCTAAACCCTAAACCGGCGAAGATTTTGGGATCTAGCACTCCATCGACGATCCGGCTCCCCCGAAGCCGCCCAGACCGGCGCCGAAGCCACCCATCTGCCTTCGTTGAGACATGAAGAGCTGAGAACAGGCACGATTCCCTAAAAACAAAAAAGTACATACATATATATATATATATACATATGATGTAGATATTATGTATGTATCTCGTAAACCCCAAACCCTAAAGCCCTAAGCCAAGACTCTCAGACCTGAATCTGTGAAGTCTAAATCTCGGCCCTATGCAATTCCGGTCCTTCTTACACTCCAATTGCTACAGACGCTCGTGCCCTACTAGTACGACAACATCTGAGCTGCTTCTTCTGCTCACCAACCGTAACGGACAAACAAGCTCTGTTGCCTACTGACTGACTAACGCACGAACTAACTAACCACCATTGCTGCTGTTGCTGCTACGGCGCTACTGCTACTGTTTCTACGAAGACTCCTACCAGACCTATCCGCCACTGTCACTACCACCACTACCGCCACCACCCCACTCCTGAAATCATAAACAACACTGAGCTCCATGCAGAAACCCTCACAAACACTGCAAGCCTGAAAGCAAGGCCGCCGGGGAGCATGGTCGCTCCGAACCCGCCGCCCATCGGCGCACCACCCATCGGCGCACCGCCCAGTGGGGCGCCACCCATCGGTGCGACACCCATCGGTGTGCCAAACGCGCCTTCGGTTGGGTCATGATTGAACTTTGACCCAAAACGCAAAACTTGAAACTTTACCCTCACATCCAAAACTTGAAACTTTGACCTTAAATACTAAACAACTAAACATGAAGCTTTAACCATGCAATTACACCCTAAACTTCAAGACTGAAACTCAACCCTCGAAGCGATCACAGATGTCCCAAAACGAGCCCATACAGACCCAATACAAACCCTAAGATACAAAGCCCGTTTATACGTAATGAGATCATTAGAATAGGGGTTAAAGGCATATAATGCGTACATCTATCTATCTAACTGTCTATATATATATATATATATATATATACATAAAGACTAGAGTATAGGGACCATAAGATGTCTTATGGGCTATCGGCTTCGTAAGGGCTCCTACATGAGCTCATTAAAACAGAGGCTTCCATACGTTCTTTGCGGTTGCGGTGGGTCTACGAGCTTGGGCTTTCGGTGTATAGGGCAGCAGCTGACACATGAGGCATGAGAGTAGGGTTTAGGGTTTAGGGCCAGTTTAGGGTTTAGGGCTAATGATCCCTTATGAACTGTAATGTGGTCATAAAGGTCGTAAGGCGTAGACGAATAACCGCGTTGCGACTTAATCGCAACTGGGCCTCGCAAAAAACAAAGCCGGAACCAAGCCTGAACACCAAAAATATAAACTCAAATCCTACAAGGCCCTAAACTCCTGCATGCAAAGCCGTATAACCTAAAGCAATAACACCACCACTAGTCTCAATATGTTGCAATTCCAAAACCAGATACCCAATGACGTGACTTTGACCATTCGCTGAACATCACTGAAAAACGGTCGACCTGGCAACAACACACTACTAAACGCCAAACCCTAAACGCAACATGTAGCCCAAACCCCCTCAAGCCCATACAACGTTGTAGAAACCCTTTCACCATGAATCCTGATAAGCAAACTTAAACCCCCCAAGCCCTGTACTACCCCCTCAATCCGTACCCGAAACCCTAATCCTGAACCCTAAACTCTAAACTGGGCCCTACCCATAGGCTCCATGGTAGTTCCTCTTTGGGATTGCCGTATAGGATTCTAAATTTGTGCCCCGAGAAGGAACTACTATGGAGCCTCTAGGTAAACTCTAAACCCCCTAAACCCTAGACCCGAAACCCCCTAAACCCTAAACCCCCTGAACCCTAAACCCCCTAAGCCCTAAACCCCCTAAACCCTAAACCTCCTGAACCCTAAACCTCCTAAACCCTGAACAACCTGCCGCTTTAGGATAATTATGATTTCTTTGTGTAAGTCATTCCGGGTTAAGGCTAAACCCACAGCCGACCTCCTTGTGGGAGTCCGACTCCTCCGGGGCGGATTTCTGGCTCTGGCTGCACCTTGTACCTTGCAGGGAATTCCCAAAGACTCCTAGGGTTCCTTTAAAGGTATCTACAAGGGTTCCTAAAAGGGATCTATATAGGGTTTAGGGTCTAGGGGACGTCAATATCCCTTAATTAAGGAATATACCTCAAACTATAGTAGGAGCCCTAATGCTACTTAAGGTATACTCCTTAATTAAGGGATGTTGGAGTCTCTGGGTTGTTGCAGAGGGACCCTCAGTTTTGTTGCTTTCGGTTCAGCATGGTTCCGCGTTTCGTGTAGTTTTGTTTACAGGGGTCTTGGATGGCTTTTGGGCTGTTACGTTCGGGGTTGCAGCGCATAACGGTTGGGGAACTAGGGATTCGGTGTTCAGGCCTTGCATCAGTTTATCAAGGCATATTTAAGCCTACATGTCGGGCTTCATGGGGAACTAAAGGTTAACCTTTTTGGTTACATAGGGGTTATATAGGGACTATACTACCCAAAAATGGTTAAAGGTTACCTACTCTACTACTAGGTAAGCCACAGGGAAGTCTTATGCCGAGACGCTTGTTGCAGATCTTCAAGTACATGACATGCTCCTGGCCGTTGTACTTGCTCATCAGCTGGTCAATCTCGTTCCTGAATTGCAGCTTTGTGGTTTACTAGGATACCCAGTAACCTAAGAATAAAAAGGCCTCTCTTTTTGGTATTGGGTAACTTGATAAGAAACCTAGGACTACAAAAAGGAAATAAGGGTAGTGGGCCTCTGGAAGCTATGACTACCCACGTGTCCATGTACATGCATAGTATACACTTGGGCCCTCCAGCACTTTCGGGGACCTCCCTCCTTCCCTCCCTGCCTCCCTATTTTGCATACTAATGTCCTGCATAGGTGCATGGACCCAACAATCCTCAACACCTCTGGGAGAGAAAAGTGTTAAGCCATAGGCATTGAACACTCCCCAAACTCTGAACTGAAATCGCCGGCACAGCCGTCCGGGAAAGACCAGACCACCCTGTCTGATCCATCTGAAAACCAATCCGGGCAAGGCTTTGGGGTTACATTGAATCCTTACTCAGAGGCTCCATAGTAGTTCCGTTTTGGGATTACCTTATAGGATTCTAAATACGAAGCCCCAAAAAGAACTACTTGGAGGGTGCTGCGATAAACGTCCCCACCTCCCACAAAGCAGGAAAGCTTCAGCTTGCTGGGATTGTGCTGCTGGTAGATCCGGATCATGCGCTCCCGGTATGCCTCCAGCGAGGGCTCTGCCACAGGCTTATGCAACAGTGAAACTGCAAGTGGCTCTTGGCCTTCAGATGCTGATCCTGACGAGCTTTTGGCGGTTTCTATGGTTGGCTAAGGCTCGTGTTGATGCTTGCGCAGCTTCCGCCGGTTCTCAGTCGCGCTTGGAGTCTTCATTTGGTGATGGTGGGGTACTTTTCTTTTGGAACCTTATGGCCTTATGGTTGGCATTTTGACAGGAAGGTGAGCGCGTAGCATCATACCGCTTGACAAAATTGTCCGAAGAGCCGTGTGATCAAAAACCTCTATTGAGTTGCTACAGTATAGGCTTTGAAAGGGCCCATTTCCTTCATAAAAAAATATATATATATATATATATATATATATATATATCCCTACCTTAAGCCCGAACAACACACCTTTTAAAAACTTGTATAAGGAGTTCATGATAATGACCCCTAAAAAGGTAGTTTTCTAAGGGCTTCCCGCACATGTAGCGCGTAGGGTTTAAACGTCCTCGGCAAACGTCAAGAGCTTCGGGAACCCCTCTCCAGGACCCCTTACCCCTTGACCACTGGAACCACCAACACCAGTCAAAAACCCTTCTCCACTGCTCTGGCCTACGTCAAAGACTGACCAGCTTCGGCTATGGTCCCTAAATCACCCCCAGCAACCGAGGACCCAACCGAACTACCAGAAGAGAACGTGTCAGATTCTACCGGCTCTACCACGCTAAGCTGAGGCACCACAAGCTCTTCGGACTCTACCGCACTAAGCTGAAGCACCGCAAGCTCTTCGGACTCTACCGCACTAAGCTGAAGCACCGCAAGCTCTTCGGACTATACCGCACTAAGCTGTTTCATCGCAAGCTCTTCGGACTCTACCGCACTAAGCTGAGGCATCGCAAGCTCTTCCGACTCTACCGCACTAAGCTGAGGCATAGCAAGCTCTTCCGAATCACCATGGCAGGGCTGCGTCATGAAGCAACGCACACTGTAACTACTCTTATCCCCAATTTGGCGCAAATTCAACCCCGGATATGCCCATAAACCGTATTTATAGACCTCTGAACCCTAGACCACTCAACCACAAAACCCTTACCCTAAGGGTCCAAAGGACCCAGTAATTAGGTACTTAGGTTTCGGATAGTAGTTATGTAGGATACCATTTTGGAGAGTATATGATAATTATAGGTACTTGGACCCGTAGCATTAGAGCCCTAAACCCAGAGAGCTCATTCAGATGTGAGGGAACGGCCTGCTTCACGTCCATGGCACCGCCAGCTGCAGCTTGCGAGAACAGGCCGCCTGAGAGTTGGCCGAAACGGTTTAGGGCTCAGGAGGGTTCTACGGTTTAGGGCTTCGGGATTTTAGGGTTCAGGGTTTTAGGGTTCCAGGGTTTAGAGTTTTGGGGTTCTAAGGCTTAGGGTTTCGGGTTTTAGGGTTTTGGGGTGTAGTTTTGGGATTTAGGGTGCTAGGGTTTGAGAATATAGGGGTTACGAAGTGTCCAGGAAACACCCTAGCCTGCCCTTGTAAAGGGTTTAGAACTCAGGGTTTAGGGTTTGAGGGTTCCGGGTTTGTAGAGTTTGAGGCCAGGGTAAGGGCTGTTGGGGTACATGGTTTAGAGCTCAGGGTGCTCCTTGAGAAGTTTAAGGGTCTACCTATAGTCTCCATTGTAGTTCCTTTTTTTGGTCAACCAAAATCTCTATTATAGGATCCTAACCATAAAACGGTTTAGGGTTTTAGGGTTTCAGGGTTCTAGGGTTTTAGGGGTTTAGGGTTTAGGGTTTTAGGGTTAACAAAAAGAGGAACTACAATGGAGACTGCAGGTGGAGTCTGAAGTTTAGTGCCTAACGGCTCTATATGGGTGGTTTGGGAGGTCGAGGTCAGCATGGGCTTTTCAGCAAGACTGTCGGGCAGTACCGTACCATTTACCCGTCTTGTACCAGCAGCAACCACACCACACCGAACCGAACCCCCACCCTGCAACCCCACACCCAAACACCCGTACACCCCGGCTTCCCTCCCCCGCCCCCCTGCACCCCAAACCTACACCCTCGCAACCCTCAACCTGGGGGTCCTTGCAGAGTTCCCTGTCGGGTTTTTAGGGCTTGCTATGAAGACGAGGGGCCCGAGCCCCCGCCGCCAAAGGGAGCCGCAGCACCGCCGCCGAACAGCCCTCCTCCTCGGTTTAGTGCTTAGGGTTTAGGGCTGAGGGATGCAATGCGGAGCCAAACCCAAGGGCTTGGGTTTCAAGTCTAACCCCCAGCTACCACATAGTTTTGTCACAGAATGGGTAGATGTCTAAATCTCGATCCCCTGGTGTTCTTTCTGTAAGGGTGTCGTGCTGTTTTTGGAACCTAAGACGGGACGCTGGTTTAGAGAACAACTCATATCCCTGGTTGCCCCAGAGAACGAAGGACGGCGTTGCTTCTAAACTACCCCTAAAGGTCTTAAGCCTACATCGTCGAAAGTAGGGTTTCTATAGTAAAAGCTACTATTACTTAGGGTTTCGGTAAGTATTTCCCATCAGGGTTCCTCTAGTTGTGACTATAAGGGCTACTTTAAGGGTTCCTTTATAGGTGCTTGGGACCCTTTTTGAGTACAACTGTCCGGAAAGACCTCGTCGCCATGCCATGAGGTCCGATGCCACCTACAAGCATCACAGGCCCTGAGTCGGTTGCATCGTTTCAATTGAGGGGGCTTAGGGCGTTTTTTTTTTTTTTTTTAAGGGCTCCTTTTCGATCTGCAGATGCCTCTCGAAAGCCCGTTTGGGCGAGCTGATTGCCTTAGGGCGGTTTAGGGTTTGGGGTTTAGGGGCTTAGGGGCTTATAGGGGCTTAGGGGCTTATAGGGGCTTAGGGGCTTAAGGGTTTAGGGTTTAGGGCTTAGGGGCTTAAGGGCTTAGGGGTCCCATATTTCAGATTTCCTTGGAATAAGGATCCGACTATTGATAGTCCAACACTAGAGTTCCCGGCACCATGAGGACATGCATGGGTTCTGAAAACTGACATGGACCTCTGGGATCATAGGGCGTGATATGGATCCTCATAGCCATGGACTTCTCTAAGGGTCCATGTACCCCTTCAAGGGTTGGCTTGGGGATTGTTGAGGCTTCCTTGTCGGGTTTGGGTCCGTAAGTTTTTTTAGGGCTTACCTATGACAACGAGGGCGCCTGAGGCGGCACCGCCAAAGGGAGATGCCGAAGCACCGCCGCCGAACATCCCTCCTCCTGTCGCGCAATGCAGACCCTTATCTAGCTCTTGTTGCTGAATACTCGAACCACAAACCCAAGATATGATCTAAGGCTTTCGGGGGTCGGGGTTGACGAAAGATAACCTTTTTCGCATTTCTAAGGGGACGTGTTCCTGATTGCCACCGAGCCACAGTAAGTAGCAAATCCCAAACCCTAGGCAGATGCTCTAGCAGCAGCAGCAGCAGCAGCAACAGCAACAGCAACAGCAGCAGCAGCAGTACTACCACCACCACGACTGCCCCACCGCCGCCGCCACCGCCACCGCCACCGCCACACCCACAACCACCAGCACCAGCACCAACGTCGTCGCGGGTGGCCGTTGTTATGATGGGGGTTGTGTCTTGGATAGCTGGAGTAGGTATTTGGCGGGCGAGCTCGCTGCTAGCTAGAGCTCCTGACCCACTCAACATTTTGAAGTTTTCATGCTTGCTAGTGAGGTTGTGGTAGTCCGCCGTTGTTGTGAGGGTCTTTGTGCTATGAATAGCAGGTAGTAGATAGCTGGGTAGGTATTCAGCTTGCGAGCCGAGTCGTGGCTAAAGCTGCTGGACCACTCGAGATAATGAGTTCGCATACGACCTAACGAAGTTGTAGTATCTTTGAAAAGTAGGACTAACTATATCACTATATCGTAACACGAGTTGCTGTGAAAGGTGTTGTTGTTGTTGTGTACGGTGCTCGTAGTAGGTAGCGTCCCTCTGGTAAGTATACAAGAACATAACTTCCAAGCCCTTTCCTAACTGTTACAGGGAACTCCAGAAAGTTGGAATATGGTTTCATGGTAGGATCCCCTATAATTTACCTTAAAGGGGTTACGATAATCATATTCCAACTTTCTGGCTTCTACTGTAAGGCCCTACCCTAAGGGCCCCATCCTAGTTCCTTTTTGGGGTTCATAGTGAGAATCTTATGAGGAAATCCAGAAAAAAACTTACGAAGGGGCCTTAGGGCCTTAGGGTAGCTTTGATCCCGCCCCCAAACCCCAAACCCAAAAGAACCCTTATAGGAACCTTATAGATCCCTTTAACGGAGCCCTTTAGCCCAAACCCTAAACCCTCAAAACCCTCAATACCCTCAAAACCCTCAACCCTAAACCCCATATCTCTTCGGATTCCTGAGCTTGCGCCGAAAGGAGAAGCTGCAGCACCACCGCCAAAGAGACCTCCTGCCATGCCCAAACAATTCCTGCAGTGAACCCCATAAAGTTGGAAACCGGATTAAGGCCAAATAGTGCTGGGATTCCCTCTACATTGCCCTTAAGGATTGAGGCTACAGGGTTTCCAACTTTTGGGCTTCTACTGTAGGTACCAAGAGAGCCCAATACCCCTTAATTAAGGAATATGGCTTAACGATTATGATTTCAGCCATATTCCTCAAATAAGGGTATTGGGCTCTCTGGGTACTGTTATGGGGAATACTTCCCCAAATCATAGCGGTAATTCCTACAATAGAAACCCTACATTAGGTGCTTTGGACCCTTTGAGATGGGAAGGATTGCCAAACAGTTCGGAAGGACTTGTTATGCGGGCTACGATGAGAGTTCAAGCATATTAATTAGACAGTATTACAGCGTTAGGATTAACGTGTTCAGGGTTTAACCTCTCATTGAAGTGCAGTTGAGCACACTGCCCTGGGGATCAAAACAGCCCAAAAGCCTTGTATTGTGTGGTCGTTGGGCCCAAAAGCCTTAATATATCAGTCCTTAGATCCCAGAGATTCCAATATCCCTTAATTAAGGAATATACCTTAAATTATAGTAGGATCCCTAATATGATTTAAGGAATATTCCTTAACTAAGGGATGTTGGAGTCTCTGGGATCCCCAGGGCTGCTGGATGCCGACTGCGGTTTGGGCTCAGGGTGTGGTGCTCCGGGCTTCGCGGCGTGGGCCTTGGCTGGGATGAAGGCACTACCCAAAGGCCCCAAAGTAGTTCCTTTTTGGGGTTCATATATAGAATCCTATAAGGTACTCCCAAAAGGAACTACTTTGGGGCCTCTGAGTTGTGACTTACTGGTTATTTTTATGGAGCTCCATCATTGGGAACTGGAGCAAACAGCATGGCTGCCTCATTATAGTAGCGTAAGTTAAGTTCCGTCTTTCCACGAACCCAGAACACGTCCAGGACGAGGCTTCTTGAGACATGTATACGGCCCGCAGGATAATCATTGCAAGATCATCCTCAAGCCCCAAGGGCGGAATAGCGGTCACATTTCCTGCATCTTCGCTACCACAAGCCCCTCTGTTGCATCTGACTTGAAGAAAACCCCCCATGTATGTCTAAACAATACCCACGGAGAGACTTGTTGTTCTTCGGAGGAAAGAGATCGACAACCCCACAGTTGCCAGCACTTCAAGTTACCCGAGAGCCTGCACTTGCACCGCCACCGAAGGGCGATGCCGAAGCCCCACCGCCAAACATGCCGCCTGCCAGTCAAGTGCTCTCATCGGCTGCACTTTGGGGGACGGCATTGTTGCGTAGATCCTAGGGCTGCGGCATGTGCAGTTGCGGCAACCATCACCAACAGCATCATCATCATCAACAACAACACATTGACCTAAACTTTTGAACCCCTAAACTCTAAACCCTACATCCTAAACCCTAAACCCCTAAACCCTAAATCCTAACCCCTAAACTCCAAAACCCCAAACCCTAAACCTCCAAACCCTAAACCCCTAAACCCCTGAACCCCAAAGCCCCAAAACTCTAAACCCCTAGACTCTAAACTAAACTGGCCCTAAACTCCTTAAGCTCTAGCCTCCAGAGCCCCTTTAAGGCAAAAGCCAGAAAGTTGGAATATGATTATCCTAACCCTGCTATGGTAAATTATCGGGTATCCTACCATGAAACCATATTCCAACTTTCTGGAGTTCCCTGTAACCCTAAACTAAGCACCGCGGTTCGCCGCCCGAGCTCTGAGGCGCGCCGAAGGACGAGGGAGCGCCGCCACCGAAGAGCCCTGGAGGTTGCCCAAAGACTCCAATATCCCTTTAATTAAGGAAATACCTAGGGTTCCTTTAAGGGATCCTATAAGGGATCTAGAGGGTTTAGGGTTTATTTGACTCCAATATCCCTTTAATTAAGGAGTATACCTTAAATCATATAAGTGATCCTACCATAATTTAAGGAGGGTTCCTTTAAGGGTCCTGAGCGGCGTCTTGCAGAGGTGTAGGGGGAATGCTTTAGGATCTAGGGTTTATAGGGTTTATAGGGTTTATAGGGTTTATAGGGTTTAGGATTTAGGGTTTTCGGGTTGAGCTGCGTCTTGCAGAGGTTGGGGGGGTGTATGACTACCATTACAAGGGTACCTTACAAGGGTGCTACTGTGGGGGTTTGGGGGTTGGTTTAGGGGGATTGGGGTTTAAGGTTTAGGGTTTAGAGGGAATGGGTGTAGATTTTAGGGTTTAGGGCTATAGGGTTTAGGGTTTTAGGGTTTTAGGGTGTTGGTTTAGGGTTTAGGGTTTAGGATTTAGGGTTTAGAGGGTTTGGTGTAGGGCTTAGGGATGAGATTGTGGGGCGTCTTGCAGAGGTTGGGGAATAAGAGCACCTTATAAGGGTGCTACTATAGGGCTTTGGGGTTCCTTTAAGGGTCCTGAGCGGCGTCTTGCATAGGTTTAGGGGATTGGGGCTTAAGGTTCAGGGTTTAGGGGGATTGGGTTTAGGTTTTAGGGTTTAGGGCTATAGGGTTTAGGGTTTTGGGGGGATTTGGTTTAGGGTTTAGGGCGTAGGGTTTTGTGTAGGGTTTAGGGTTTAGAAGACATAGGTTTTGCGGGTTTAGGGTTCAGGGGTTTACCCAGAGGCTCCATAGTAGTTTCTTTTTGGGATTACGTTCTAGAATTCCAAAAATGAACCCCCTAAAAGGAACTACGATGGAGCCTTAGGGTAGGTTTCTTTTGAGAACATAGGTTCCAGGTTCTTTAAAAGACCTAAACGTATGGACCTATAGGTTCTAAAAGACCAATGAGGGCGTGTGGGGTTTAGAAGTTTAGGGCGTGCGGCTTGGGGTTCAGGCTTTGACATTGGAAGATTAATGTTCGGGGTGCAGGTTCAGAGTTGGAGTTTAGGTGTTCGGCTTTTTGGATTTCTTATGTAAGTCTAGGTCTTGGGGCCTTCGTTGAGAGATTCGGAGAAACCCATGAACCCCAGACCCTGCGAACAGGCAGTGTCCTGAACTTGCCGCACCGCCGAAAGGCGCCGCTCCAGCACCGCCACCAAACAGGCCGCCTTCAGCACAAAGGTTCGGATGTTGCTGCTTGCTGGTTCGCTTGATTCCCAAAGGGTCCAAGTATCACTATGGTATTTACTTGTAGGGTATTTTGGGGGTCTGAGTCTAAGTATATACCATAATAATACCTGGACCCTTTTGGCTTGTGAAGTGGTTGAAGGTTAAGGAGTTTTTGGGGTTTGGATGGGTGAGGTTTACAAGTTTGCGGTTGGGGCATTAGGATTTTGGACTGTTTGAGCTGGTAGGGCCTTGGAGGTGTATATAAGAGAACTTGCGTTATAGGATACTTACATCGTGTACATTGACCTTTCGTATTGTATATTTATTTAGGTACAGGTTAGTAGTGAGGATTCTAGCATTCTTCTGAGCTTGTCGTTTTACACATTTAGAGCTCTGTAGGGTTCATGGGGCTGTTCGAACTCGGTTCTTTGGGTTCATCCGGGTCGTGGTGTTGAGGATCATAAGAAGGATCCCCACCCCCTACAGTCGGGTGCCAGTTTTAGGGCTTCCCGTCTTAGATAGGACTCAAGGTCTACAGCTTTGTGACCCTAACGGTCCAAGTAATCCTTATTAATTGGTTTTTGGTACCCCAGAATGGGCCCAAGGACTTATAATAGTGAGTACTTGGACCCTTAGGGTGAGTTCACGAAACCTGAATCCAGAATCGGCCACCCAAAACATCAGTATGTAATCGAGCCAACAGAGGTACAGCACAACAGGCGACAACTAGTCGAACACCTACGTTCCCTACATTAAACACTTCGAAACACCACTTCACGCACTCTAGATTCTTGCCCTCAAAGCATGTCCTAGGTTTCCACAACTCGATGCCCGAAAGCCTCACCACAGAAAACCCCGAGACGGCAGAGCCTAAAACTAAAACCACCAGCATAACACTTGAGGCCTGAACCACAAACCCTAAACCCTAGTCAAGCCCCAAACCCAAAGCCCTAAACTTAAACCCTCGAGCCCAAAGACCCTAAATCCCAACCCCTACACTCCAAAACCCCAGAACCCATAGCCCCTAAACCCTTAGCCCTAAAACCCTGAAACCCCTAAAATCCTAAACCCCCCAAGCCCCAAAGCCCCTAAACCCTAACCCCAAAACCCTAAAACCCCTAAGCCCAAAGTCCGAAGCCCAGGCCTCCTGTGCTGCCGAGGCCGGGAGACAGCGCGCCAGCGCCCTGAGAGATCTCCGGCTCGGGTTGCCTAGGAGCTGAGACTTCAAGCTTCTCGTAGGGTTCAGGGTTTAGCGTTGAGGGTTCAGGGTTTCAGGTTTAGGCGTCTGGTCTTAGGCTTCAGGGGACTTTGGGGCCGAGGGCTTTTGAGGTAGATGTTGGGGCTATACCTTGTTAGATGACTCTCTTGGGCAACTTAGTCCTTGCGGTGGTCAGCCTGGAGGTTGTATCGTTTGTATAGGACTGTAAGGGTCCATGTCCTCATGTAGTATATGGTTTGGGCCTCAAAGTAGTCCCTGCATGGGTACTTTGGGCTTCAAGCAAATAGTACTTGGGTAAACAGACCCTTCGGGGAGAGGCATGAAACAATGGCTGTAGTTGCCAGTTTCACACTGGTGGGGAGGCACTCCGTGCGTGGAGTGCGCGGCTTAATGCCAAAAAACTTGACACTGCCAGGCGATATGTAAGTCCATGTAATTGAACCTAAGCCCTAAACCCTGAATTCTGTGCATCAAAGTCTAACTGCGAAGGGTGGCAGATCGGGGGCCGGTCCCTGGTGAAGACGGGCAAGGCTAGCACAGCCGGGTCATGATTAGGTGAGTCGAGGGCGAGGGTCCTTACAAAATGGTCACCGGTTCCGGTTTGGGGTTCAGGGTTTAGGGCTCACACCAAAAATGTAAATCCCTCCAAAACCAGGTCCAGTCCTCAAACATGGTATGAAATACATTCAAGTATATACCTGCACAAAGCCTCCTAAGACCCTCCACCGGAAATCCTTCAAATGCCCAGTGGCACGTTGTACTTCTTGCCTGGGATACCCCGGGTGGAGCTTTCAAAGGTTTAGGGTTTAGGGTTCAGGCTTCAAAGCTTCTCATGCTCGGGGTGTGGGGTGTAGGCTTACAATGGCGGGTAAAATTCGTCTTTGTGAGCACTGCTGCGCTTTTCTTGGATCAGGAGGATCAATACCAAGGCCATCCGATGCATGCACGATCTACTACCTCAAAACACCATGGAGAACTATGACTCACTTGTTATTACATACGAGCAAAATGTACGTGTATGCATGTATATATGTATGTACGAGTGTAGAAGTATATAAGTACATATATATATATATACACACAATATGTATGTATACATGTAGGTGTATACATGTATATACACACCATACCATACACACATACCAAATCAGCAGGGAAACCTTTACGCACTGAGTTCTAGATGCGAACGCCGTGCAAGGAAGTGCATGCATGGGCCGAGAGGCAGATCTTGAGGTACATGGTGTGCTCCTGGCCGACATACTTTCCCATCAGGACATCGATCTCGCCCCTTAGCAGCATCAACATCTGCAACCCCAAACCATCCAATCCTACCTCAAAAACCCTCAAGAACGCGGAAGAGCAGCTCCACGCAGAAATTCTGGCTCAGGGTCACGTGGCTCAGGCTTAGGGACTATCCATTCGGTTACTTGCCCAAACGCTCCATGTACCTTTTTGGTAGATACTTAATCCTAAAAGAGGTCCCTATATGGATACTTTAAGGCCTAAGTATATACTATATGGGTACATGGAGCCTTAGGGTTATGGCTTGAAAGGCTTTTGGGCGAGGGCGAAGGGGGGGGGTAGAGAGTAATTGCGGAGACTCTACGGGTTTGGGATGCCGGGATCAAGGCAACTGGGAGTTTCCGAAAAGTAGGGGTACCTTTTTCGAGGGTCCTCATAACAAGGGTCCTACTATTTAGGGTAAGGATCCTACGATTTATTTATGGTACTATATTAGGGTCCCCTATTTTCGGAAACTCCCAATTAAGGCAATGTGGGTGGTAAGTGTCGGATGCGGAGGACCTATAGTAAGCCTTTTTAAGTTGGAAACCGGATCAAGGCCAAACAGAGCTGGGATTCCCTATACGTTACTCTTAAGGATTGAAGCTATTGGCTTTCCAACTTTTGGGCTTGTACTGCAAACGGGCAAGCTTCAACGGGCCCATCAGATACAGGGATGGCTAAGCAAACACTGTGGGGGCCATGTGAATTGCAGAAACACACATCCGAGACAAACGCAAGAACGTGGTCAACAACTCATGATACCCTACCCATTCTCTCCTAGGCAGGCTGTACAATGGGTAAGAAGTGCCTCGCGACAGCGAAAGGAATTATGGAAGCTAACCATCAAGACGCCGCCATGTGTCACCTTGCTGGGATTGTGCTGCTGGTAAATCTTGATCATTCGTTCCCGGTAGGCCTCGTCAGGGGGAGCAGTGCCAAACTTGGGATGCGTAAACTCTGAACGGCAAGTCCTAGCCCCTAGCGTCTGATCAAACTATGCCCTCGCACACAGCCAGGCACTACGGCTGATGATCTAAATCTTTCCTTACCCATAAAAGGAATATACCAGCATTCCCATAGCTTAAGGTCAGGTCCTTAAGGCATTGCAGCATTTGCATCATCAACCGTCGTATTCTCCTCTCCTGTTAAGCCCCCAGTCGGCAACACCTACCTCGGGGTCCAATCTCCTGATGCCGACAAAAAATAGCCTATTAGGCCTCTCCTTGTACTCTGAGTGAGTATGGTCCCTACTAGTCTAACTAAAGTAGAAGCCCTAAAGATGGCAACCCAATAGCCCCAACCCTTAAGAGTAACATATAGGGAATCCCAGCAATATTTCGCCTTCACTTAATGAACACCTACTTCGGGGTAATACTTCGGGGTAAGATAGCGGCGGCCTTGTAATAATCAGAATAGGTTGGGGACCATATTATACATCACATAAATCTACAGCGACAAAACAGAGAAAATAACACTACTTTTTCATGCTTCTATACTAATTACTGGTTTCTGTGCCGACAAAGCCGAAAAAGGATGCCCTGGAAGGGAGCCTGCTGTAGAATAAGGCTATTTACGGGTTCTACAGTGTGCAAAATGATATACACCCTAACAACTCCAAGCCCATTGAAAACACCATGAACAGCCGAACAAAAACAAAACACCTAGCTAATCCCTTCGCCCCAGTGAACCCTAAACCCTAAACCAAACACCCTAAGTCCTTAAACCCTACACCCTAAACCCTAAAACCGAATCCTAGATCCTTCTCCCCACCTGCTTCACATCGACCTGGCCAGGTGCAGCCGCGGCAGGGCCACCAAAGAGACCAGCACCTTGGGTTTAGGGTCTTTTTTGTTTAAGTGTAATGCACCTAGGGTCTGGGGGTTACGGTGCCGAGAGGGTGGGTTTAGGGATTACGGCTTCTAGGGGGTTTAGGGGTTTATAACGTTTGGGGATTACAGGTTTTAGGGTTTAGGATTCAGGGTTTAGGGGTTTAGGGTTTAGACTCTGGGGATTACGAGTTCAGGGTTTAGGGCCTGGGAGAGAGCACGGTCGTTGTTGCGGCTTTACGGCTACTTTACCGGAGACTGCACGGCATGAAATAAAGCCTGCCGTAGGTCTTTTGTAAAGTGTGGGGTTGAAGGCCAAGTCTGTTTTAGATTTCGTTGAGACTTCGTTTAAGGAAGCCGTGATGAAGGTGCTGGACCTATTGGAGTGGGTGTAGGAGTGAAGATTCAGCATGGCATTCAGGAATTTGCATTGAGGACCCAGGGTTTAAAACGTACCGTTTAGAAGGGGCCCCCACCCTGTAATAGTGGTATAACAAGAATATAATAGGGCCCTAAAAACATCCTTATAGTCACTATTACTGGGCGGTGCAGCTTCTACCGTACCGTGTTCAGGCTCAAAGCTTAGGGCTTGCTCGTGAGTCGGGTTTTGCAAAAAAAAACTCGGCTACCGTACCGCTCTGCGGGCGTCAGTAGTACTACGGCTAGTGAGGCTAGTGCTGATACTGCTTGTCTTATGACTTATGACTGTTGTCGAATGTCGTACGGTGCGGCAGCAGCAACATTTCAACCGCAAGCAGAAGAAAAAACACGACTAATAATAAGAATAGGACTGAGACGAATAACAAGCAAAAAACAAAAAGAACCAGCAAGAGACGACGACCAGCACCACCAGAGCAGCGCGAGACCAGTGCCAGCCCAGCACCACCAAAATACGGCAGCAAAACATGCACCACCAACACACGCGCACACACACACACGCACACGCACACGTGCGCGCACGCAGCAGACGCACAACGCACAACCACGAACGAAAACGAAGAAAGCGACCAAGGCAGACGAGATTGCTGAGACAACATCACCTACACGACGACAGTGGTGCAAGTGGCACCGACCGCCATTGCCTTTCATAGCAATCCTCAGAAAACCTTTTCAGAACTCTTCCAGAACCCGCTTACAGCCCTGCTATTGCTCCTATATTCTTGGCTGACGGAGGCAATTGAGACAATTGGGATCAGTTCCACAGACCCTGAGGCTCAAGTCTCTGTTGGAATCTACCAAGACCCTGAACGAATAGTGTACTTGCTGATTGCTTTGGGGCTTTCAACGGCTCATACTAATCTTAATACTGATATTAATATGCATATACATATTAATATTAATGTGAATAGTAATATAAATAAATAGATGGACTAAATAAACAAATAAATAAATAAGTATATATATATATATATGTATATATATATATATATCCATGTACCGAGGAGGACACTGGAGCCAACATAAGCCTGGTAAATAATCAAGCTTTGATGCATAAACGTGGACCCCGATTCAGGGAATCACCCCAGAAAAAAAAACAAAACAAAACTTAGAGCAGCCCCTACAGGAACCCTTAAAGCAGCCCTTAAAGGGAACCTTACAGCGCGAAGGGTTTCCAGGAAAATCAAAACAGCTCAGTGGACTCCAAGAAGCTCAGTCAGAGCTAAAACACCCAGGAAACCAGGTTTTGGGTTTACCCTAAGGCCCCGTGGTACGGTTGATGATATAAATCCTGCATTGCCTTGAGGACTTTAAACTATGGGAATTGTGGTATATTCCGTATTATGGGTATTGCAGGATTTATATCATCAACCGTAGTTCCTTTTTGGGGGTACCCTATAGGATTCTAAATGTGAACCACAAAACGCAACTACGATGGGGCCTTAGGACAGGGAATGGAAGGTGTCATGCAACTTGTTACAAGGCGAAACCGAAGGTTCAACCATCAAGAGGCTGTGCTGAAGATCCATCTAAGTCTGCAGCAACGGGGAAATTGAGGAAGCCGCCCATGGAAAAGAAGACCCTTTGATTGCTCATGACATTACTTGGCTGACTTCTGAACCCCTCCTAAAAGTAAAACGTTTAGCCTCCCTACTAGGGTTCATATAGAAACCCAAAAAGTTAAAGTCCGAAGAGCCAACCAGAAGAACGTCAAGATTACAACGACGATTAGAAAGACACACTCGTCTAGGCCCCGGGCCCCCGCTGGGCGCGCCGGCAGTCGGGCCGCCGAGGAAGGATCCACCAAGAGCACCTACCACGCGTTTGAAGTTCCGAAGTGATACCCGAATGAGAAAGGGTCTTAGCAAGTAGAGTCATAAGCACCCTACATGACTGAGACATCCGGCGTGCAACTCTACTTAAAACCTACATAAATACTAAGTGCCCTGATCCTCTAAGTAGATCTCTGTACACGGCCCGGGTGAATGCCTCAGGGCCCTGAAAGCCTGAGCGCCAAACCCTAAACAGCCCTGAAGACCTAGGAATCTCACACCTCTTAAGGCGCGAAGGCCTTGGAAGCGCAAGGACCTTCCTTGGGTTTATTAGGGAGTTTGGGTCTTCAGGCTTAAAGGCCTGAAAGGTCTGTGCGGTCTGCATAGGGTTTGGGTTTACAGGATCTAGCGTTTAGGGTCGCCAAAACCATGGTCCACAATGCGTCATGATGATGCAGGACTCAGGCAACTGCAAATGCAATGCAAACCCTAAACCTTTAAACCCTAAACCGTGCATCAAAAACCCAATCGGAGCAGTCCTCCATTCTTGTGATGTCATTGAGTGGAGTCCCTCTTCTAAGACTAACCGGGGACCGATTGGAGGTGTTGGAGGCTGTAGTTTAGGGAATTTAGGGTGCTGCATCAATGAGAGCTTCTAGGAGGGCTTGATCCAAAATCCTACCGTGTTGAAGGGGTTTAGGGTTTAGAGGGGTGAGTTGCAAAATCAGGGCATTCCCTAAGGCTCCATGTACCCATAGAGTGTATACTTAGGCCTCAAAGGGGTGCCTGTACAGGTACTTTGAGGCCTAAGTATACACTACATGCCTACATGGAGCCTTAGGGATTCACTTCCTATCTTGTATTAGGTTTAAATTCGCGTTTTTGGTGCCAACAACGGCATTACGCGGAAGGCGCGGACCGTTCGGACCTCTGATGCCTCACAGTCACAGTCACAGCCTATCTTGTATGCTTCGGCGGGTGAGGTCAGCTCTGGGTTGCTCAAAGGGAAATCTGGAAAACAGCCATCTACAGGGAACTCCAGAAAGTTGGAATATGGTTTCAGGGTAGGATCCCCTATAATTTACCTTATAGGGGTTAGGATAATGATATTCCAACTTTCTGGCTTCTACTGTAGATCTATCTGCATACAACCCGATGGAAACCCCTGTACCACCCGTCTAGAATCCTAAAGTAATCGTAAAGTCTGAAACCACTACAGGCCCTATAAACCCTAACCGTCCGTTTCCCTGAGTCGCCAGACGCTTTTAGAGAGGTTATATATTTTGAATAGGGCTTTGGGGTATACTATACTATGACTACAATGAGGAACCCCCAAAGTAGTAAACTATGACCTTCAGAAGGACTCTGCAGCCTCCACTGCTGGCTTGTCCGAATAAGGAGGAGCTGCTGCTGGCCCCTCCTCACGCGCTGTGCGCTTTAGTCCGTGAGACCAAAATCTGAACCCTCCCTAAGGCTCCATGTGCCCATATAGTATATACTTAGGCCTTAGAGAACCCATATAGGGACCCCTTTAAGGCTGAAGTATCTACTATAAAGGTACATGGAGCCTTTGGGCCCATGACACTAAAAACGCCAAGCTCTCAACCCTAAACCTTAAGGCAATCAGAGGTCCCAAACAACTACACAGGGAGGTATTTGCAGCTGACTGAAGCTCACAAACTCCTACCAAACCCCGACCTGCAGCCACAGATACTTTCCGGTCAAGGGCATCTATAAGGACATCATAAAAACTATCTTAACATAGGCATGATAATGGTACAAAATATGATCATAGGGGGGAGCCCTGAGTACGGGAGGAGTTGTTGGTTGGTCTACACGCAGATCCTAAGCCCGACAGTTGGGGCCTCTGGGTGTTGATCGTTTTAATGTGGCCTTGAGCGATATTTTGGACAAAGAGAAATGGAAGCTCGTCTTACTATATACTTGTTGAAGCTGCATGGACGAATTCGACGAGATCCTACCCAGGGTCTGACGGTACCAACCGAACAGAAATTAGGACAGGGTTTTTGAACATATGTGATGTGTACGACTATACATGGACAAGAGTGGAGATCATGACTAATTGTTTAGACCCATATGAATTGCCACTTCCGGGCTCTTTCCTTTCAGGGTTTACAGTTTAGGGTTTGGGGCTTAGGGTTTAGGATCCTGGACCCTCGACCCACTTAAGACCAACAATTAATACGAAGTATATACAAGTAGGGTTTGCCGTGCACACAATTTCCGAGCTCTTTCGGCTAGAACTCATTCCAAACCTTCTTCCCTACACCTAACATGTCGCTCGAAGCTCTGAAAGAATCTTCTGGACATCGCAGCTGAACCCGCACAAGAAGCCCGACGCCCAAACCCAAATTGGCAGCTTGCTTCCTCCGAACAGTGAGCCACCGCTGCTGGCGCCACCTCATTTGCAAAAAGCTTGCTTTCGGCCAAAGTGGGGGGCTTGGCTTACTACCTCCAAAGACCCTGTCTGCCTGTCTGCAAGCACGCTTGATGACATTGGGCATTGATGATGGAGGGCATCTAATTTTGTTCGTGTGAACATTCCGAAACTCAGAAACGACTGGCATTGCTGTTGAATTTCCCTTCCAAGCCGTGCTTAGTCTTTCACTGTGTCAGTATATACTCGTCGTGGCGGTGGTCGTCGCTCGTGATAGTCGTGGTCGCGGTCGCTGTCGTCATCGCCGTCGCTATCAAACTGAAGCATGCAAACAGGGTTTAACATAAGGTGCAGGGTCTAGTGGGCTTAGGGTTTACAGACCTTCTATGCGTCAGTGCTTGCGGAGCCTACTGCAAGGTCTTGGGTCCCAGGTCCAACAGAGCTGGCGAAGCTCCATGGCTACACCTCGTTTAGAGCTCAAAGCTATGAGCCAAAACTTTCTGGACCTTCGTATGATAGACCGGCCTTAATAATTAGACTAGGGTTTGGGGGTAGTTTATACTATAGCTATAAAAAGGAACCCCCAAAACTCTATTCTAATTATGAAAGCCCCTATAGCAGACCAGAGCCCCGCCTCCTCCGAAGAGAGAGCTGGTTGTGCCACCTCCTTTGCAAGAAGCGGTTTAGGGTTTAGGGTTTAGGGCTTCTTGCAAGAATCGAAGGGTAAAAGGAGGGACCCCTAATAAGGACCCCTAAGTATATACCCATAATATAGCCATTCTATAGCCCATTATGGGGTAGGGGTCCCCATTAAGGGTCCCTCCTTTTCCCCTTTGAAAGAAGCTTGCTGGCGGCCGAATTGGGGGATTGTCTAACTTCCTAGCAAGACCCAGCGTGCACGACCCCCCCCACATGACATCAGATGACACTAACGATGGCAACCTCTGTGTGAACCGCCCGACTACCTAAAAACCCTAAATCTGCCATGAAGCCTAAGAAGATCTATTCCGAAGTAGTCATCGTTTACTATAGGGCCTTCATAATTAGAATAGAGTTTTGGGGGTTCCCGTTTATAGTTATAGTATAAAGTACCCCCAAACCCGAGTCTTATTATTACGTAAGGCCGCTCTATCATAGTACCCTTATAGATTCCTTTCAGACCACAGTCAGGATCCCCTTAAAGGAACCCTATCCTAATTATTAAAGCCGTATATTAACAGCTGTCGCAACTCCAAGGGCCTCCTACAAACAAGCCGCCGCCGCTTGCACCACCTGACTTGCGAGGACTGCACAAGTTTAGGGTCTGAACACGCCCTCAGGGTGCATGTGCTATATACAGCCCGGCGGAGCGGTTTTTTTTTCCTAGGTCTGGCCCTCCCCGGCTTGCTTTCCTAAGTCTGGCCCACTGGTTGTGGTTGCCAACAGCGGCAACTGCGGTCTTTGCTGCATCAAGCTATTGGGGAACTAGAATTCGACGGCTCTGGTTTTGCTTCTGTTTTGCATGAAGCTCTTGGGGAACTACAACTTGCGGAGTCTGATTTTGCTTGTGTTTAGCATGAAGCTGTTGGGGAACCACAAGTTGCAGGGTTCGGTTTTCTTTGTGTTTTGCATGAAGCTATTGGGGGGTTCGCATTTGCAGGGATCGGTGTTGCTTGTGTTTTGCATCAAGCTATTGGGGAACTACAATTCGCAGGGTCTTCTTCTGCTTGTGTTCTGCTTGAAGCTATTAGGGAACTAGAATTTGCGGTGTGTTCATCTGCTTGTCTTTTGCATGAAGCCACTAGGGAACTACAATTTGCGGTGTGTTCTTGTGCTTGTGTTTTGCATCAAGCTAATGGGGGAACTACAATTTGCGGGGTCGGCCTTGTTTGTGTTTTGCATCAAGCTATTGGGGAACTACAATTTGCAGAGTCTTTTATTGTTTGTGTTTTTCATCAAGCTAATGGGGAACTAGCATTCGCAGGGTCTGGTTTTGCTTGTGTATTGCATGAAGGTATTGGAGCACTACAATTTGCAGGGTCGTGTTTCGCGTGTGAATAGTGCGAAATGCCAATTTCAAATCTTCTGTCTTCTGGCGTTGTTTTTTGGTGTCGTTGTCGACATCTAGGTCATCGTCGTCGTCGTCCTCGTCCTCGTCCTCGTCGTTGCCGTCGTGGTAGTTGTTCTTGTTGTTGTTGTTGCTGTTGCTGGTGTTCTTGTTGTTGCTGTAGGGTTCGGTTTTCTTTGTGTTTTGCATGAAGCTATTGGGGGGTTCGCATTTGCAGGGATCGGTGTTGCTTGTGTTTTGCATCAAGCTATTGGGGAACTACAATTCGCAGGGTCTTCTTCTGCTTGTGTTCTGCTTGAAGCTATTAGGGAACTAGAATTTGCGGTGTGTTCATCTGCTTGTCTTTTGCATGAAGCCACTAGGGAACTACAATTTGCGGTGTGTTCTTGTGCTTGTGTTTTGCATCAAGCTAATGGGGGAACTACAATTTGCGGGGTCGGCCTTGTTTGTGTTTTGCATCAAGCTATTGGGGAACTACAATTTGCAGAGTCTTTTATTGTTTGTGTTTTTCATCAAGCTAATGGGGAACTAGCATTCGCAGGGTCTGGTTTTGCTTGTGTATTGCATGAAGGTATTGGAGCACTACAATTTGCAGGGTCGTGTTTCGCGTGTGAATAGTGCGAAATGCCAATTTCAAATCTTCTGTCTTCTGGCGTTGTTTTTTGGTGTCGTTGTCGACATCTAGGTCATCGTCGTCGTCGTCCTCGTCCTCGTCCTCGTCGTTGCCGTCGTGGTAGTTGTTCTTGTTCTTGTTGCTGTTGCTGGTGTTCTTGTTGTTGCTGTAGGGTTCGGTTTTCTTTGTGTTTTGCATGAAGCTATTGGGGAACTACAATTCGCAGGGTCTTCTTCTGCTTGTGTTCTGCCTGAAGCTATTACGGAACTAGAATTTGCGGTGTGTTCATCTGCTTGTCTTTTGCATGAAGCCACTAGGGAACTACAATTTGCGGTGTGTTCTTGTGCTTGTGTTTTGCATCAAGCTAATGGGGGAACTACAATTTGCGGGGTCGGCCTTGTTTGTGTTTTGCATCAAGCTATTGGGGAACTACAATTTGCAGAGTCTTTTATTGTTTGTGTTTTTCATCAAGCTAATGGGGAACTAGCATTCGCAGGGTCTGGTTTTGCTTGTGTATTGCATGAAGGTATTGGAGCACTACAATTTGCAGGGTCGTGTTTCGCGTGTGAATAGTGCGAAATGCCAATTTCAAATCTTCTGTCTTCTGGCGTTGTTTTTTGGTGTCGTTGTCGACATCTAGGTCATCGTCGTCGTCGTCCTCGTCCTCGTCCTCGTCGTTGCCGTCGTGGTAGTTGTTCTTGTTCTTGTTGTTGTTACTGGTGTTCTTGTTGTTGCTGTTGTTGTTGTTGTGGTTGTCGCGGTGGTTGTGGTTGTGGCTGGTTGGACCCAAATCGATGTAAAGCATGTCCCGTGCCGGTACAAGCAGTCTTGGATGAGTGCTTGATGCACTCACTCCTGAATGTTGAGAAGTATGAGGGAGGAAAGCTTGGCTCAAGTCTTCGCGGTTTGAGGGTTTAGGGGCACAGGACCAGGAGAGACCAGGGAACCAGGGGACCAGGGACCAGAAGACCGGAGGACCAAAGGACCAGAGGACCAAAGGGCCAGGGGACCAAGGGACCATGGGACCAGACCTAGCAAGGCCCCCCAGACCAGGCCAGACCTAGGAAAAAAAAACAGTGGACCCTATACAGCCCCTTAAAGCAGAAAGCGTAGTAAGGAGCCCCCCGATCTACGTAACCCATTCGCCAAACCCTACCTGGGCCCTACAGCACGCCTTCCTTTTTACAATTTAGGGGCTCCTGATCGTGATTTCCTCTGTATCGAAAACGTAGGTTCTTTGGGGTCCGGGGAAACCCTAGACTCCCTAAGCCCGCAGCTCCCCTAAATTCCAAACTCTCCCTCATCGCGAGCGCCTCCCGTGATGCCAAGGCCGGGCGTGGGCGCAGCTGTGTTCTGAGGGATTTCTGGCTCCGGCTGCCTCTGCTTTGGATACTAGGATTTAGGATTAAAGGGGAATGTTGGGGGACATAGACCCTCTCAATCAGGTCCCTTCGACTAGAGCCGGAAGTAGTGTCAAGAAGGGTCCCCTTTGAGGGGTCTCCCTAATACTCTTTAGGAGAAAGCTGGGCATACAAAGACCGTATGATCCCATGCCAAGAGGTGAGTGTATCATAGGCGGTTCGCCCGGCTTGGGGGGTGTCAGGTGCTTCGTTGAGAGTGCGAAAATTCACCCAGAGCCCCAACAACAACTGCACTGGTGAGTCTAATGTAGGGGCCTCAATAGTTAGAATAGGATTCTGGGGGTATGTTATAGTATAGGTATAACAAGGAAACCCCCTCAACAATATTGGCAACTTAAGGGTTAGTACCAACGATCCTGATGGCTTTACGTGGCATCCCGCAACGAATTAAGGGCTGAAGGCGTTAATGTCGACCCTAAGCCTGTAACCCCTAAATCATAAACACAAGCCTGCTCACGATCCTGACGGCTTTATGTGGCATCCTGCGGAGAGTTAAGGGCAGAAGGCTTTTATGTCGACCCTAACCCCTAAACCCCTGAATCATAAACGATGAGCCTGCTAAATCCTGACCCCGAAACCCGCAACGCTTTATTCCAAGGGTAAAAGGAGGGACCCTTAATAAGGACCCCCTAGGTATATACCCTTAATACAGCTCTTATATACCCACTCTATAGCCCATTATAGGGTAGGGGTCGCCATTAAGGGTCCCTCCTTTTCCCCTTTTGATTTCTGGCCCTCTGGTGCCTTAGACCCTTTGTCGCATTTCGCCTTCGCCACCCTTCGTAGTCTTCAACACAGTTTCGGAATTTCCCGCGCCGAGGTCGAAGGTCGCAAAGGCCGGAGGATACACTGCCCTAAACCCCAAACCCTAAACCCTAAACCCCAAACCCTTCTTGTTGGTGGGTTTGGGGCTGCAGGATGCTTCGGGCCAACGCTTCAGGGGGTTTTAGGGTTTAGGGCCCGAAACCCTACCCTAAGGCCCCATAGTAGTTCCTTTTTGGGGTTCATATTTAGAACCGTATGAGGAAATCCTAAAAGGAACTACTGTGGGGCCTCTGGGTAAACCCTCAACCCCTCAACCCCAGCATGTACTTAAAGGATCCTGCGACTTAGTAAGTAGCTTATAGTTGGGTTTATAAGTCCCCTAAGTGGGGTTATCCTGATTCTAACCTACCAGGGCTAAGGGTCCTTGCGAGACGCGATCCCCAGGTCCCCTTGTAGATGTATGTGCCCAAAGGCTCTATGTACCTTGATAGTAGATACTTACGCCTTAAAGGGGTCCCTATATGGGTACTTTAAGGCCTAAGTATATACTCTATGGGCCTGAGGGGTGGTGGAGGCAACCCAAAACCCTGCTGAGCTTGCAGCATTGGATCAACTACAGCCCTTAAGAGCCCAATTGCCCGCCTTGATTTTCTTACTCCCAGGTCTGAACCTGTTACATACTGTCGGGCGACTTCGATGACGGGTACCGGGTGTCCTGCCTCACTGCGGCAGCCAAAGATAGCAGAACGCCAGCCCAAAATCACCCAAACCTCAATACTCCATATAACTCTAAACCCTGAACTTCAATAATCCCTATAACCCTAAGCCCTAAACCCTGAACCCTAAATCCCTGTGACCCTAGAATACATATACTCAAGAAACCTAACCCCTAAACACCAAACCCTAAATCCCTATAACCCTAAACTCTAAACTCAAGCCATGGCGCACGTTGTACTTCTTGCCTTGGCGCCGAACGATATTATGGGTGTTTCTCAACATGGTTTAGGGGCTTAGGGTTACGGTCTCTGGGCTCCTCATTCTAAGGGTACTTTCGATCGAACAGCTGCATAGGCCCGGCGTACTTTTTGGCATATTGAGCAATGATGTGTTCGTTGATATTGCCTCTCCCTTCTCCCCAGGCCTGAAGACCTTCAATCTGCGCAGACTAGAGAAAGCCGGGTACCAAGATAAGGTTCAAGTACCCTAAGGGTCTACATGAGCCCCAAAGTACCTATATAGGGACTACATTAAGGCCAATGTATATAATTACTATATGAGTACATGGACCCTTAGGGGTAGCGCAATGTGGGGGTTCGGGTCTTTAGGTTAGCAAGTTCAGGGTTGAGGTCTGATGCAGATTGTGCTGAACCTACCCTAAGGTCCCAAAGTAGTTCCGCTTTGGGGGTTCCCATTTAGAATCTTATGGGCCTCTGGGTACGCCTCACTGGCCCGAAACCCCAAGGGAGCAAAAGTTGAAACTTTCAGAATTGACTACCTTACACGAACCCCGAAAGTTGAAAAGTTGAGCTTACAGCCCCTAAACCCTAAGGCCCCATAGTAGTTCCTTTTTGGGATTCCCTACAGCCAATAGAGGACATCCCTGGCCGCGTCTCTTGCAGCTTGGGGTTCGGGGCTTTCAGGGCTTTCGGAACAATTCGGGGTCTTTGCTGGGGGTGTCCCTGCAAGAAGGGCCCTACGTGATCCCATGATTCGATTCGGATCTCTGAGTCTATTATATATATATATATATATATATATATATATACATACATATTATGTATTAAGGTATTTGATAGTCCGAGCCGCAGCTGTCGTGTAGGACTGGTGGCATTGGGTCATAGACCAACAGGATCACCCTGAATCTCTTGAAACAAGTCCTTCAACGTCCCAACAGCCAAAGCTCACCGGAGACAAGCTTTAGCGTTCAGCCAGTTAGCCTACAGCCCTAAACCCTAAAACCCAGACTCTGAAACCTAAAGCATCCAAACACGGTGTACCGTTTCGGCTCTATCTGCCATGTAGCCAAGTAGACTCATCTCACTTGTTGCCTGAATCATTAGACTAGGGTTTTGGGGGCTCCTTATTGTAATCATAGAACAAAATACGCCAAAACCCTATCCTGATTATTGTGGCCTGTGTCTTAGAGCTTAAGACATGTTGCAAAACTTGAGGTGTTCATAATAAGGAACCCTCAAATAGTATAGGTTATCATTACGGCATCTATAGTAGAGCTTAAGACACGTTGCGAATCTTGTGGTATACCATAATTATAGTATAATGCAACCCTAAACCCTATTCTAATTAGAGCTTAAGACATGTTGCAAATCTTGAGGTACATGGTGTGCTCCTGGCCCACGTACTTGCCCATGAGGGAATCGATCTCACTCCTCAGCAAGAGGCTCGAACTCCGAATGTGGCGGGGCCCTAGCTTCGGGTTGAGGTTTTAGGGGTTCGGGGTTTTAGGGGGTTTGCGGATTAGGGTTCAGGGGCTTAGGGGTTAGGGCTTAGGGAAACAAGACGCTCAAACTCTGAAGGGGGGGGGAGCCTTAGGTTCCAAGAAGGCTTTGAGGTGATACAGGGACCCTAAGTGAACATGATTACTACACCTACATTATCCCACACTTCCTGCAAACAGAACCCTCATGCATCAAACCCTACAGTGCGGAACCACAAGCCTCCTTTCTTGCGAAGTGACAAAAATTCCTGCCTTACTCTCCAAAAGTAGACAGGTGGCTTCATGTGCCTACTCTTTGCAGCAGCGCACCCTGTTCGTTGAGGGCCTACAGTAACCTACTATTCTGCTGGGTGGGTAACTCTATATATAAAACTTACCTGGACCCTACGGAACCTACCTTTTTAGGGTTCCCTAATATGATTTCTTTATATAAGTCCTTAAAATGGTAGGTTACGTGGGGTTAAGGTAAGGATACATTAGCTAAGTTTGTGGTGGCTGGGATCTGCAAAAGGTTGCCAGGCGTTCGACTTTGGGGCTCACTGTTCCAGTTGATCCAGAGTTGTTTTGGGATCTAAATGTTTATATACATATATATATATATATATATACGCAAGTATGCTATATAGTAGGCATGTATACATGCTTGCATGGACGGATGAAGGCATTTGTGCATGCATGCGTGCATGCACGTAGGCATGCATGCATATATGTATGTCTGTCTGTCCGTCTGTCTGTCTGTCTGTCTCTTGTCTGTCTGTATGTATGCATGTATGTATGTATGTGACTGATTATCTCTCTCCCTCTCTCTCTATCTATCTCTCTCTTTCTCTCTCTCCCTCTCTCTCTCTCTCTCTCTCTCTCTCCCTATATATATATATGTATATATATGTATATATATATATATATATATCTTTATACTCGCACACACACACAGAGTTTTTGTGTGTATGTATATAAATAAATAAATATATATATATATATATATATTTATACACATACCGATGAAATAGGGTTCTTTAAGGATTTATGGAGCTCTATTGCCTTCTGAAAAGCTGCAGGGGTAAGGCTTCAGCGGTTACTGGTTGAGGCCATGCGTCACTTTGCTCGGGTTGTGCTGCTGGTAGATCTTGATCATCCGCTCGCGATATGCCTGAAACGAGCCATCAGCGCAACGCTGAAGCCTAAATCCTCCTATCTGATGGTGATGAAAGTAGCAAGCTGTAGGACCATGGTCTTTAGTCTGAGCTTGGGGTTGAAACAAAGGATGTCCCTAGACCGGAAGGAAAATGTAGTACTCAGTACCCTTCCTGCGTACCTGCAAAATTTATGCTAGATTCTTGTTATGGGCCTCTGGCCAGAAAATGGGGGTTCTCAGGAAAGAAAACACTACATCACAGGTACAGGTAGATTCAAGGTTTCAGGACCTCCAGGTTTTGTAAGGGTTTACAATGGCCATATTATGGGAGTTTCCGAAAATGGGGGACCCTAATACAGTACGTCAAATAGTAGGATCCTTATTATGAGGACCCCCAATAAGGTACCCCTAATTTTCGGAAACCCCCAAATTCGACCGGCTAACACACTAGCAACCTAAACCATAAACTCTACCCGACGGTCCTACCCTGCCTCGTTTTCCGGATACCTAGTCTTATAGTTAGGACCTATTCTATAGTATGGTACAGTAGGTACCCGGTGGGGTATGACTCGACCCTACAGGTGAAAACCTAACGCCTCCAACACTAAAACTCCGGACTATAAAGGCTAAGCCCCGCAAAACCCACAGCAACCTCATTAAAAGAATATTACAACAACAATAACTCGCGCACAACCCTCTCAACCGTTTTCAAGACTCTAAAGAGCACTTCAACTTCCCAAGAGCACTGCGCCTGCTTCACATCAACAGGGCCGGTTGCGGAAGCTGCAGACGGCGCGCCAAAGAGTCCTAGGAGGTCTCTGGGAGTTTCTGTGGAGTTCTATAGTACTGTGGGGTTCGATAGGAACCCTCCATACATAAGTATACATATATTCGAGGCACCAGCGAAGGATTCTATGGACTGATAATTACATGGCTGAGGGATCTGATGAGTTGTTGTACAACTTTGTTGCAGGGCTTGTTGGGTTTATACCGGTGGCTCCAACTACCTACATTTTTTGATATTGTGTGGACGATAAATTGTTTTGAGGTTATGGGATCATAGCCTACTTGTTATGGATTTGGGAGCTACGTGTGGTTTACTCTTTTCAGCTTGGAGACTAGCCCCACAATCAGAGAGCCCAATACAGACCTTAAGTACTAGAAGGCCTGTGAGCTTCAAAATGTGCTCCGTACCCTCAGACCCCAATTGCCTATGCAGCAGACTACCGTCTGAAACGTGGCCATGCATTCAAAAAAGTAGAACATATTGCATTGCATGGGCGACAAGGGAAGGGGACAGAACTACCAATCATTCCGAACACCGTACTTCGGTCATTACCAGTTGTGACTAAGGCACTATAGCTAAACGCCTAAACCATTTGCTCTGGGCTTAGGCTTTCGGTTTGGTGGTCTTGGGCTGAGGACTGAGGCAAACACTGCAAAAGCGTCTTTTTCGTGAAAGGTCCTATTAGAAGGTAGGGTTTATGTAGAAGAGCTATGGTGGTTTCGGTAAGTATTCCCCATAATAAGGAACTTAAGACTCTTGGTACGCTTTAGGGCTCTGGGTTTGGGGTGCGGGGCTTGAGGGTTCCAGAGTTTCATTGTTGGGCTTAACGTAAACAGTTTTGATACCCATCTAAGCCACTTCAGAAGGACCATAACTGTTGCGAGCCTCGACAGTGGCACGAACAAATCATTATGCTGGACTTTGAAGTAAGAAGGGAGACGAACAAAGTACTGACTTTGTTTTTCATAATGGTTCCTTAGCGGAACAGGTACCCCAAAAAAGTATTCAAGGATGGTACTCCAATTAACCCAGTATGTGGGTTGGAGTGTTTCATTTTCGCAGAACCCACCAGCTCGAGAATCAGCGAAGATCAAAGCCTCCGAAGAAAGCCTGAAATTTCAAAAAGCCTCAACGGCATCCTGGCACAACTAAGGTTCCGTAGAACCCCAAAACTCGAAATCATAAACACCAAGACCTGAACTCCAAAACCCCACACCCTACACCCTAGACCCTAAACTTTAAACCCCCCAACACCAAGGCATCAAGGGGGGCCCCAACGCTTGGGCCCCAGCCGCCGGAGGAGGCTGCTTGGCTCGAGGCACCTTTCAGGAGAATATAAACCTTTGTAGTAACCCTTCTGAAGCTCCTCAAAAAAACCGTGAAAAGGAGGCGACACATAGGGAATAACATTATCAATCCGTTCTATAACCTTTGTAGCAACCCTTCTCTAAATCCCTAAACCCTAGGCCGTAAACCCTTAAAAGCAGGACTTCGGAAGCCTGCGCTGCCGAAGAGGCCACCGCCGGAGCTGGCGGAGGCTGCGGGAGCACCCAACGCAGAACCAAGGCCTCCCACTCAGAGACCACGACTAAGGGTTGAGGGTGTTAGGGCTTAGAAGCTATTAAGATGTAATATAGGGCTTAGGGTTTCGGTTTGAAGGTTGAATTTGTGGAGAAAGCCATCTAACAAGGGATCTATATGCTTTATCTGTGGAGGGTTGAAGTTATGCCGGTATATAAGGGGTTGTCCACTACCAGCAGCAAGAGGCGACCCCACATGTATCGCGCGCCGGCGAGACTCGAGTGCTACAACATTTAGTGTTTAGGGGTTTAGGGTTTAGGTTTTAAGGTTTAGGGCCCCGGTTTAGGGATTAGGAATTACTCATTTCTGCCTGATGGGACTCCTAAGAGAAGTAACTGTTTTTTGCCTGTTTCAGGGCCCTCACATACCTGGGAGCAAACCACCTTTAACTGAGGTTTAGCATGGCTCCACAATTTGAGGTCTAAGACGTCTTTCTTCATGATAACCATCCTGCTAGATTTTGATTGCCGCCATCTCAACTGCACCGTGCATCAAGCAAGCTGTGGTTGTGTGACAGTCGCGGCTCCAAGCTAGCGAGCTCTGTGATGCTTGCCTTCGTGTAGACGAGCCAGGCTACGAGCCCACCGGAGTGAGTGGCAATCAAGACAGCAGGCTGCAGGCACGATCACACAGTGACCCTTTCCGTGCTGGCCCCGAACAACAGCGCACCTTTCCGACATTGCCTACAAAGAGATAGCACCGTAGCATGGTATGGAATTGACCTTGCGAGAGCATACTCCAAGAGACTCCACCTGGGATTCCGGGAGTTCTCATCGAGCAGCGTCTGCATATCGCCACTCACAGACAAGCACAAATGTCAAAGCTTGCACGTTTTTGCGCAGCTCGTGAAATTGACTCATCCCGTCGTACAACCTTTAAAATGATCCTTACAAGGCCCCTCAAAAAACCGTGAAAAGGAGGCGAGACAGAGGGAATAGCATTATCAATCCGTTTTAGAACCTCTGTAGCAACCCTTCTAAAGCCCCTTAAAAGGAGGACTTCGGAAGCCTGTGCTGCCGAAGAGGCCACCGCCGGAGTTGGCGGAGGCTGCGGGAGCACCCAACGCAGAACCTCCAACTCAGACCACGACTAAGGGTTGAGGGTGTTGGGGTTTGAGGATTTCGAGTTTGAGGATTTAGGGTTTTAGGATTTAGGAATTAGGATTTTTGGGCTTCTAGGATGTGGGGTTTAGGGCTTCGATTTGAGGATTTAAAGGCAAGGGGCTCCAAAAGGGATCTACAAGCATTACGGTTTGAGGGTCTAGGATGATCAATAAAGTACAGCAAGCGGGTATAGAAGGGGTCTAGAAGGGCTTTTATAAGATTCGATATGGATTCTAGGGAGAAGGTTCTCGGGATACTGCACGACTCTCGAATTCCTCAAGTAAGGAGTACACCTTCATTTGTATTTCAACGTCGTTTCCACCCGTTAACGTAATCGCTACTATGAGGAATGAAGATAAATGCACCCCATAATAATCTATCTAGAATCCTCGCCGTCATGCAAGGTACATTTTCACAACCCTAGACCCAAAAGACATATCCTTCAACGGTGTCAGAGGGTTTCATGTGCTGGCACCAAGGCCTGGAGGCCAAGCAGTGCTCGCTTGTATGCGTGTATGCAGGTACGTGATGTCGTACTTACCCACAGAAACGAAAGTTTAAACAGTTTTCTCATTACTACTAAACTCACTTACTAAACTCCAATGTACCTCAGAAATATGTACGAAAGGTAGGGTATTGGAGAATGTTTGCAGCTGTCGAATCCTCCCGGGAAATCTTCGGCTGTGCGTTCTCCCCATAGTCTCTGCAAACTTCCCTGAGGATCGCCACAAAATCTTTCCACGCATACTGCGAGAGGTGGCTCCCCTAAACCCTAAACCCCTAAACCCTGAACCCCTAAACCTTAAACCCTAAACCCTGAGCCCTAAACCCCCCTTTGGCAGTGTCACTCTTCAGGCGCCAGTCCGCAGTGTCAAAGAAACCCAACGTAGGCATTGTCTCCTCTGTAGACACCAAACCCAGATGCTCCATGTACCTTTATCGTAGATACTTAAGCCTTAAAGGGGTCCCTATATGGGTACTTTAAGGCCAGAGTATGTACTATCTGGGTACATGGAGCCTTAGGGACAGAGACTGCCAGGTTTGCAGGTGTAAGGTCTTGCAGCTGGTAGTCCATGCCGAGCTTGAGCACGATTACGCAAGCGTATGAGGCCCAGCGCCTAAAAATCCTGTGCTCTCGCCCATAGTTCACCAAAGTGGGAACTTTCTCCGCGAAGCTGCTCCCAGAGAGCCCAATACCCCTTAATTAAGGAATATGGCTTAAATTATATAGGGCTTCATATTATGATTTAAGCTATATTCCGTAATTAAGGGGTATTGGGCTCTCTGGGCTGTAGTGGACCGGCACATTCAGCCCAACTGCTGCCTCCTGTGCGAGCACCATCCTGAGCAGCGCGTCACCTGACCAAGATGTCGTGTGTCAGCTACCTAACACCTAAACCGTCACCCCTAAACCCCTAAACTGTCTAAACTCCTAAACCCGTAAGACCCTAAAGCCCTAAACCTTAAACCTCTGAACCCCTAAACTCCTAAGCCCTAAACCCGTAAACCCTAAACATCTAAAACCCTAAACCCTAGAACCGTGTGTTGCCTACGGGCTTGTCATCTCCCATGGGTGTCGTGTGCGGCCTAGCTTCCTCCAGAGCAAATGAGGATCAGACAGTGTGGAGCTTTGGTTTTGTTTGGTTTCAGGGTTTACGGCTTAAGGGGTTTAGGGTTTCAGGGTTTTTTTAAAGTGCAATGGGGCCTTTTTCTGCAGAAAGGTCCGGCCGATTTTCGGCCTACACTGGCATAGATCCTGATCAGAATCCATGCTGCAAAACTTTAGGGTTTAGGGCTTGGCCTAGGGCCAAGGGATTGTAGGGGCGTAGTGGGGCTTCGGGTTTGGGGCCTTAGGGCTTTAGGTTTAGGGTTTAGGTGTCCAAAGATCACCAGAAACCTGAGACCATGACCCCTGAGGGGTTTAGGGCATTAAGGTTAATAACCCAAAGGCTCCAGGTATCTTGATAGTAGATACTTAAGCCTTAAAAGGGTCCCTACATGGACACTTTAAGGCCTAAGTATATACTATCTGGGTACATGGAGCCTTAGGGAAACTTAAACTCATCAGACTGAAATCGTTGAACACCGGGCCTAAGCTCTCAAGCGCGAGACCCGAAAAGCCAAATCCTAACACCCTTCGGGCCCACAAGCAGCCCCTACAGTTGATGATATAAATCTGCATTACCCATAATAAGGAATCTACAATAATTCCCATAGTCTTGGGCAACTAAGGTAATGGCCCATAATAAGGAATCTACCATAATTCAATTCCCATAGTCTTGGGCGATTAAGGTAATGCAGGGCTTAGATCATCAACCCTAAACCCTAAACCCTAAACCCTTAAACCTTAGAGACCCCTTAAAGGGACCCAGGATAGGTACTTCAACCCTGCGCCCTTCTGCAGCCGCCTGCTGCTGCAGGCTTGATCTCTGGCTCTGGCTGGACTTTGTACCTGCTTACAGCCTTAGTGCTCTTGTCGGGGGGTGTCGTGCCCCAAACCCCAAAAACCCTAAACCCCTAAACCCTGAACCCTAAACCCTAAACCCTAAACACTGAACCCTAAACCCTAAACCCCCAAACCCTAACCCCTAAACCCGAAACCCCTGAACCCTAAAACCCCAAAACCTGAACCAATTAGGACTCTTTGGAGATTTGGGCTTTGGGGCAGCTCTTTGAGTCCTAGAAAGTCACCCGACACACCCCTCAAATCCTACAGTGCATGTCAGTTCAGTAACCCACTGGGCAAAAGTACATACTTTTTTAGGCTTCTTATTTTATAATAGGAACTCAGAAACCTGAAAGTAAAAAAGTGCACCACTGAACAGCCTGGTGTCTTCATCCCCCACCTCACAGCCAGATAAGCACTGAAACCCGAGTAAACCCCTAAAGCAAGCACCTTATATAATATGGGGGCATTAATATTTTTTAGAATAGTGTTTGGGGTTCCATTATACTATACATATAGTAAGGAACCCCAAGAATAGTATTGATAATTATCTAGGCCCCTATATTAAGCCCCCAGCTCCAGACCCCGAGCCAAGCCTGATGCCCGGAATCCTATACTCATAGGGATCCTTAGGGGTGTAGGGGGAGGGGGGGTAGGGGGCCTCAAGGCCCATAATAAGGACTAATAAGGCCTATTTAAGGAAATATAGTCCCCTACACCCCTCCCCCCTACACCCCTAAGGATCCCTATGATATACCGGTACTAGACCCAAGAGTAACCTAGGAATAAAAAGGGTGCCCTTTGGGTTTAAAGGGGCTTATAAGGGAACCTGAACCCTAAAAAAGGAATTCATGGCCTGCTCTAGGTCCTAGGGTAAGGCTAAAGCCTGACTTGCCGTCAGAAACTGCCTGTCAGTCATAGACATGAATATGAGTAGTTGTCAAAATCATGGTCCCTTTTTAGGTACCCTAAATCTTAGGTGCCGTATTATATTAAGAACCCAAAAAGGGACCCTAATTTTGACAACCACCCATATAGAGACATAAGGAAACATCGGCATGATCATCATCAGCATCATTGTTGCCCTCATTCTCTTCACCAGCGGTATCATCATCGCTATCATCAAGAAAGCCAAACAATATCCAGCGGAACTGCGGGCCCTTGTGCCATGCCGGTTTGCTGTGCTGGGCTCAATCTTTAGGACGGGTTCTAGCTTGCTGCGCGTGGGTGCGAATCGGCTGTTGGCCTGTGTGCAGTTGTGAACGGTGGGCTGGTTCCGTGTTTCTTTTCACGGTTTAGGGTTTAGGGTGGTTTGGTTTACAAAACGACCGAACAGACAAAGCTTACTTCTGCAGCCTGCGTCAGCAAAACGGCTACGTAGGGCACTTGTTGCAAATCTTCAGGTACATCACGTGCTCGTTGCCGACGTACTTTGCCATGAGGGTGTCAATCTCATTCCTCGGCACCAAAACCCTAGGCCTCATAGTAGCTCCTTTTGGGGGGGTTCATATTTAGAACCCTATAAGGTAATCCCAAAAAGGAACTACTCTGGGGCCTTAGGGTCTTGCTACAAATACGGAGCCCAAGGTTTTTGTGACGCGGCCGATGCCCTTCTGACCCAAACACCTCCAAAGAAAACTGCCAGGTGGGTGGTTGTCAAAATTAGGAAAAGGGTACCCCAAATATTAGGTGCCGTATTATAATAGGGACCCAAAAAGGGACCCTAATTTTGACAACCACCCAGGTGGATCCCTTATATGAGCCGAAGATTCCACGTAGCACGGCTCCCAGACCTTCCAAAATCCCTTAATTAAGGAATATACCTTAAATCATATTAGGGATCCTACTATGATTTAAGGTATAATCCTTAATTCAGGGATTTTGGAAGGTCTGGGCTGTTGTACGCATGTGTGCTAGCCACCATCGCTCATGAGGCCTCCCTCACAGTCAACTCTCAGACGTTTCGCCACAGATGAAAACCGAAACCCGGGTGTTCACAACATATTCACCCTAAAAACTACAGAACAAAAAACCTAAAAACTCCACCCTAAAAGATAAATCAAAATTCTGAACCTAAAACCCTAAACCCTACATCCTGAACTGGCGGCATTGCTGAAATTCCTTAGCCCTGTACTCTGAACGCCACCGGGACACCCCGAAGTACCCGTTAACAGAGCTCTCCTGGTCCTTAAGAACAAGGCTTTACAACTGGGGCAACTCTGAGTGTAGTTCGGAGGTAGACTGCTATACACCGACGGCCCACACCAAAGCGAGATTAGAGACGCCCTAGACAATCGCAAAAATCGGCAAGAACCTTCTACAACTCGTCTATAACCCGTATACGAACTCCAAAAGAAAGCGTTGGAAGCTGTAGGAAAGGACCCGTGTATGATTTTACCGGCCGAGTTGCAGCTTGCTGGGGTTGTGTTGCTGGTAGATCTTGATCATCCGCTCCTTGTACGCCTTTTTTGAGTAGGGTTTCGGATTTGGCGCTTGGGCGGGAGGTTGGACCCGGTTTTGGCTTGGGATGTAGGGCCAGTAAGGAACATGTTGCAACTTGTTCAGTCAGACACCCGCATCATTCACCTACGGTATTTTAGAGTTTTGGCTCGGATGCATGGGCCTACACAAGTAGAATCCGAGCAGGATTTAAGGGCACAATCGAGTACGATCAGATTGTGGAGACCTGCAGAATAGAATTGGTGACTACTACGGTTGATGATATAAATCCTGCATGACCCATTATAGGGAATATACAATAACTCCCATAGGTTTCGGGTCCTTAAGGTGATGCAGGATTTATATCATCAACCCTAAACCCTAAACCCTAAACCCTGAACTCTCTGTATTGCGGTTCAGGGCCTGAGGTGCAGGAACCTCCGTTCGGAGTGTGTCATCGGGCGTTGGCTTCGGAGTCCCAGACCTTCCAAAATCCCTTAATCCGCCGAGGCCACAGGCCCAGGCGTTTTGGTGGTTACCTCATGTTTGGTGACACCCTGTTTTTGCGCTCGTTTGCCACCCCCTTGCCCGGCCTCCCCTCATTTTCTTTGATTTGCGGGCCTACCCGCCCCCTCCCAGGCCTCCTCCCCCCTCTTTTTTTTCCTCCCCCCTCCCCCCCTCCCCCCTAAAATCTCTTATTTTCGTTAGCTCCGCACCCAAAACCCCGCAACTTTCGCACCAAGCTCTGACTCAAGCATTTGACAGGTGCCTTGTATTCTTGCTCTTCTCTGACCAGAGGCAAAACAATAAGCCGGGACCCTCGCCCTGCCACTACAGAGCCGAGGCGGGCGGCGTAGCGTTAAAATTAAGGAATATACCTTAAATCATATTAGGGATCCTACTATGATTTAAGGTATAATCCTTAATTCAGGGATTTTGGAAGGTCTGGGGTATTGGTTCCAGGGTTTGAAGCTTAGGGTTTTAGGCTGTTTAGGTTTTAGGTCTGGGTTTCATAGCCTGGTCAGAATATAGGAAGTTTTAGGCTTTGGTTCGAGGTATAGAGTGAAACATGCCCCTAAACCCCCAAACCCTGAACCCTAAAGCCTAAACGCTAAACCCTACACGTATGGAGCAACCGGGCCGAGCTTGGTCGATGGTGGCTGGCATGCAGATTAACTGAGGGTACTGAGACCCTGAACCCTACCTGTAGTCTCCATGGTAGCTCCCTTTTTGGTTAACCAGCTTTATGGTTAGGATCCTATAATACAGTTTATAGATTATAGCTCACAGAAAAAACGGAACTACAATGGAGACTGTGGGTAACCCCTGAGCCCTAAACCCGTTGCGGCTTTGCCGATGTGCTATAAGCAATACCCAAACTCTCTGCTTCATGCCAGGCAAGAGGCTCTCGCAGTCTTTAGGGCTCGTGCTCTGCAGGGTTTATAGCCTTGAGATCATTCAAGGAGTGCAAAAGATGTACCAGTGGTAGGGCCGGCTTCAGTCCTGCTTAAGGGATCAGGTCTGGCTGTGACCACAATGGTGTACTGCACATTGCGGCGGCGGCATAGGCACTGTGAGAGTGCTTGGCGGAGCACTGGGTCGAGCCTTTGGCGGCCCGGCAGCACTGACTGTGGCAGGGGGAGCAAAGAATGCAGCCGCTGCCGGATTCGGCGTGATCGTCGTGATCACTGGAAGATGGTAGCTCAACTCCCTTGCCGACGGAAGAGAAGCCCGAATGCACGCAAAAGCCGAAGCCTACCTTACCCTAAGGGTCCCAGTACCCAACAGCCATATACTCTCCTAAAAGCGTTTGAAGCTGAACCACACCCGAAACCCTGCACCCTAGACCATAAATACGCAACCCGAATCCCAAAACCCTATACCCCATAGTAGTTCCTGATCACATTGTAGGACTCTAACTATGAAGCCCAACACGGAACTGCTATGAAGCCTCTGGGTAGTAAACCCTAAACCATAACAAGCCCAAATAAGCCCTCATAAGCCCCAAAAACTCTAAAAAAAACCTAATCAAGCTCTATAAACCCTAACCCTAAACCCTAAACCCTAAACCCCTAAACCCTAAACCCCTAAACCCCTAAACCCTAAACCCCTAAACCCCTAAAACCCCTAAACCCCTAAACCCCTAAAACCCCTAAACCCGACAGCAAAGCGCCTGCTTCACGCCATCGGAGCCTTGGTCCGGCGCGAGGGTTTTCAAGGATCAAACTGCTTGGGGCTTTAGGGTTTTTTGGGTTTAGGTGTTTAGGGGTTTAGGGTTTAGGGTTAGGGTTTAGGGTTTAGGGTTTAGGGGTTGGAAGTTTGAGGGTTTAGGGTTTTAGAGCTTAGGGCTTTCAGGGTTTTCAAGGATCAAACTGCTTAAGGCTTTAGGGGTTTTAGGGTTTAGGTGTTTAGGGGTTTAGGGTTTAGGGTTTAGGGTTTAGGGGTTGGAAGTTTGAGGGTTTAGGGTTTTAGGGGCTTTAGGGGTTTTAGGATTTCGGGTTTGACGTTTGAGGGTTTTGATTTTCTTTGGAGCCCTTGGGGTTTAGGGTTGTCAAGTTTGAGGGTTTAGGGTTTTAGAGCCGAAGGTTTTAGGGTTTATATGGCTTCAGGGTCTTAGAGTTTAGGGCTTTAGGGTTTAGGATTTAGGGCTTTAGACTTTATCGTTTAAGGTTAAGTCTCAGTTCTGCATGAGGATTTGGGTTCAGGGCTGGTGGGTGGCTGACATCTCGAACCTTTTGATGCTTTGAGGTCCAGGGACCTATCCGGTTTTCGGGTCAAGGGGGAAAAGGAGGGACCCTTAATAAGGACCCCTAGGTATATACCCTTGACATAGCTATTATAAATCCATTGCCCATTATAGGGTAGGGGTCTCCATTAAGGGTCCCTCCGTTTCCTCTTTGATCGGGCAGGGCAGAGTCTGCTGTGAAGCATAAGTGTGCAGTTTGAGCGTTGCCTCTGTAGGCACATCTGCATTACTATATCGTAAATAGATCCTAACCCCACCCGGGTCAGCCCCAAGAACAACTTTCCTTCTTAAGACATCATGCGCTGGCTTGGGTTGACATAGAAGCTATTGGCAGCATCCACTGTGTTCTTAGCTTTCTTAGCCGGGTGGTGCGTGGTGGAGCTCACGCCAGCACTGCTAAAGAACTTCTTGAGGAAGTCTGCGGCAAGGTCAGGATTCAAACAAAATGGCTCGTATTTTGTTCTTCATATTCTGTCCGAAAAGCTGGTCCGGCCTTACCCGCCAACTACCCTAAACCTTAAACCCTTACATTACTTGCTTAGTGGCTGTTGGGTGCAGGCATAACAAAACCAAGCCCCTGCGCCTCCGATTGCCCCAGCAGCAGCATCAGCAGTGGCTTTGCCTGAAGAGCTTTCCCTTGAACGCTCAACTAAGACCCCGCAAACCATGCCCCGGTAGAGATCTGTAGAATCTCGAGATATTGTATAAATCAGATGGACAAAACAATCCCGATATAAGAGGAGCAACATAGAAGAATCAAACCGACTGGCACATGCCAGTATACATCAGCTAGGCTGGAAGCTCTCGATAGCAAAAGCGGAGCATACATGCGACAAGCTCTAAAACCAAAAGTTGGAAAATTCATAGCCTCCATCCTTACGAGCAATGTATCGAGAACTCCCAGCACTATTTGGCCTTAATCCGGCTTCCAACTTTTAGGGGTTACCCCTATACTCTGAACCCTTCTAGAACCCTTAAGGGAGCCACTTAAAGGAACCTACAGTAAGATTGGGTTGACTGTACAGTAGACACGTGTGGAAAGGCTTTGGCCGTCGCTTTCGGAGGTTGAGCGAAGCTCTAGGGCTGGTAAGTCAAACCTCTGAGGGCTCTACGGTTTAGGGTTTTAGGTTTTAGGGTTTTAGGGTTTAAGGTTTTAGGGTTTAGGGTTTTAGGGTTGAGGGTTTAAGGTTTTAGGGTTTCAGGGTTTTAGGGTTTCAGGGCTTAGGTCCAGGGTCTTGGGGGGGGTGGCTTGTCGCCTTTGGAGATAGGATTTAGGGGTTGGGGTTGCAGGGCTTTGAGTTTAGCTTAGAGTTTAGGGCCGTGTGTTTGGATTCAGGGTTGAGCAGCGGGTTCTGGATGGCAAACAACATACACAATAGACTGCATCCTCCGCGGAGTAACGGTATGATGCTTGCACCAAGAGCACGAGAACACAGCAACCCCTCGTGCAATACTCGGAACCACTAGTAAAGCTCACCGGCCGAAAACCAAGGCAGTAAACGTTGAATCGAAACTTTCAGAACCGACTACCTGATAATGATGAGAACCCCAAAAGTTGAAAAGTTGAGTTTACAGGCAATAAGAAAGCACTTATCAGCAGAGATTAGGGCTTCATGCCAGACCTTGGACCTTTAACCGCCGTTTATGGACGCACATCGGAACCAATGGTGGCCTCACGAGTCACGCTTCGGAAATGCATGGTAGGTTTGTGATGCCACGGGCGAACGCATAAACCCTAAAGCCTAATCCAACCGGCTGGACGAGTGATTCCAGATCTCGCACCGCACAAACCCTCCTTTGCCAGGCAGGCTTGACACAACAGAGCTGGGCTTTGGTTTAGGAGTTGTGGCAACGTGCGCGGGTCGAAGCTTGAAACCTTTTGTGCCATTCTTGCCTGATGACAGTTGGGGCCCCGAAGTAAAGCGTACCCCAAACCCCTTAATCCCCAAATCCGATGCTTAAGTCTGATAATTACTGACACGAAGCTGACCTTAAGCCCGTCTCGTAGCCCCAAACCCTACAAAGCAGTAGGTTATGACTACAAAAGCTGGAGTCTAACCCTTCAAACGCTAGGTTAATGCATCCACACACTAACCCTCCAAACTCCAAATCCTCCAAACAAACCCCAAAGGGCACATGTACCTATGTCTTACCTCCAATCTCCATTGTAACGTTGTAGTTCCTTTTGAGTTTAGAGAACTACCCACATGTCATTGGCCTGCCGATTGTCCGTCGACCCCGGTGGCCGGCGTGCCACCTGTGCCGAACCTCGAAGATGTGCAGCTGACGGCTGAAACGGGCTAAGGATTTAGGGTTTACCTGGACCCTAAAAATCCTACCTTTTTTAGGGTTCCATAATATGATTTCTGTAAATAAGTCTCTCAAAAGGCAGGTTATTCGGGGTCAGGGTAGGGACTACGATTGAAGATGATTGGAGGAACAATGTAACGGCTTGAGGCTTCGGTTTAGGGTTTGCGGTTTGCAGGCCGATGTCAGGAGTTGCTTTAGCCTTCAGGTACCGGCTTAGCGTGTGGATGTGGGGATTCTAGGATGTAGATTTACGGATTTTGGGTTTCAGGTCACGTCATTTCGGAATGAGCGTCTTAGGGTTTGGGGCTTTTGGCTTTTACCGCCGAAGCACTTAGAGGAATGGGAGACTTAGTAAGTGTGGTATAAGAGAGGTGACAAGCAGGATATCCCCAATAGGGTATCTAAAACCTACTCAAAGTCCTGCTCCTTTAACAGTTTCAGCACCCTCCCCCCTCTCTAAGGGTACCTTTAATGGGTTCCTTTATAAGGGATCTATAGGGTTCTCACCCTCGCACTCAAAAGGACCTTCAACGGTTCATTGCAAAGTCGTAGAAGCCCGTCTCTAGAATCCGCAAATCTCGAGCAATGGTGTAGTAACCGTGCAGACTTTTCCTATAGTCTCCATTGTAGTTCCTTTTTTGGGTTACCTTATAGGATCCTTAATGTATAATTGGTTAAACCAACAAAAGGAACTACAATGGAGACTACAGGTTATGTTAAACCAGAAAGGGGGCCCTAAAAGGGAGTCTCCTTTTTCTGCTGGCCTGCTCTTCGACTGTCTTGGGCGGCGGCGTTAGGCTTGTTTGTTTGTTTCACATTCGTGAAACTTTGAGCTCAGCCAGGGTTCAGGGTTCAGGGTTGCAGCGTGCCCTACTCCATAAACCCCTAACCCTAAACCCTAAACCCTATACTCCATAAACCCCTAAACGGAACCCGTTCACATTTGTAGACGGGTTCGGGATCGGATTGGGTTCGTGCGTCCGGGGGAGTTCTGCATCGACGCCCAGGATGCCCATGTGGAAGAGTTCGGGGTTCGGGCTTCTATATGCTGAACCAAGATAACAAAACAAGGAAACTTCGATGGTAACTTTCCCCAAGGGTCCAAGTACCCAATGATCATATACTCTCCAAAATTCCTACATAACTACTATCCTAAAACCGAGTACCTAATTATTGGGTCCTTTGGACCCTTGGGGTCTAGGTAAGCTGAAACATCCACTAACGCTCCTTTTCATACAGCCTGCTATCAGGACCAACCTCCCCAGTTCCAACGCTGCATGGTAGACCAACTCTGTAACCGCACATGAACCTTACACTTAAACGGTAGACTCGACACCACTCATATGGGGGGCCTTCACAGATGTAGTATAATCTTAATGAGGAGCCCTCTGGAATAATGTATTCAGGCTCCTACAATCCCCCCGGCCCGTTGCCTCGTCAGTTTTCTTGCAGCCAAAACACAGTGAGGATCCCAAAGAGCCCCCGAGAAGGCCCCCAGCACCCCCATCCGCGGGAGGCACCTCGTTTCGGGCTTAGGGACATCATTCGGCTCACGTTGAAGGCTCATGGGTAGCTGTAAGTTGTGAGGTTGAAGCAACAATAAATAAGTAAATTGGGGCCATGAGCACTCAAAACCTCAATGGTGCTTGACGAACGGAAATTTTCAAGCGCTTATTACTGTGACTTAATGGATATGTATTCAGGGCTGTTGGGTTCGCTGGGTCTGGTGTCTGGGGATTAGACAAAGCATAACAACAACCTACATGTCATACAGGTCCCCTTTGAATGTCCCTGAAGAGCTTGTATTGAGGCCCTTCCCGCTAGGCTTGCGTGAGAGGTGGTCTACCTTCCGATCCGGGATAATATAGAAACCTATGCCATGAACTCTACCTATAGTCTCCCTTGTAGTTCCTTTTTTTGATAATCTGCATGCATGCCTTGAATGTGACAGGGAATATATTTCGATATTAGGGCCTTAGGGCAAGCCTGAGGGTTCAGAGGGTTAGGGTTTAGGGTTTCGAGGGCTCTCATGAAGTTGCGGTATCATCCGGCGAAGTGTGCACGTAATGTTACCCCTGGGATAAGGATGATCGCTCAGGGTGCAAACAACCCGGCATTCACATGCTTAGTCTTAAGAAAATTCTAGTAGCGGGTGATCCTGCTGGGAAGTATGACATGCATACTAACTTCTAAAGGGCAGTCTGCTCATTAATCAAAAGATCATTCCAAAGATCATTGGATTCCTGGAAACTTGCAGGGACAGCAGCAAGGGTTCAGGTCATAGGGTTCAAAGGGCATCAGGGGAGGGAGGATTTTTGCTTCAGACTTTTGTGCCCCGGAAAAGTTGGACCTTGAATTCTCGTGTCCCAGTGATCTTAGCCGGGCTTCGGGCTATTAGGGACAGAAGAGCCCGCAAGAAATCCTCCAAAGACTAGCCCCCTGCACTCTCTTTCTGTGAACTGAAAAACTTCAACTTAAACTGCGAACATCCCAGCCAGTTGCTTAACTCGATAGCCTGACTACATCCTAAGCCATAGAAGGCCCTAAACCCTAACTCACAAATCGAATCCACAGCCTCTCCGGTGGATGAGAAGAGACCACTCATGCCAAAGAGTCCGGCGCCTCAAGGGTCTCCCTACTTGTCGGGTATCATGGGGAACTACAGGTTGCCCCAAGGGTCCAAAGGACCCAGTAATTTGGTACTCGGTTTTGGGATAGTAGTTATGTAGGTTAGCATTTTGGAGATTATTGGGTACTTGGACCCTTGGCGTTAACCTTTTTGGGTATATAGGGATTACATAGGGGCTATACTACTCAAAAGGTTAAAGGTTCCCTACTCTACTACTAGGTCTTTTCTTCCCCGAAACTTGGGGTTCAAGGAGGCCTTTAGCTACATGCGATGCAGCATAAGAGGGCTCACAATACTGCTTGCGGAAATGTTGGGGCCATCGTAGTCAGAAAAAAGCTTTCTGCGGTACATTACCAGCTATTTCGATCCTTCACTTTCTGCACCGGTCTATTCATCGTTTCGGTGGTGTCATGGGGGTGCGATTTTTTTAGCCTGGGTTTCAATCTTTTATAGTATATATACATAACGGAACCCTAGTCAGGAATACCTATAGTCTCCATTGTAGCTCCTTTTTTGGTTAAACCAGATATACAATTGGGATCCTATAAGGTAACCCCAAAAAGGAACTACAATGGAGACTATAGGTAATATTGATAAGTAGAGGAGCGCCTACATTGGTAGTACCCAATCCCCAAGTGCCTGCGCTGTCAGCGGCCAGACCGCCGCCCGACGATGCCGCTGCGCTGCCTGTGACACCCTAAGCTAGGGCAACAACCCCCCACCCCCGCGCCTCCTGGGAGATTTCTGAGAGAAATCCTACAATTGGTAGACGATACCGGAGGTGGAGTATGTACAGAAGCAAAAGAACTTGCACAGTAGTATAGTATGCCTTAAATTAGAGCTTCAAGGGCTCCTCGGAAAGTACTGTAGTCTAGTATAACGTACCTTAAGACTTCAAGCGGTGCTTATAGTCTGGCTCACATGTGGGATACTCCGTGTTTAAAGGCTTTTGGAGTTTCTCGGTCGGGACATCAAGCTAAAGGCTCCATGTACCCATATAGCAGGTACTTAGGCCTTAAAGTAACCATATAGGGACCCCTTTAAGGCCTAAGTACCTTACATGCAGCCTTAGGGCACGCTGCTATACACGTGGCTAAGGGGTCAGACAGGTCACCTAGACTAGGTTGAAACACGGTGACCAAGACAAGCCCAGCCCAGCACAAGTACGCATACCCAGAGACTCCAAATATCCCTTAATTACAGAATATACCTTAAATATAATGGGAGCCCTAATATGGTTTAAGGTATGTCATTTAGGGCTGTTTACGGCCTACAGTAAGATCTGGGGTTTGGGTTTTGGGGTTTTAAAGGTTTGGGGATGTTTGGGGTGTCGGTGTGCTTGTGTTACGTCGCAAGCGCTCGTGCGTGCGGCCGACACATGCAGCACTGAAGGAGGTCTTGCCTAGAGAAGCTCTAATCACTAATCACTAAGCACCTATCTAGGCCTCAACTCAAAGTAAGCTAGCTATCCTTAGGGATCAAAATGGCCCAAAAGCCTTATATAGTATGTTCTTTGGGCCCAAGCCTTAATGTATTAGTCCTTAGATCCCTATAGGGTATGATCTCTGCAGGCCAACTCAATGCAAAGCTGTCAGAAATGCACGGGAAAAGACGTGCTCCTCAAGCACTCAGGTGGCGTGATCCGCTGAGCCCTGCAAGCCCTATCTGTACCCCAAACCCTGCAGCGTGCTTGGTTAATCGTAGGTGATTAGTAGGTTATGTGATCCACAGGTACCTCATTCCCTTCGACACGAAAGAAAAAAAAGAACCACACAAACCACGGCCTCAATAATTGGACCAGTCGCTACTTTACATCAGAAGTATATTTAGGAATTTCGGAAGGGGGCACTAAGCAATGGTTTGGGGGTTTATCTAGACCAGCAATATAACTATGTAGGAAATAGGAAGGAGGCACTAAGGCATGATTTAGGGCTTCGGGATACTGGACCTCACTTCCGACTTGCGAAGTCTATAAATCTGGTGTCCAGTCCTCCCTTCCCGCCTCCTCTCTTCTTGTCTGGCACAATTGACCTTGAGGCGCACGCAATATATCCATAAGGGCACTACAAGAATACTCTACAAGATATCATAACTAGTTCGTGGTTGGGATGCTAATAACGATTTAGAATTGTATTCCTCATTGGATATAATTTCCCATAAATTGCAACATGTTACCCAACTATGCCCAAGATAAGGTATCTACAACGTTACAAGAAGGGCACTATAAAGGCTTCGGCTTCAGGGAGCCGTGGGGGACCGGCGGCGAGCTGTCTTTTGGGGAGCTTCTTTAGAAGAAGTTCGAAAAACCCATTCAGATTCGAAGCCAAGGTACAGTCGGGTTTAGGGTCTATGGGGGCTTGAAGGGAGGTTTCGTGCAAACACCGACAAGGAACCCGAATACCGAGCGGCCACCTTTCAGCTGACCCGTCTGGGATACATACTGGGCTCTTATGCCTTTCTGAACCATACAGTAGAGGCCCAAAAGTTGGAAACCCATTAGCCTAAATCCTTCAGAGTAATGTCTAGGGAATCGAAGCACTATTTGACCTTGATCGGGTTTCCAACTTTATGGGGCTTACTGTAGACTCGCCCCGAAGCTTCCCGTCTCGCGTAAGCTGAATACCTGCTACGAAGGGCTCTATTGGGAATTGGGATGTATGATTTGAGGTTTCAGACTTTGGACTTTGGGGGAAAGGGATTTTGGATTTATACCGGTTATATAGGCTAGGATACCCAGTAACCTAAGAATAAAAAGGCCTCTCTTTTTGGTATTGGGTAACTTTATAAGGAACCTAGGACTACAAAAAGGGAATAAGGGTACTACTGGGCATCCTAGTATTACAAGGATAGTCTAATTAGCATACCCCAAACCCTGTTCTAATTCTTAAAGCCCCTATATTAGAGCCTGGATCAGCCATGTACAGCCAGCTCACAAAGAAAACAAAAAGGATCCGTCCGAGTAAGAGCTGGCAGCAAGGAGGTAGCACGCAGGATCAGCACTCCTATGGCCTATGCCTATGTGCGAAATGAAAGGTCAACCGTGAACCCTAAACCTCAAACCCTAAACCCTGAACTCTAAACCGGGTTTAAGCCCCTCTGCCCTTTTGTTCTGGGGCACCCCTTACTGAAATCGCAACGAACTGGCCACCATATCATATGGTTGCTTAAACCCCCCCCCCCCCCGCTCTGGGTTATAGGCCTCTACATACAGCATCAGCCCTAGGCAGCACTTAGGACTTGTTGTTTGTTTCTGGGAGCTCTGCCGAAAAAGCCTTCAACAACGCTCATTTATGGGAGGCCAAAAGGGGGGTTTAAGATTCTTGGGGTAGGGATTCCTTCATATGAGCCCTCTTATGGGAACCCTCATCCCTACTAAACCCCCATAGGCTAAAACCCCTTTTGGCCTCCTATGATTCAAAACCGCTCATGCACTCAGCCAAACGCCCTAAACCCTAAACTACCCTAAACCCTTACCCTAAACCCTAAACCCAGCCAAATAGCGGCGGCGGCATCAGCAATCGCTCGTCTTCCCCACTGGCAGCAGCCCCGTCGACGCTGTCAACTGCAGCCAGTGTCACACGAAACACAAAACCTCCGTGTACATTTATAGTGGATACTTAAGCTTTATAGGGGTCCCTGTATGGGTACTTCAAGGCCTAAGTTTATACTATATATGGGTACATGGAGCCTTAGGGAAAGAAGACGAGGCAATACACGTGCTTGAGGGTTGCAGTAGTCAGCACAAGAAGCTTGTGACTTAGAGACAGACAAAAGACTCTGGACTTGCTGGGCAGGCAATCCTTCGGGACTTATGAGGGGCTTACAGGGCGAGCGTTCGGGTAGTTAATCGTCAGGAAAAACTCAGGCCTCATCGAGCGTAGGGTATCGGGCGCGGATCACAAGTCTGCGAGAAACACTCCGGATTTACAGGTTCCGACTTCCAGGGCAGTCGAACTGCAAATGAACTTGCGATCGTCCGGGGAATCTTCAACTCTAAGTTTGGGCACTGCGGATCTTCACGAGCCCAGGCCCACACCTTCATGGGACGGTGCCAGATGCTCGGGCGATGCATTTCGGGAGCGATAGCCTCCTTTCTACCCAAAACTTAGGGCTGTAGGGGTTTACGGGTTTAGGGTTTGGGGTTAAACTCGCGACATCTGAACTGCCAAATCCTCTTCCAGCTCATTGTAGCCGTGCATGATTCGCCTCAGAAACCGCTCCGAGGGATTCTGGTCATGCTTGTATAGGCCTGGTAAGTCAGCCGGAGTGATAGTCACCCCAAGTTTTTTTGGCAAGCTCATAGAAGCGCTCTGCTGCATCAGAGGACCTGCCGACGGCCTGCGGGCCTTCCACAAGCAGATGCCGAATGCTCTCCCGGCGGCACTTCTGCCAGACATGGGGGCTTAGGGTTTAGGGGTTGAAGGTTTGATTAGGGGTTTAGGGGTCGTGTTTAGGGGTTTACAGTTGGTTCCGGCTGCACTTCTGGAAAAGTTGCCAGAACTCCTGACGGCACTCTGCCTTCAGGCTTCCTGAGATGACTTCTGCGACACGGCAGAGCACTGTCAAAGAGTGCTGACTCGAAGCCCTGCGGCATGCAGCTGTTTGCCTGGCCGCACTGTCACCATGCTCTGGTTTTCCTAACGGCCCATGTACCTTACACAGCATATGCTGCATAAAGAGGCCTGAACCTCGGGCTTCCGTAATACAAAACCAGAAAGTTGGAATATGATTATCCTAAACCCTTCATGGAAAATTATAAGGTATCCTACCCTGAAACCATACTCCAACTTTCTGGAGTTCCCTCTATTGCGCAAAAAGAATTACACAGTATCCTCCTATGTGTGTCCTCCCTGCTTCCGTAAGTTTTGATGTCAGGCTGTGGGCTTTCTACTTCAGTCACCTGCAGTGCCCACCCCTCCCGATCATATCGGGGCCTCAATTGCTAGAATGGGGTTGTGGGGAAGTACACTATAACATCATAGTGATTTCACTGGGATACTAGTACTATTGCAGAGTCTTCAGGCTCCTATATCATGCCAGGGCCACCAAACCCTAAAGCCTTAAGCCCAATCCCCAAAAAAAGCAACACACAGCAGTGGAACCCGAATCTCTGCTATCCGTATAGTAATCAGTAGATCGAACTCTCAGAGGAACCCTAAACCCTAAACCTAAAACCCTAACCCCTAAACCCCACACCCTGACCCCTAAACCCTAAACCTAGAAGCCTAACCCCTAAACTCTGAACACCAAAACTTCAAAAGGCGTGGAAGCTCTTGCCTGAACCCGAGGATGCCACAGCCACACCAAAGGAGCTGCGGTTGCCGAAGGTGGGGGTGTCGATCTCCTTCTTCCATGCAGGGCTGCGGGTCTAGGGGCTTACTGCTTACCCATAGGCCCCAATAAGTAGTTCCTCTTTGGGATTACCTTATAGGATTCTATATACGAACCCCAAAAAGGAACTACTTTGGGGCCTTAGGGTAGTGGCTTAGTGTATGTCCATCCCACGTTCGTTGCAGGAATAGCTGCAGCAAGCTAGAACGGCCTTAACTATTCTTGGAATTGGATACGGGCGGGAATATTCTTCCGAATGGCATTACTAAATAATAGTCCGATCTCTATACTAGGCGTTAGTACGATTTACGTTTGCTGATGCAGGGCTCGAAACGCAGTTTCCACAATGCCAATCACTTTCCCAAATCAATACACGGAACAACAAAAGGGACCCCTACCATGTTTTAGTCATGTTCCTTACTTCTATAAAGCGGTTTGTGGTCTCCGGGGGTCCAAATAATTGGATTGGTTGTCACATCCCCTTCTGGTCGCTGTCAAGCTAGAACTAAACCTTTTTTACAATGTACCGCCAAAATACAAACCCGCTCGTCTAAGTATTCAACCCTAAACCCTAAACCAATAAATCGCATTCCTGGCGAGGATTGCGACACTGAGCGATACAAGCCTTCGGCCGGCTTTTTCCTTGCGAGAACCCAACGCCCGCTTTGCTTTTGACGAGGTTTGTGATGCTATGAAGCACTGTCGAATGCCGAGCTCCAAAAACAACACTAATTTCGCCTTAAGAGGTTGCCTCTGCTCTCTGGGTAAGTAAGACTATTCCCTGGGGTTCCTTATTACAATCAAAATAGAATATAAGGCCCGTAGTACTACAGCATCCCGATGCCCAAAGCCAGCGGGTCTCCGACGGGCGCACTTCGCCAGTCAGATCGAAAGCACCCCTGGCACACGTCGGCTTCTGAAGAGCAGAGGTATATGACCAAAAATGGGGCTTAGGGCATGTTTTTAGGGCTTAGGATGCTGAAGAAGCTTGTGGGGTTGCGGGCTTCGCGGAGTCTAGGGTTATATACGGCTTGGTTCTTGGCTGAATTTCGCTTTTGCATTTGGGGTCTTCAAGACTTGGGGTCAGGGCCGAGGCGGCCAAGGGTCTGGAAACGAGCAACAATTTTGCATGACCGGGAGCCACAATCACTTGGCTTTGCTAGGTTGCTACGTGGATACCCTGACACTGAAACCCTAAGCCCCTAAACCTCCAAAACCCTTAACCCTAAACCCTTGCTTCTGTTCGAACTGACTGCATTGCTTCGATGGTTTTGAGACAGTCTGCAGCGCCTTGGAAGCCCTGAAAGGCAAAATGAAAAGGCGCCTGGCAGCAACCCTAAGCCCTGAAGCTGTGGACCTTCAGAGCAATGATGGAAATATTCGTACCACACTAGGGATAGTCTTAATTACAGTATTCCATGCGATGCATGTTTATAAACTAATTAGACATACAAATTGAAGCCTCTGGGTATTGTAGTGTACAGAGCTTGCATAGCGCTTAGGGCTTAAAGGGGTTCGGCTTGGTAGCCTTAACACGTATATACTTCCTGTTGTTGGAATCCTTTGTGGGTACCGAAACCCATAGCTCACTATGCTTGCACCCTCAGGCTCAGTTTTCACTCGGTTAAAGAACAAAGCACCTCTTCGTTTTGGAGTTAGAGTTTAGGGCTAGGGTCTATCTGGGATTAGTACTTATGGTTTAGGGTTTAGGATTGGTTTAGGCTCATGGTGTAAGCCCATAGTAGCCTAGACAAACCCTGTGTCGGTGCGGGGCCTTTGGAGTTTACAGGAAGCCACTAAGGTTCCGTCCCCGATGCCCACCTGTCCAAGGCGAGATGATCCGTCCGCTTGACGGGCTTTCGCGGCAGCTGGGCCTCTTGCATGCAGCCACTCCCTATGCTCGGGCTATCGGCTGGAGGGCATGAGAAGTGTACATCTGTACATCTAGATTGTGCATTTTACGGTATAGGCAGGCATGAACAACCAGAGAAAACAACAGTTGAGCATCAATCTCTGTACATACATACATACATACTACATACATAATTGCATACATTACATACATACTGCATGCATGCATGTGTCAATGCGTGTGTATGTGTATGTATGCATGCATGACGTGTACGTGTGTATGTATGAGAAAATAAACGTATTATTACACACACACACACATATATATATATATATGTATATATATATATATACACACACATATGTAACATATCTATCTATATATATATATATATGTATACATGTCTGGGTGTGTTTTTAACAGAGACAGCCAGACAGCCAGGCAGGCGGGCGAGCAGGCAGGTCGGCAGGCAGACGGACAGACGGACAGGCACATGTCATGTTCGGCGTCAAGGAGTCTGGGGGAATTCTCGGCTTAGAATTAGAATGGCCTAGAACTGACATTGAGCATCCAAGCACCAACAAGTCATCCGCTAGGGTGTACGAGTAGGGCTAATTACGGACTGAAGGTGTGGGGTGACGTTTCACGTTTACACAGCCCCCCCGAACGGCCTTCTCAGCACAAAGCTTGGCGAAGAGAGACTTCCGCAGGCGCTGAACGGGGCCCTCACCAAGCAATGATATGAAGACTCATCTATTTCCGACGACAGCAATACATGTATATAGGTTTAAAGTGGGGTAAGTTACAAACCCTGACACAAAAACCCTAGGGTAAGGCATATCTGCTTCGGCCCAACAGGTTAATAGGGCTTACATATCAGGGTTTACTGTGCTTGATGAACCCCTCTCCCACAGAAAGGATTCGAATAGGGATCCGAATATTGGGGCCTGCAAGGAAAGCGGCTGTGAACAAGTTTTAACGGTCTATAAGCTTCAATCATAAGGCATCCCTGGTACGGCCCAAAACTCTCAAAACCCTGAATCCCTTGCTGCAAAACGGACAGGTTTTCCCCGCACCCCTAATCCACCACCCCTTTCTGAACCCAAAATCCAGAATCCTGGAAATAACTGATAAAGCCCGCAAGCCTGAAAGCGACTGCTGAGCCAGAAACGCAACCTCAAGGGTACTTCAACCAGAAAAGAGCACAACCTTAAGCCGACACAAGTCATCCCAAACCTAAAGATGCACAAACACATTGCTTGAGGGTTCCGGGTTGTGGTTTAGGCGTCTAGGGTTCCGGGCTTTGGGTAGGGTTTCGCGGTTTAGGGTATAGGGTTTAGGGTAGGTTTCGGGTATGAGGTTTAGGACTTCTGATTACAGTTTACGGCGCGTACCTCAGTTCATCGGTTGAGAGCTCTCGGCATCCGGGGTTGCAGCTTCTCAGAAAGAAAAGTGCTGTTGTGTTCGTTGCTGGCCTTGTACTCAGCCGCTGCCATGTTAGCCTCAGCACGGGTGTGGAACCCGAACCGACATAAGGCAGCCTCGAGGAAATTAGCATGTTGCAGTGTTCTACACTTCAACACCCTACCCTTCAGTCGCGGGATCGCTCGCAATGAACCGCGAGACAGCCTGTAAACGACCATAACAACAATTATCAAACCCTTACTCAAGACCCTATCAAGACCCCTGAACCCTAAACCCTTTTATCAAGACCCTATGGAACCGTAGCAGCAGTTCTGACTCCAAACTGCAGGTGTTCTGCAGGTTGCAGCTCTGCACAATGAGCCGAAGAGGCCTCATCTAAAGTAAAACCGAAAAGCCTTAATCCATACCTAAACCCCAACCCCTAAACCCTAAACGGTTTAGGGTTAAGGGTTTAGGGACTCCTAAACGTGCATTGAAATCAAAAGTTGCCTCTTGACGTCGGCTGCTACAACACGACTCGCATAGACACTGCTGATGTCATTAAACAAGGGTTCCGGATTTATAGGGTTCAGGGTTTTTAGGAGACCATATAGGAATTTCATTAAACAAGCTTCAGGATTTATGGGGTTCAGGTCAACAAGCTTCAGGATTTGTAGGGTTCAGGGTTTTTTGGAAACAATATAGGAATTTCATAAACAAGCTTCAGGATTTATAGGGTTCAGGGTTTTTAGGAGACCATTTAGGAATTTCATTAAACACGCTTCAGGATTTATAGGGTTCAAGGTTTTTAGGATACAGTAATTACCCTAAGGCTCCATGTACCCATATAGTATATACTTAGGCCTCAAAGGGGTTCCTGTACAGGTACTTTGAGGCCTAAGTATATACTATATGGCTACACGGAGCCTTAGGGTTAGCAGCCACTCTAAAGGACTTTGAAGCGTGCCCTCCTCCGCTCTGCTCCCAGGACACCGAGGGCCGGACAACAGCAGAGTCGCGGCCCAGGCTTTCGCGGGAAATCCTGTTTAGGGCTTACCAAGAGGTCCCAAAGCCTAGTACTGTTTTAGGGGTTTAGGGTTTGGGCTTTAGTGTTTACTGTAGGGTTTAGGGTTTACTGTAGTGTTTAGGGTTTAGGGTTTATTGTAGGGTTTAGGGCTTAGGGTTTATTGTAGGGTTTAGGGTTTAGGGTTTAAGTTTGTTGTAGGGTTTAGGGGTTTAGGGATCTGCGAGCCCAGTGTGCTTGAAAGTAGTTGAAGGTGTAGTTGCTTGTGTGTACTCCTATGCACCCTACTGCATACATAATGTGTGCATCTATTATACACAAAATGGTAAGTTATGATGTTTGGCCTCTACTCAGGACTCAGGTCTCCGCAATGCCATTGTTCTCAAGGGAAAGCTTCTTTGGGCTTTGGGTTTAGGGTTTTGGGTTTGGGGTTGTCCATGACCTCCGTAATCCGGCAATCCAACACCCCGTTAATGTAGGGGCCCGAACGATCAGAATACGGGGCCCTTCATAATTACTATCATTAAAGTAAGGAGCCCCCCCAAAAGAGTACACGTAATTATTGAGGCCCCTACATTGGACCCAAACCCTGAGGCTGCATGTACCCAGAAAGTATATACTTAGGCCTAAAAGCACCCATATAGGGACCCCTCTACGGCTTACGTATCTACTATAAAGGTACATGGAGCTTTGGGGGAGTGTATAAATCCTGCATTACCCTTAATAAGGAAGATACCATAATTCACATAGTTTAGGGTCCTTAAAGTATATAATGCAGGATTTATGTCATCAACCGTATTAAGGCCCCTATATAAGCCCCAAACCCAGAATCCTGAAACCGGCTCGCCTCCTGGGGGCTCCCCCTTGGGCGGTGCGCGCACGCTCGCAAAGGCTGATCGCGCGCTCATTCCTTGGGGGGGTTTAGGGTTTAGGGTTTAAGGTTTAGGGTTTAGGGCTTAGGGTTTAGGGTTTAGGGGTTTAGGGTTTTCGCATGCTTGGAGGTTCATGGGTATAAGTTCCCCTAATAGAAGTTATAACCATAGTTAGCCTAAGTATAACTCCACTTCTAACTACCCATGAACCTCCAAGTGGTCTGGCAAATAAACGTGTTGGGGGTTCGGTTGAGGCTTGGGTTCGTATCTTTCCAGGGTTTACAGTACAAGTTTGTAGTATGGGGCTGCCTTTGCCAAACCTGAGGGGCATAGACCAAGAGCTCTAGCAACAACACCAGCGACCATTTTCGATGAGTGCCACAGCTGCTGCATCTGCTCAGCACCATAGTCATCATTGGTCATCATCAGCATGCAGCATCACTATCAACATCGTCATAAAGTGCCATGCTACTGGTAGCACAGAGCAAGTTTCAATAATGAGTGCTATGGCAGACCAGATTGAGCCACGCAGAAGCCAACCCCTCTTGCCACGAGCCCAACCTGAAAATTGAATTCCAAGCTCCATGAGTTTCCGTAACCCTAAGGCTCCATGCAGTTCCTCCTCCTTGGGGTTCATCTGCAGAATTCTACAAGGTAACCCAAAAAGGAACTACTATGGAGCCTCTGGGTAAACCCTAAACTCCAGACCCTGGGAAGTAGGGCTTAGGGGATACAGTTGCCTCACGGCATCGAGTCCTGATAGGCCCCTGAACCCAAAACCCTCAACCTTGGGCACTGCCCCCACACAGTAAATCTCAATACCGGGGCTACTATTAAGGGCCTTATACATATACATATGTATATATATATATGTCATCTATGTTATGGATAGTACTCACCTATTACTTAAACTCACGCAAGGCAGCATCCAAGCTAAACCCGAAACCCGAACCGCCGCATGGCTTCCAGGTGAAGGGGTTACCCGCAGGATACTCGTTCCCAGAACCACAAACCCTTGGGAGCTTAATTTCACTTTCAAGCCTCCAAGGGCATTCGCAGTGAACTGCTTTCAGGTACAGAGTAATCCCCATAAAGTTGGAAACCGGATAAAGGCCAAATAGTGCTGGGATTCCCTGTACATTGCTCTTAAGGATTGAGGCTATGGGGTTTCCAACTTTTTGGCTTCTACTGTAGTACTTGAGCTTCGGCTTTGGCAGGTTCAAAGCTGTCAGCACCTTTCTTCCTGCAGCACTTCTTGTGTGCTTGCCCTCAAGGCTGATTTTCGGGTCCATGCATCCATAATAAATATTATAGTATGTACTTGGCCAAAGTGGTTTCCTACATGGGTCCTAGGGCCAACTGTACTCGGCCAACGTGGCTTTAAACAAAGAGACGAGGGCCAAAGTGTTTGCCACATGTCTACATATAATATAGGTATACATATATATATATATATATATATTTACACATACATATATATATATATATATATATATATTTGTATAACATAAGCACTTACATATATACTCACGCATGTTCTGCATGGACATGTGGACCCTTAGGGTAGTCCGGGCGGTTGCAGCGGCGAATACGCAGCACTAAGGCGCTGGCAGCTGCAATGATCTGAGCTGCACCGACTGGGCCTGCAGCATCATTTGGGCCCCAAGGTCCCCCATATGGGTGGTTGTCAAAATTATTGTCCCTTTTTGGGTCCCTGATATAGTACGGCACCTCATATTTAGGGTACCCAAAAAGGGACCCAAATTTCGAAAACCGCCCATATTATAAGATTTAGGGCCTAGGGATCTAACCCTAAGGGTCCAAGTACCCAGTATTTTTTTTACTTCTTCAAAAAATAACCTACATAGCTACTATCCTAGACCTATCAGTACCCTAAACCCTAAACCCTTAAACCCTAAACCCCTTCGGACCCCCAAGGTAAGCTCAGGGCGCAGAGGGTTCAGGTTTTATGGTAGAAGCCAGAAAGTTGGAACATTAGACTCCTCATGCCCTTAAGGTAAAGCATAAGGGATCCTAGCACGAATCCTCCTAAATCCATGTTCCAACTTTCTGGCTTCCACTGTAGGGTCTCTGAAGCTAAGCGGGCTTCAGGGAGGATTTTGGGTTGAGGGCTTTAGGGGTTTCCATTAAAGGGATTATAAGGGGTTCCGTTAAAGGGATCTATAGGGTGTAGGGTTTAGGGTTTGCCGTTTAACTCACTGGCCCGAAACCCAAGGGAATAAAAGTTGAAACTTTGAGAATGGACTAACTTTCAAGAACCCCAAAGGTTGAAAAGTTGAGTTTGCAGCCAATAAGTTAAAGCTCAAGAACCCTGAATGCAGACGTGTCTTTCTCAAGAACCCCCCAGCCCGCCTTCGCCGCGAGCTAAACTCCAATCATCCGAACCCCAACCCCTAAACCACCTGAACCCCCAAAGCCCGGAGATCCCAGAGCATCAAAGACCCTGAACCCCAATCCCTATAAGTACAGTGCAAAAAACAACCTATCCACCTTGGGCCGGTTTCATGGACAAGTAAAAGCTGCTCCTTGAACCTGTATCACAGGTTGAAAACAAGAGCAACCATGGTATCTACGGTATCTACTACAGGTGGCATGCGTTTAAAAAATCAAAAAGCCACATTGAGACCCGGAGGGAGTTTCCAGCACTGCGCATGGGAAGAGCCTATCTATAGACCCTCCGCCCACCCAAAGTACCCATTATTGAGTTCGGGAGTTTAGATACCCTCCTTGAGGATTTGAGGATGCAAGGAGCCTTCTGGCGAGTAAAGGGGCCAGCGATGGTGCATTGGAGTTCAAACTTTACATTTAAGACACTGAAGCCGAGAGGGCTGCAATAAGCCCAAACACGTATCTTCCGACATGCGGCCTGCTGTTGAAGGAACCAGCCGCGATCATCTTCCTTGTCCTCCACTGCCCGACGGTGCGCGGAGCGCAAAAGGGAGAATTTTGTCAACTCGGCTCAGTTAGAATCTGCGCTCCCCGAATGAAACCCTATAAACCGGTGCTTGTTCCCGAAACACTGAACTCCACTGACCCTAAACCCTAAAACCTTAAACAATAAACCCTTAAGCCCAAAACCCTAAAACCTAAACCCTAAAACCTTAACCCTAAGCCGCTGTCACAAAGGAGTCGAGGGGTTGGGGGATCGCGGCTTTCGGCAAAAACGCTGCATCCCCTCTCAAACTTGGGAGAAGCGCACAAAGAAACATACCCAGAGGCTCCATAGTAGTTCCTTCTTGGGATTACCTGCTAGAATTCTACATATGGGAGTTCCCGAAAAATAGGGATACCTTGTGTTGTGGTCCTTATAATAAGGATCCTACGATTTAGGGTGCTATACTAGGGTCCCCTATTGTCGGAAACTCCCATATGAACCCCCAAAAGGAACTACTATGGAGCCTAAGGATATACACAACCAAAGCTCTGGCCCCGAGTCCTCACCAGGCCTGACTACACTGCAGGCTGGGGAAGGGAACGTATTTATCTGGGTGCAAAACCCAAAGGGTCCAAAGTACCTATGATACTTAGATGCTGAGTTCATAAGCCCCCAAAAAGTGTACACATTTAATTTGATCATGGGTGATATTATCCCAAAAAGTGTAACGTGTATTCACTCAGCTACTATGTATATAGTACATGTAGGGTTTCTATATTAGGAATGAATACTGTGATTTGCGGAAGTCTTCCCCGATAACAATACCTAGGACCCTTTGGCAAAGGCTTGAAGACAGATGCAGTGAGTAGCCCTAAACCCCGAACCCTGAGCAGTGACCCTAAACCCCCAAACACCTAAACCCCTAAACCCTTAATAAACCCCAAACCCTAAATTCATAAACCCCTAAACCCTAAGTTCATAAACCCCAAACCCTAAACCCCTGAACCCTGATCAGTAGTGACTGGCAAACCCAAAGAAGAGCACCAGCTTCTAGTCTTCTACCCTGACAGCTAGGCCGTAGGTTTTGGAATTTAAAGTAAAAGCCAGAAAGCTGGAATATCATTATCGTAACCCCATTTAAGGTAAATTATAAGGTCTCCTACCCTGAAACCATATTCCAAACTTTCTGGAGTTCCCTTTAGGGCTTTTTTGTTACCGACCAAACAAGACTTACGTGGTGGGTTACTAGATCATCAAACCCTCATAGATCTGATGGGTCCGCAACCCAGCAACCTGCCAGAACCTACTGTAGTGGTCGGAATATTTGGCAACAGTGTCCCCCCCATCACCGGTTTACATCAGGTACTCATCAACATCTCAATAAACCCCAAAATCGCAAACTCAAAATTGTGGAAGCTGTGTCAACACCCTCGGCCCTCAGTCACCGGAACACCAAAGACTGGAAACCCTAAACCCTAAACCCCTAAACCCTAAACCCTAAACCCCAAATCTTCAGTCCCACCCAGAAATCCGCAAGACCCCCCAACCGTAAACTTCGGGCCCGCAAGCCCTATCCAGAGGCTCCATAGTAGTTTCTTTTGGGGGTTTGCTTATAGAATTCAAAACATAATCCCCCCAAAGGAACTACTATGGAGCCATAGGGTAGAGCCCTAGAAAACAAGTCCCAACTCATCTCTACTGCAGCCACAAAGCCCTGAAAGGCCTACCCGAAGGCCCCATGGTAGTTCCTTTTGGGGGTTCATATTTAGAATCCTATAAGGTAATCCCCAAAAGGAACTACTATGGGGCCTTAGGGGGGTACTGTACCCACAAAGCCCTGAAAGGCCTAAAGCCCAGTCCTTCGGCGGGAGCTGAGGCTCGACTTGTTTCGGTGCCGGCCGTCGGTTGCCCTTCGAGCTGCGTGCTGTTCAGGGTATAGGGGCTCAGGGTTTAGGGGCTTAGGGGTTTAGGGTTTTAGGGTTTCGAGTTCAGGGAAGGCCTTCAAAGGTAGAAGAGAGCTTTGGGGTAAATTTAAACAACAGGAAGTCTAGGCAATGGCAATGTATAACCCCGCAAAAACCTGATCAACCCTATATGAACGCACCATCATAAGTCTGAAGGCCCCACCCCCCCCACACTAAAGCACAAGCCAAACAACTGCAGTAGGCCGGATCCGCCAGCCTCTGCGACTGCCTCACCCAGGGGCATGCCTCTCCGAAGGCGGTGTAGGGTCGTCTGGTTTAGTGTCTTCGTGTTATCCCATGATGTGACAGATCTCAACACTTGCTGGCTCGGGCTTCTCTCATTCGGCGGTGAAGCTGATAATGAAAATGTCGACGGCGATGATGATGATGATGATGATGACGATGGTGATGATAAGTCCGTGACCAGCACGGTGGTAATGGTGATTAAGGTAACGAGTATGTTGATGAAGCAGCTGCTGATGGTGATGCAGATCTAACAACGATGATGGCTATTCTGATGACTGTCGACACGGTCACAGTGAGCATGCTGCTCATGATGATGACGACCATCCTGATGATGAGGGGGTTTCCGAAAATTAGGGGTACCGTATTTGGGGGTCCTTGTAATAGGGAACCTACCATTTAGGGTGCGACAGTATGGTCCCTTATTTTCAAAAACTCCCGGGATGATGATGAGGAGGAGGACGAGGACTTGGCCGGTTGTGAGGTCGTCGGAAGTGCTGGCATGGCTGCCCGATGAAATCTGCATGACATCTTACTAAAGGGAATGCCAGAAAGTTGGAATATGGATTAATGGTAGGATCCCCTATAATTTACCTTAAAGGGGGTACGATATATAATGATATTCCAACTTTCTGGCTTCTACTGTACCCTATAAGGCTCCCTGGTAGCTCCTTTTTGGGATCACCTTATAGTATTCTAAATATTAACCACAAAAAGGAACTACTAGGGGGCCTTCGGGTACTGTAAGGCCCTTTATCTCAGGCTCAAACCTTCTTGGCAACAGGCTACAGTCTCCAAGAAGCACAACGTCAAGATGCGGGTTTCTAACGTGAACGAGCTTTCCCAAACTAAACAGCAAACCCCAGTTCCTATTACAAGCCCGAAACCCGGAATGTGTATAAAGCCCAATAATAACGGCCCTGTAAACCATATATAAACCCTTTGTGCGCTGAACCCTAAAACCTCTGAACACCTCTGGGTGCTAACGGTTCAGGGCTTGACAGTTGCAAAGTTGTGGGGTGCGGGACTTCCCCGGCAATAACCCAGTGCAAAACGCTACGACATTGTAATTTGCTGCACAAACACACCATAATATGCTATAACATGGATGTCCAGCCCAGAAACTACATATGAGAGGTTCAGAAATCTGTTCTTACTCCAGAAATTTCCAGGGTATTTAATTAGGGCTGCAGGTTGCAGGAGGGACCGGGTGTCAAGCCAGCCATTCCCACACCGAAGAACACAAACGACGGCTAAAACACAAAGCCCCAAACTCCAAATTCTACACCTCCCCATTGCTCAACCCCTGAATCGTCTACACCATGCCCTGAAACTTCAAACGCCCCCCTCTGGCCAAGTCTTCTTTACATACAGTAAGTTGCAGAGGGTTTTGTTTCGAGTCCTTGCAAAATCTGATTCTGCTGTGCCTCTAAAACCAACAACAAACAAAGGCAACTTCATGAAAAAACACGCCACAGAACCCTGCGACAACAAAGAAGCAATCCTCCAAACTACTTTGGTCTACAGTACTCTGTAAATCTTTCCCTCGACAGCCCTGCATCGTGCGAGCAGGGATTCTTAAGGCAGGGCATCTCTGGAGACTGAGTTCAAACCCTAAACCCTCGGTTTGGGCAGCACATCGATTCTCAGAGTAGGTTCGGGCTGATGCGAAGATAGGGGTCTCAGTAATTGACCGGAAGCCCTGTTTAAGTAAAGTCGGCATGTACGTCTGTATTGTGATACACTCCACCGCTCTCTTGATTGTTGAAGGGCCCCTCGTTGAGGTCAGGGGTTCAGGGTTTAGGGTTTAGGGTAATCCCTGCTGAACCCGTAAACCTTACCTTGATCTACCAAAACCTACTATTTTGTAGGGTTCCTATAATTTTCATAGTAGGGCTTATAATAAGAACCTCCAATGAAGTAGGTTATAGTTTAAGGTATACCCTAAAGCCACAAAGTTGGAGGCCTGTCTTCTGCCCACGAAGAGGATTCTTCGGCCGCCCTGGAAGCAGCCAGCGGTTGGCCGTGGGCGGCTCCTTGCCGGCATCAAGCTTAGGGGTTAAGGCTTAAGGCTTAAGGTTCAGGGCTTAGGAAAGGTGTAGAGTTTACGCCTGAGGTTTTAGGGTTTCGGGCTTAGTTTGTTTTTTCGAGGCGGGGAGGCTTGAGGCTGTTTGGTTTAAACATGTAGATGGTCGGCATGGCTTTGGATTTAGGGCTTAGAGTGGCTCGGGTCCCACTGCCTGCTAGCTCTGCCTTGCGAGCAAACTCTGCAGCTTGGGCGCCAAGCGCCCCTGTGGCACTAACCTCAAGCTCATGTCTGATGAGAGCCCACGTCGGCCCGGCGCCGTCCATTGGTTCGGCAGTTTCCTCAAGCTCAGCTGGCCTTGGATTGGCCCGCTCCAACTCAGCACGAACAGCTTCGCTATGACATTCACGAGTTGTGTGGTTCACGAAGCACAAGGGCATGTGCCAGGGTTCAGCGTTGAGGGCGGCTAGATCAAACCTGCACTGTGGCACTGAAACCCTCAACTTTTTTGATCCTAAACCCACGGTTCCTTGAGTGCCCCAGATCTTCCAAGCCCATAAACACCTTTAAACCCTTTCAATTCACAGACTTCATGAACAGCCTTAACTACGTTTGACCCGATGGATGTTGCTGAGTTCGGTTCAGCACTGCAAGCTAAGCCTTTGAGTATGATAGCTTTCTTGCACAACCAACAAACAAGTTGAAACTTACCTACTCGTCAGATGCATCCAGCCGTAAGTCCTAAGCGTGAAGATCCGAAGTCACCGGAACCTTGGATTAGGGTTTAGGGGTTAGGGCTTAGGGTTTACATCATCCCTAGTCCGTACATGTCTGAAATTCCCGAAGCAACGCTAAACGAATCCAAGCAGGTCCCTAAACCCTAAGCCCTAAACCCCAAGCCCCATAGATCCGGACATACACTCCTAAATACCGATCCTGGTCGCTGCTTGTCCCTAACCTCTGAACCCTAAAACCCTAAACTCTAAACCCTAAACTCTAAAGCCTAAACCCTAAACCCCTAAACTCTAAACCCTAAACTCTGAAGCCTGAACCCTAAACCCCTAAACTCTAAACCCTAAACTCTGAAGCCTAAACCCTAAACCCCTAAACTCTGAACCCTCAAACTAAAACCCTACAGCCTTACAACCCTGAACCCGAAGGCCCCTACAGCCCGAAACCCTGCAGACCTCAAGCCTTAAACCTTCTGGGCTTTGAAGTAGCCAGGGGGAAAAAGTATAGACTTTTAACTCATAATGGTTCCTTTAAGGAAGAGGTACCAAAAGAAGTATTAAAGTATGGTAGCGGTACTCCAAACCCAGGTTCTGGGCTTGCGGCAAGGCTGGAGCACTTCGTCGAAAAGTGGTAGCGAGACGGGCTGGCGAAGTCTCCTGGCGGGGAGTTCGGGCGGTGGAGGGCTCCAATCTTAAAGCTTATATAGGGTTGAGGGCTTAGCATATCATGTGGGGCCGAGGGTTCAGGGTTTGGGTTTTGGGAGTTAGGGTCTTAGCGTTTAGGGCCTAGGGCCTGGATTTGAGGGTCGTTGGTCGTTGTCACATTTGCGGAGCTCATTCTTACGATTAAAGGCTAACGGTGAAAACTTTGGGCATTTTCTGACTCAGCGTTGAGCCTGCCGGCTTGGACTACGATGTTGACGATAAAAGGGATGGTTTAGCATGTCGGTGTAACCATGGGCTTCGGATTGACCCGAACTGAATCCAAGCCCTAAAACCCAAACTCCACGCCCTTAACCCCAAACCCGAAATCCTGAACCCTGAACTTCTCAAACCCTGATACGGTTGATGATATAAACCCTGCACTACCTTAAGGACCCTTAAACTATGGGAATTATTGTATATTCCTTACTATGGGTAATGCAGGATGTATATCACCCTAAACCCTAAAACCCTATAGATCCCTTAAAGGAACCCCTTAAAGGTACCCTTTTATAGATCCCTTTAAAGGAGTCCGAGGATTTATATCAACAACCGTAGGATTGAGCTTTCCGGGTGCAGGGCGCAGGGATGCGGCCCTGGAAAGTGCAGACGGCCTAGTCTAGCTCGGCTTAGGGGTTAGGGAAAGGGGTTCGGGAATCTGGCTGAGGGGTTTAATAGCGGCTCCGGCTTGGAGTTTCGGGGTTCAGGAATGTATGGGATTAGCATTTAAGGTTGAGGATGTCGGAGTTTAAGGTCTTAGGCTGGAGCTTAGCAGCTTGCCTTTCAATCGTCTTCAACTCCGTACCTTTACGCTTCAATGGAGTTGCGCTTATACTGGGCTTTTGAGTAACCAGGGAGAAAACAGTATAAACTTGTATTTCATAATGGTTCCTTTAAGATAAAACTATAAAAGTATGGTACTCCAAAGCCAAGTACCGTGAACCCCAGAAAGTTGGAAACCGGATTAAGGTCAAATAGTGCTGGGATTCCTTATACATGGCTCTTCAGGATTGAGGCTAATGGGTTTCCAACTTTTGGGCTTCTACTGTATAGTTACCTAAGTTCCACAGTGCGAAGTCCTCTACCCCAAGGTTTTCACAACGACACCGGGCCGACTCCCTGGGGGCGGGCGGCGGTCCTGCTGGCTTGGACAAGAAGTGTTCCACTTCAGCCGCCTGCCAGAATCTACTACGAAACACGTCATCAACCACGGGTAGAACGGGGCTTTAGGGTTTAGAGATTAGGATTTGGAATTTAGGGTTTAGACTTTAGGGTTTAGGATTTAGGGTTTAGCGTATCCACTACGAAACAAGTCATCAACACCGTCCCGTCCTCGTTATCGCAACCATGATCATCATCGACATGGCATCGCCACCAACTGCATCATCGTCGTCATCTTCATCATCTTCATCATCAGCAACGTCAGAATGTGTGACCACCATCAGGGAACATCGTGATCTCTTGACTGAGCCCTAACCCAATAGGCTGTTCAGCCATTCCTTTGGCTGGTCGTAGTATAATAGCCTCGAGAATTGCCAATACTTGCTCTTGGGTTTCCCGTCTGAGATAACCCGATTCTGATCATTAAGGCCTCAGTAACCCTTTTAGCAACACCTATAGACCCCTTTACAAGTATCCTTTAAGCAACAGCTCGGTTCTCCTGCATTACTTTGGCCCTCATGGGCCTCCCTCTCCAGCTCCGGCGTGTTGGAGATCTGCATGATGTTCTCCCAGTCTACCTCTGAGATTACGGGTTTTGCGGTTCAGGGATGTAGGGTTTGGGGGGCTTTAGGTGTTTATGTGAGAAATGATGGGAGGCCAACAGGGGGGTTGAAGATTCTTGGGGTAGGGATTCCTTTCTATGAACCCTATTATGGGAACCCTAATCCCTACTAAACCCCCAAAGGCTAAAACCCCTTTTGGCCTCCTACGGTTGATGATATAAATCCTTCATGACCCACAATAAGGAATGTACCACAATTCCCATAGCTTAGGGTCCCTAAGGTAATGCAGGAGTTGTATCATCAACCGTATGAAAGCCTGCCCAGAGCCTCCAAAACCCCTTAATTAAGGAATATACCTTAAATTATAATAGGATCCCTTATATGATTTAAGGTATATTCCTTAATTAAGGGGTTTTGGAGGCTCTGGGTGGTTTGAGCTTAGGCTTGCGGTAAGGAGTCGCGGCTCGGGTCTCAGTTCCGGGGCTGCCCTACTGTTGATGGGCAAAAGCCTTCATGACCCTTAGGACTCTACACTAAAGGGAACTCCAGAAAGTTGGAATATGGTTTCAGGGCAGGATACCTTATAATTTACCATAAAGGGTTTAGGATAATCATATTCCAACTTTCTGGCTTTTACTTTATGGGAACTATGGTATATTCCTCATAATGGGTAATGCACCATTGTGTCCATCAGCAGTACCAAAAAAAGGCTCAAGTAGGAACACATCATCCGTGCACAAAGGGCCCTAAGTAGCTACATGGTGGAATGTGGGGCTTGTATAGGAGGAACTACGATTATGATGTGGGGAAGTATTCCCGATAACAAAACCTAGGACCCCTTTGGGTTGCAAACAGTGGGAACGAGCCCTGAAACCGTCCCAAGACCCTGAACCCTAAACCCTAAACCCTAAACCCTAAACCTTAAACGAACCCTAAACCTCCAGAGCCTGAACCTTCAACCCTAAACCCCTAACGGTTGATGATATGAATCCTGCATTCTCGATAATAAGGAATATACCATAAATCCCATCGTGTAAGGTCCTCAAGGTAATGCAGGATTTATATCATCAACCCCTAAGCACTAAACTCAAGGCCCCAAATACCACTAAGCCTTGAATCCAAACCCCTAAACCCTAAACCCCTGCAGCCAAAGCCCCAAACCCGACGTCCTAAACGGCTCCGACCGAGCCAAACCCTAAACCCTAAACCGCGCAGAGGGGCTCCGACCGAGCCTTGTTCCGGAATTTCTCCAACACGTCCTTTTCCAGTGCCGAGAGTTCTGAGTCCACCTCCACCAACTTCCGATGGCACGGTTTAGGGTTTAGGGGTTTAGGGTTTAGGGTTAAGGCTTCTGAAAACTGCAAGGTCCCTCTAAGGGGTCCTATAACAAGAGATCTCCATTGGTGACTGCAAATCCTGCGGTTTTTGAAATGTCGTAAAGGTTTCTGCACAGCTTCGTAAGAATCTGTTTCTATAAGGGTTATGGTTACTGTAAGGGTCTTATGATGGTTCCTTCAAGGGTTCCTCAAAAGAGATCTGCATCGGCTTCTATTTCCCGAAGGGCACATGTCGCCATACAGTATACACTGCGGCCTTAACTACCGTAATCCCTCCTAGGTCCTTTGGAACCAAAGTATATGCGTGGTTGTCAAAATTATGGTCCCTATTTGGGTCCCTAGTATACGGCACCTATTATTTAGGGTACCCCAAAAGGGACCAAAATATTGACAACTACCCATATATCATCTGGGTATATGGAACCTTAGCGTGTGCTATGATGGGTTTACAATGGGGTTTAGCACTTTATGCGTAAGGCTCCTATAGCTTCCCTGGGCTATGCGTACATAGTGCTTATATGAGGAACCGGAACCTCCTCTACGAGTAACTGGGCTTCTTCGGTTTTGCTACAAGCCCCTTAGAACAACATAGGAAAATAGTTTGCGTGATGAACTTTAATGAGCCGTTGGGTCAAAATTGCACTACAAAATAACAAACAAACTCGTAAGGAACAACCAGTTTGTGGGGCGGGCAGGTACGGATTTGGAACGTTCACGGAATTCACGAAAGCACATCGCAACAAACATAAGTTTGAGGTAAATGCGGCTCAGCACCTTCTCAGACCTACCAATTTCAACTACGCCAATACTCCGAGTTGTGAATGCCAAGCTTTCCTTATAGTCCGTTCTATCCTCTCTGAGCCTAAGGGCTGCGTACGGATCTTACACGAAAGAATCAACACCCTAAACCCCAAACCCCCCTGAAGCCCTAAACCCCTACTGCTAAGCCGGCGTGGTACTGTGTTTAGAGTTTAGGGTTCAGCCCGAGCCTCTAGCCAGAAAACCGCCCAACACTCGAAATTCTAACCCATCCTAAACCTTCAAACCCCAAACCCTAAACCACTCGAAATCGCGCGCCGCCTGCGCACAGCGGTCTCGGATGCTCTTCAGCCGAGGCATCTCGATCGTCTCCACAGGGACCTCCCCAGTCCGAGCTTTGAGAGTCTTAGGGTTTAGGGTTTAGAGGGTTTAGGGGTTTACGGGTTTAGGGCTTTCCGAGCTTGGAGAGTCTACTTGGAGGTCCTGGTCCTCTGAGACGGGTCTTTAGGGCATATAATAGGGCTTTTTAGGGTTCCTTTAAGGGTTCCTTTAAAGGGATCTATAGGATTCTATAATGGTTTAGGGTTTATAGGGTTTACTTGGAGGTTCATGGCCAGTTATAACTGGAGTTCTCAGTCCCCTTATAGGGGTCATAGCCATAGATACCCTAATTGTAACCCCACTTATAACTACCCATGAACCTCCAAGTAGGTTCCTGAGTAGCCCCATTACTCCTTCTTCAACAACCCCGACCCCCGGCAGGATCTAGAAAGTAGATCCCCTAATTTGGGGCCCTATACTACTAAGGGTACTTGAGAAGAACCCCATTAAGGGATCTGCTTTTTGGATGCTCCCGGGGGTCTGGGTTACGCCTTCTTCAACAACCGGGCCCCAAAGAGTCCACACTTTCTAAGATCCAGCAAATACATGAGGCCGAAAAGTTGAAAGTTCCCCCGTTCACTATCGAAGGTTATAATAAGGGCAGCCTTGTTCCTACTTTCCGGTTTTCATAAGGGGACCCTGTTTAGAACAAAATGGGCAAAATGGAACTACTCAGGAACCTAGTCTTTTAGGGGTTCCCACGCCCAAGGGATTCCTTATATAACCACGAATGACCTACCGTTTTCAGGAATCCTACAAGGAAATCAGAATAAGGAACCCAAACAAGGTAGGCTATATTCAGGGTTATGGTTGCCCATAGGCCCCACAGTAGTTCCTTTTTGGGATTACCTGATAGGATTCTACATATGAGCCCCAAACAGGAGCTACTGCAGTAGAAGCCCAAAAGTTGGAAACGCCATAGCCTCGATCCTTAAGAGCAATGTATAGGGAATCCCAACACTATTTGGACGAAGTCATTTCGGGCCATGGAGGCCGAAGGTTTCAGGGTTTAGGGTGTAGGGGTTTAGGGCTTAGACATGCATCAGTAGATAGAGAGAAGTAGGAGCAACAGAAAATGCAGTGAACGGAGGCTTTTCAGGACAAAATTCTGCAAGTGCGTCTGCTTCGACAGTATTATGCTTAAGGGAAGCGACGCCTTTTTAAGCACTTCGGGCCTGCTCTGAGATGAAGTGAGTGTGGTGACTCAAGATCTCGATCCTGAGCGATTGTCGAATCATCAAGGGTTGCAGCAGTTTACCTCTAAACCCTACATCCTGTCCCCAAAGACTCTAGAACCCTGTCTCAGGTAGTAGACCTTGACGCAAAAGCGGATCTTTTCGCAGCTGGTTCGGTGTCGGTTTAAGGTTGAGGGCTGAGGGTCTCAGTCGTTATGTCAGGTGAAATGCTAGGCACCATAAAGGTGGTATGATGCAGGATTTTCAAGGCTATCTTGAGGACAGTGTTTCGATCAAGGGGCCTTTACTGTGTACTCAGCCATACATCCTAAACCCCTGAACCCTCAACTCCACTGTGACTACAAAACTCGAGAATCGGAAACTACAAGGCGACACCTTTCCACATCTAAGGTGGGACCGAAGCCAATCCGTAACCGTCTGTCGCAAAAACTTCATCAAGCCGACGGCATTTATACTCAACCCGTAAGCAAAACGAGCGAGCGGAATCATGCTCTGAAAGTTTACGGCCCACCTAGAACCCCCAACTACTCTCTATAAACCAGCACGTGTACCAACTATGAAAGCCCGTAAGGGCTCCAATTGACATGCGGGGTCCTGAATGATTGAATTCTGGCTTTGGGTTTTACTATACTATAGCGTTATCACACAGAATCCTGAGGGAAGGTATTACTATGCAGGTCAGGTTCAGGGGTAGTGCCTGCTATTCACGGGGAAATCTAGGCTAATTATGTTTGATGCAGGGGTCGGTCTATCCAGGATTGAGGCAATGAGATCGAGATAACATCAGCTCTTCGATTAAAGCAGCAGCAGAAGCCCCCATCATGAACACAGGTTTGCCGCTGAGTTCGTGCTCTTGACCTCTCGCATGTGGCATGCTTGTCTGTACACGCCTCTACATCAGCCAGCCGAGCACACTTGGCCCCATCGCACTTTACACAACTTGCCTTTGCAAGCACTTCAGAAAGATCCTAATTCACCCTACAGTACGCAGAGGCCCCATACTAGTTCCTTTCTGGGATTACCTTATAGGATTCTAAATATGAGCCCCAAAAAGGAACTACTATGGGGCCTTGGGTAAGGTCTAGAAGGCCGAAAAGCCAAAATCCCATGAGGATCCTTCAAACGGGGGCGCAGAGACACTCAACTAAGAAAACCCTCGCAGACCAGTTTGCCCCCGGATATCCTCAGAAAAGAGTTGGCGGTTGGGAGCGTCTTTAATCGAAGCCGGCAAGTTGGAACATCATTATCCTCATGCCTTTAAGGTAAAGCAAAGGGGATCCTAGCACCAATACTCCTAAACCCTGTTCCAACTTTATGGGGTTCACCGTAGGTATATCACATTGAACAGATACAGCAGCATGAATAACCATGACTTTTCTTGCTTAGGCTTCGGGGTCTAGGCTTTCGGGTTTAAAGTTTAGGGTTTATGGTCTATAGGGTTTGTAGGGTATCCTATCTTAAGTAAACCTGAAAAGGGCGCTACGACTCTATTCTGATTGTTCGCAAGCCCTTGTATACCCTATGTATACTATAGACCACTTGCATGTAATGAGGATCCTGATATTAGGTGTTGTGCTAAGGTCTGTTTTTTGTTAGAAGGATTGAAAGTTTGATAGGGATTTGGGTTTAGACTTTGCGGCTTCGAGTTTAGAGTTGGATCAAGCCCGGAATGGGAGACTTGACCTCTCAGCCACTTGCCTCTCTGTAAGCACCCCATACCTCGCGCAAAGCTCCTGGTACCAGCCTGGACGTGGGTGTCTATGGCGTACTCTCAGTCCCTAAACCCTAAACCCTATGCAATATCTGATCCGGCTAAACCCAATTCCCGAAAAGCTCAGCTTGGGGCTTGGAGCACAGGGTGCAGGGTTTGGGAAGCTCAGGGTCTAGGGAAACCCCTAAACCCCCCAAACCCTAAACCCTAAAATCCTAAACCCCTAAGTAGACCCTAAACTCTACACCGCATGCCCACATCCCCTAAATCCTAAACTCTCAACAACCAAATCTCAAGAAGGGCTCCTTCCTCACTCCTCAGGCTGCTTATGACGAACTAGAACGGTTACAGCATTATGGGATTTCCGATTCTGAGTTCCAAGCACAAAGGCTAAGTATGTTTATGTATATGTATATGTATATGTATATGTATATGTATTTATATATATATATATGTATATGTATATATGTATATATGTATATGTATATGTATATGTACATGTATATGTATATGTATATGTATATGTATATGTATATATATATATATATATATATATATGTATATATGTATATGTATATGTATGTGTATATGTATATGTATACGTATACGTATATGGATATGTATATGTATACGTATACGTATATGTATATGTATATGTAAATATATATATGTATATGTGTATGCATATGCATAGATACACGTATTTGTATATGTGTATGTGTATGTATATGTACATGTACATCTATGCATGTATGTATGTATGTGTGTATATATATATATATGCATATATATATATATATATATATATATATGTGTGTGTGTGTATACACAGATACAGACATATGTACATATGTATATATATATATATGCATATATGTATATATAATACACGGGGTGCTCCAGGGATTGGTGCCGTTGGTTTCAGGCTTCTGACTGAAGTCTCATGAATTTGTGGGATATTCTGCTTAGGGCTTGGGTCTCAGGGCTTAGGGTTTTGAGTTGATGGGGTGGTTGTCGATCCTGGGTCGCCGTGACAAGCGTAGTCGATGGTCAGCTCCTCACCAGGTTGAATGTCGCGCAGGGCGCCGTCAAAACCGATCGTCGGGGTGGAGGAATGATTGGTGAACCTGAGCTGTCACAGTCTTGGTTTGGGGCTCGTGGGTTTGTCGGGGGTGTGGGGTTTTTGTAAGGCTTGCGTGCAGCCGAGAGGGCTGATACTCAAGTCATTATGCAAAACTCACCCCATTTTCCACACAGACATACTGGCTACTTGACAGGAAATCTGAAACATAAATTTAAAATATATGAAAGACAGTTGTTCCCTGAATAACTAGAAAGGGCATTCCACACTTACCGGCTACGAAGCCGAAATCGTGAAACTCAAAAACAAGCGTTACCTTCCGTTGTTTGAACAGGCATTTGGGAACGACAGCCTCTGCTTACAAAAAGTAACGCTAAGGGATACTAGAAACGAACAACAACGAGGCTTCGCTACAACGGCACTGAACCCGAAACACACACTTGTTGTTCAAAAAGACGTCGTAACGTCCTTCAAATCAAACCTTAATATTCAAGACTATAAACGCCTGACAAGCTTTGAGCCCTAAGCCAATCCCTGAAATCGAAGCCTCATAAACGAGTTGTAACGAAAATATGAAAAGCTAAAGCCAGGTTGATCCCATTAAGCCCAATATGGAACAATGAAACTACCCTTAAACCCAAAACCCTGAACCCTACACCCCTAAAACCTAACCCCTAAACCCCCTAAACCTAAACCCCACACCCCTAAAACCTAATAAACCCCAAACCCCTAAACCCTAAAACCTATAAACCCCCAAACCCTAAACCCCAAACCCCTAAACCCTAAAAATCTAGGCACCGACCGGCATCTTCAGGGTTGGAGTTGAAATGTGTCAGGTCGTCCGGCAGGACGAAGCCTTCCAAAGAGGGTTTAGAAGGGGGGTTTAGGGTTTAGGCGGAGGATCCTTACGATAGCCCAAGAGGGTTTAGAAAGGGGGTTTAGGGTTTAGGGTACTAGGATCCTTATTCTGGGGTTTCTAGGATCCTTATTCTGAGGGTTTAGAAGGGGGGTTTAGGGTCTAGGGGGACCCTAATATAGTACCCTCCATACTAAATGCTAGGATCCTTACGATAGCCCAACAGGGTTTAGAAGGGGGTTTAGGGTTTAGGGGGCCCTGATTTAGCACCCTAAATACTAGAATCCTTTATTCTGAGGGATTAGAAGGGGGTTTAGGGTTTAGGGGACCCTAACATAGTACCCTAAATACTAGGATCCTTGTTCTTTAGGGGACCCTTATTTCGTACCCTAAACATACTAGGATCCTTATATAAGGGACCCCAAAATAGGGTACCCTCACAATCGGAAACTCCCATAATTACATACCGATACGTGATGGCACTTGGTCCCAAAGAACCATCCTTATTTTGTTTTTTGCGGGGCGTAACTCCATAATGGTTGTATACGTATACATATAAATAAATAAATAAATAAATAAATAAATAAATCAATAAATAAATATATATATATATATGTATACATATATGTACACGTATCTGTATATATATATATATCACGTATCTATGTATCTATCTAACTATAAGCATAGATGACGGGTTCGAGACCAAGCTTGGGAAGCGCAATCGCGCAGTGCACGTACAGGGTCTTTCTCATAGGGTTTCTAAAGATACGGCTTCGCTATGAGCTTTTATGTTTCGACTCTGAAACTGATGCTTTCAAAGGGTGGTATACCCTGAGGCTCCATAGTAGTGCCTTTTTGGGGTTCATGTTTAGAATCTTAAGGTAATCCCAACAAGGAACTGCTATGGAGCCTCTGGTATAAGGCCTGTTTAAAAGGGATCCGGGGCTTCTGGCCCAAAGGCATGGACTTTAGGACATCACATCAAACGCCAAGATAAGCAATCATAGGCCCCTGTGTTTTGGAAACTTGGCGTTCTATAGACTTAGTTGCTGAGTTCATAAGCCCCCCCAAAAGTGTACACTTTCGGTTTTATCGTGGGTCGTATTATCCCCAAAAGTAGAAAGTGTATCCACTCAGCTACCACGTAGAGCTTTCGGGTTCTACCTGAGTGCTTCGATTCTGCTATGAACTTACAGGAAAGTAGCATGGTAGCTAAGGGCAGAGCTTAATGGCTTGGGGGTTTAAGACCTGTGCTTTCGGATATGTGAACATCGAAGCTGCAAAGGGTTCATGAGTCACGCGGAGCCCCCCTGGAAGTCGAATGGGTCTCTAGACTCTACCCTAAGGCCCCATAGTAGTTCCGTTCCGGGGTTATCTTTAGAATCCTAGAAGGTAATTAACTAATCCCAAAAGCGAACTACTATGGGGCCTCTGAGTAGGCTATAGCTAGTTTGGTGGTCTCGGTGTTGTAGAGGTATCTATTGCCAGGCCTAGTACAGGGAGACGTGCCTGCAGAACGCAAATCCAAAACTGTTGTTTAGGGTGTAAGGTTTAAGGACAAGGGTTTAGCTTGGGGTTTGAGAGTTTATAATGTTTTGGGCGCGGCACTCGAAAGCCTTGTCGCAGGAAGACAGCCGCTTCGATCGGCTGCATCTTCCCCAAAACCTCCTCCATCTCAGATTCATGGATCCGGTGAACCAAATCCGTCCATTCCCAAACCTCGCTGGCATGGGTGAGACCCCGGACACGTGGAGGTTTTGCAATCAACACCCACCGGTCTAGGATCCATCGGGTTCAGGTTTGTTGTACTTACGTTGTGGCAGGCCCACTTCTGCCCACAGGACTAGTCATTAGTCCATACCAGTAATGATGATCTACTGCTCCCCACCGCCACCACCACCAGTACCAGCACCGATTCATTCAAGTTCTAGTTCAGGTAGCAGTACTAGTACTAGTACTGTTGCTACTGCTAGTGCTGCTACATGCCATAGATACGCAATCGTGAAGTTCCGGTTTCGAAGCTGCGCTGGTGTTGGTGGGCTGCTGCAAAAAGACGAGAATTTGGGTCCAGGCAGCCACATCCAACAAACGCGAGCTTCGGAGCTTATGTCATTTCGGAAATGCAGAGGGTCGAACAAGTGTGAGTATGAACCGTCTAATGTAGGAGTCGGGATAGTAAATAGCTAGCAGCTTCTTTCGGCAGTGTCTCATAGGGCTATAGTACAATATACCGAAACCCTCTCTTTGAGTCCGCAAATGACTAAACATATGTATGTATGTATGGTTACAGTGTATTTACAATGTAAGTACAATGCAAAGCCCGAGTCAAACCACAACACGTCAACAGTAGGGGTTTAGGGTTTGGGGCTTTTGGGCGTTTCGGCCTAGGATTTAGGGATTTGATCTTTCCTGAACCCGAAACCCTAGACCCCAAGATCCCTAAACCTAAACCCTGAAGCCTAAACCCAAAAGAACCCAAAATCCCTAAACCTTTACGCTCCTGTTCCAGACCCAGCAGCAGCGGTGCCCTTCTTTATGAAGGCCGTCGCAAAGACACCCTGGTGCCCCTCGCCTGGGTTCTTGCTGCAGAACCCTAAGGGTCCATGTACTCATATAGTATATACATTGGCCTTAATGTAGTCCCTATATAGGTACTTTGGGGCTCATGTACCTCTATATGGGTACATGGACCCTCAGGGGAACTGAATTAACGTTACGCTTTGCTATTCTTTCTATACTTACTAAAACTGGTAACTCCCCAACAAGAACCCCGTCGCCGTAGGCCGTCGTAGCGCGCACCTCCACGGGAACCAAGAAAGCCGGCAGCAAGGGCTTCGTATGGCTATCCGAGGGAGCCATGGCGTCGAAAGCTGTTGCACAATTTAACCGTCAGCGTTAAGGGTTTAGGGGTTCAGGGCTTCGGTGGTTTAGGGTGAAAGCTTATGTTCAGGGTTCGGGGTGCAGGATTATGGTACTGCTTTCTGTGCAAATCCAAACTGAAAGTTTTCCCACCACAAAAGTCGAAACAGTCGCACAGGCCTTGATACTAGCACCGCGAAGGCAATGGCAGCTGCAGCCACGGGTGCCAACAATGGCAGGACTGTATGCTTCTACAGTGAGACTAAGCTAGTCGATCAGGGCTCAGCTTTTTAGGGTTAACCTCGAAAACCTAAACGCTGTGATTAGGAGGGAAACTGCCGGCAAGCATCTGCATCTCTGTGAGGTCCGAAAACATTTTCGGCCTGTCCAGCTTGTCCATTTTCTTCCTCGGCTGGGGTGTCGATAGGTTGGCTTAGGCGGCCAGGAGCGTTTAAGGTTTAGGCCTTTGAGGCTCAGGGGTTGAAGTAACTCCGGGTTCATGGTTCTAGAACCGATGTTTTGGGTTTTCAGGGAATCTTACGGCTAGGGGGAAGGGTGTAGTCTTTAAGGGCTCGTTTGTCGATAGCGTATCTTGTGATTATCTCGTTACTGCGGTTTGTTTAGTTCAAACATGGCAACAAATGACAGGCACTATCCAGCAAGCCTATTGAGTTCGTAGACTAAAGAGTTGGGGCTATATTATACAACAATCGTATTATAGGAACCATAAGGAAGCATACTACCAATGGTTCAGTCTTGTGTACTACTACATTCGAAGGCATATAGTTGAGTGTTAAGACAGTCTACTTGGAGGTTCATGGGTAGTGATAAATGGCGTTATAAGTCCCGTAATAGGGGTTATAGCCACAGCTATCCTAATTGTAACCCCACTTATATCTACCCATGAAGCTCCAAGTAGAGCTTGGCGCTTGTGGCTTTCGGACTTCGCGTGTGATGTATAGCCCGGAGGCATACACCCTTCTGCTTTCAAGCCCCAACATCGAGATTTTTATCATAATCGATCTTGCGGGAACGGAGCTTAGTCAGCAGGGATCTGCATTAGCGAAGGCTAGGATACCCAGTAACCTAAGAATAAGATGGCCTCTCTTTTTGGTATTTGGTAACTTTATAAAGAACCTGGACTACAAAAAGGGAATAAGGGTACTACTGGGCATCCTAGTGCATTAGCGAAGGTCTTCGTAGTGAGGGCCGCGTTGGCGCAGAGGATTGTCGACCGGTAAGCCCTGCAGAGCCAGGTACGCCGACACCACTTTAGGGTTTAGGGTTTAGGGTTCAGGGGTCCAGGGTTTAGGGTTTAGGGGTTTGCCAGCGGCCGAACGGACAACGGTATGATGCCGCGTGGGCAGACACCTTTGCTAAGGAACAGTTTCGGCTTCGGAATGCGCTAAGGAGCGACGATATACGGGGGCCGACTTCGGCCGCACCGACTGTATGCCCTCCCGCGCCGTAGAGAGCGGCTCCCACCCTAAGCCCGCTCCGCCTTTTAGGGTTTAGTTCCTAAACTCACGTTTAGAAACCCGTGGCATGGCTTTTCCTTTAGCATCCTTGTTTTTGCTTCAGCAAAGAGAAACCAGCGCCCCCAACTGGCATCCTTGTTTTTGCCTTAGCAAATGAATGGAAAGAAGAACGAGGCCACAGTGCTGTTGCTCTACAGTCGTTAAACCTGAAAATGTGTCTCTCCTGCCCATGAAACGAACATGAAAGCTACTTTAAGAAGGCAGCCCAATGCAGCTGAGGCTGCGGTCACGTCATCGCTTTACGATAGCAAGGACGGCTATCATATTCGATTTCATGTCTTTCAATGTTTCCAGATGTTGCTTACGGAAAGTTCCCCCCAAACCAGTAGCCGACCAGCCGGAAAGTCGCCCCCAAACCAGCACCGACACTCCAAAGCAGAGACGAGATGCAAGTCATGACGCTGACGGCTCAGTCCAAGCACCTTCGTGCGGCGAAAGCGATATGGAGTCACTGCGAGGCATGGCATCGACTTCGCTTCATGCCAGCGAACACGGCTGTTAAGTTTCTTTGCGATGACCGTCCAGCCTGCTGGCTCCTGTCGCATACTTGAGGGAATGTCTCGCCTCCTTGTTGCAGAGCCCGAAGCTACTCGCGCGAATGCTTCGCCTCTTTGTTGCTGCCTCCGTCAGCTATCTGCGCGAATGTCTCGCCGCTTTGTTGCCGGCCCCGCCGGCTACTTGCGTGAAAGTTTCGCTTCTTTGTGGCTGGCCCTGTCAGCTACTTGCGCCAATGTTTCGCCCCGCTTTGCTACCCGCCCTGCCGGCTAGTTGCGCGAACGTTTCGCCTCTTTGTTGCTGGCCTACTTGCACGAATGTTTCGTGGTTTGTACTTCCTGTCTTTGCTGCTAAGCACAGTATAACGGTACATGCCAGCAACAGGAAAGCATGAGTCAGCAGGCCTCCTGGTCTCCGCCAAAGGGTTAGGACCTGGAGGTGCAGCTTGCCAAAGCACGAATGCGGACGCTGCTCAAGGAAGCGGCTCAAGCTTAGCGTCTGGGTTGCGCACTTCGGAGGTAGTCGGAGCCGCCTGGACCGATGAGGATTCGAGCTGAAGAGCAAGACCCGAGTTGCGAGTCTGAGTCGCACACTTGAGGGAGGTGCAGCAAGGTATCGAGAAGAATGCGACTAGCTGGGAATGCTGGAGGAGCCGGCCCGAGGGTATCTGTCTGCTACTTGCAGGGCTCTACTTGCTCCGCTTCTTCTAGACAGCATCTTAAGGGAGGCGATGGAGTCACCGGCTTCTGGAGGGTATTCCAGCTAGTTGCCTTCGCACAATGCAACGGGACAAGACTCGGCACTGCGAAGCATCTTTTGTGGCGGAAGAGCGCGGGCATGAGGTACGCTGCTGAGCAGCTCGTCCAGTGCACCTTGCACAGGGAAGCAACAGCAACAGTCCGCGTTTCTCTTGGAGCGACAATAGCCTAGACACGAAGGACAGCGGATAAGCCCTTTGCCACGCCGGCTCACTGTCGGTTGAAGGTCCTCTCCGCGGCGGCAGCCCAGGCCTCGTCGAGTCGCTGTCCGTGCAACCGATCCGTCTCGGCTGCTGGCTTCTGAGCACGCTACCAGCAGATCGCCGCGGTGGGGAGGAGGTTCCAGGCGTCTGCGCCTCATGGCCACATGCCACTCGATGTCCTCCCTGGTGACCGTGAGCTCCTGCAGGCCGTCGCAACGAAAGCAAATGCACGAGGTTCTTGATGGTTATAAGGCTCGCACCGCGTGAGTCACGATGTTGGTATACGGGACGGCCACGACCAGGCGTTCTTTGGCCCAGGTCGTGTAGTGGCGAGCCTCGTCAAAGTAGGGCGGACAGTCTTCCCGGTTTTCAGGTCTTGGTCTCTGGAGGTTGCGTCTAGTCTAGTCTGTCTCCTAGGCTTCGTTCGTGCGGCTTCCTCCCCTTGCGCAGCTGCCAACTCGGCGGATCCCGGCGGCCGCCCGTGTTACTCAGGTTGGCGTCTAAGGGTCCACTCGGGTGTGATCGACTTGAAGCAAACGAACCGCACCTCTTGGAGGGTGAAGCTTGCCACCTCCGTTGGATCGACCGCGGCCAATCGCGTCTCGCCAACCTTCGCCTCGCATAATTGCTAGCCCGGCAAGGCGAGGCGCAAGCGTACTCGCCAGCCTTTCCCAGGGCAAACCACAGGGCCACCAGGCACTCCGAGGTGTAGGACAGCCACGGAGATGCCTCGGCGACAGATTCTATGGATGGGACGATTTCGTGAGTGGCTTTACGATGCTACCGACGAGTTGAAGCCATCTTGATTGGTCGGCTGGCCTGGGGATTCTGTGCGATGTGCTCGCACACGGTGATGTCAATATCACCTGCGTAAAACGGGCGATTTTGCTAGTCCGCGTGATGCAAGTCCCGCTTTGGCCCTGCTGCAGTGCTGGAGACTGCGGGCGCCTGCCTGCATGTTGAGATGTACCCAATCGCCTAGGCACGACGTGAGGAATACCGGGCCCGCACCCAGTGCCATTTCGGCTTCATAACGGCGCTCGATCGCTTCCGTACGGCAGAGGAGGTCCTCGCCCCGCAGCATCCGGAAGAATTCCTGCGGCATCGTCGTCATTCGCTGTCGTCGAGTGTCTCGCAGGCTTGCATGCATGACGGACGCGATGTGTGCTCGGCCTTCGCTGCTGCACAGTGCGCCAGGGCGCCGTGGCGCTGCTGTAATTGCGCGCGTATGAAAATTTAGGTCACTTCTATCACTTGTCGCTACACAGACTTACGTCGCTTCTCCGGCGGACTGTCTACTCACCGAGCCCCGGGCTTGGGCGAGAATCTCCTGGGGGTGCTGCTTCGCGTTGGCCATCGAGCACGCATCAGCAATGACCTGGGAATGAAAGCTGTGCGGAAGGTGCAGGCTGCGCGTGCTTGGACGCCGACGAGCTCCACATAAGACATGGCGCCGCCTGAACCGACAAGGATACGAGCTGAACTGCAAGACCGGAGTTGCGAGTCTGAGTCGCACACTTCAAGGAGGACCAGAAGTCGAGAGAAAGGCGATTAGCTGCGGATGCTGGAGGAGCCGACAACAAATATCGTATTCCAGGTGGTTGCCCTTGACACATTGCAACGGGATCAGACTCGGCACTGCGAAGCATCTTTTGTGGCGGAAGTGCGCGGGCATGAGGTGCGCTGCTGAGAAGCTCGTCCAGTGCACCTTGCACCGGGAATCAACAGTCCTCAAGTTTTATTGGAGCGAGAATAGCCTAGGCACGAAGCAGAGAGCGGATAAGCCCCTTGCCACGCCGGCCGCTGGTACCGCAGCAGGGGTTCTGCGCGTCCTCATTCGTCGGGTTGCCGGCCCTGCCGGCTACTTGCGCGAGCGTTTCGCCTCTTTGTTGCTGGCCTACTTGCACGAATGTTTCGTGGTTTGTACTTCCAGTCTTTGCTGCTAAGCACAGTAACGGTACATGCCAGCAACAGAAGGGGTTTAGGGTTTAGGGGTTTAGGGTTTAGGGTTTAGGGGTTTAAGGGTTAGGGTTTAGGGGTTTAGGGTTTAGGGTTTGGGGGTCTAGGGTTCAGGGTTTAGCCGGTGGCAGGCCTCGCTGGTAGCCAGACCTTCTTCGGTCAGGGTCTATGTCGTGCATGTGCCTTTGGGTTCTGACACGGCCGCTTCTTGGTCTTGGCGGGCGCCGCCGCCCCCGGGCCGCCGACCCATCGCCCTTCTTATCCGGGCTCGAGGGGGCGTGACCGGGATCGACCAGCCTTGGTTGCGCAGAAGTGTGCGACTAGTTGTGCCGATGAGGATGTGCCAGTGCCCAGCTGCGGCTCCTCTGCAACGCGGGCTTCGGGCGGCTGTCCTCTAGAAGTCCCAAGTGCCACAAAAGGCCATTCTTCCCTTTTGCGAGCCTATACAGACTGATACTACATAACAGGCCGCCCGACAGTAGTCTTATCATGTCCCTGATTGAACTGCAGACCAGCGTGGGTTCCTTCAACCCAACGAACTGCCACCCTAAACCAAAAAGTCTTAAACCCCTGCACCTGATGTCATAGACGTCCTATTCTTGGGCTTAGGGTTAGGGGTTTAGAGTTTAGGGTTAATCTATTATGAACGACAAAACTGTTAGAGCTTCCAAACAGTATCTGAGCAGTTCTCGGTGAGGCTTTGGACTTGTTCTTCGCGGTTGTTTCTTCTCTAGACATCCCTTAGCTGGAAAGACAAAAGCAGGGGCATAGACAATTCCATAATTTCAGTAGGGCTTGGGCGCACATTACACGATGGTCATAAAAGAAACAACAGGGTTTACTAAGAGCTCCTGCATTTTTTTAACGAACGAAAATATTCATCAACAGATGGAGAACATAGCTACGTCAGCCCCAAACAACCTACCTTTTCAGGGTCTCCTCATTATGATCTGCTTCTCTCAAAAGGGTCAGAAACTTTAGGGTCCAGGTCAATCCTGAGTCGTATTATCGGGGCCTCAACAATGACCTATACTATTTTGGGGTTCCTTATTATAATTACAGTATAATCCAATTATTAAAGCTCCTCCATTATACTAGCCGTATACATCTTAGTAACCCTTACAATTAGACCCCTTGTAGTAGCCCTTCCAGACTCCTGTAAAGGAGCCCTATTCTAATCGTTAAGGCTCCTTTCACACAGGCTCCATATATAGTGCCATTATGGAATTAGGTCCCAAATAACCATCCATATCATGGCGTTGGGGACTTAATTCCAGAATGGTACTATATGTGGAGCCTCTAGTTTTATTAGTCATTTCAGGTTAAACACTGAGACTTCTCCAGCTCCGCGTTGGCCTCTGCCACGGCTTTGCCTCGCTTTTGACGGGTTCTGTGGTACCGTTTTAGGGTTTACAGTAAATCCCATAAAGTTGGAAACCGGATTAAGGGCAAACAGTGCTGGGATATACATTACTCTTAAGGATTGAGGCTATGGGGTATCCAACTTTTGGGCTTCTACTGTAGGGTTACCCTAAGGCCCCATAGTAGTTCCTTTTTGGGATTACCTTCAAAGATTCTGAATACAAGCCACAAAAAGGAACTACTGTTAGGCCTTAGGGAAAAGAATGCGAGAGTTAGGGTTCAGGGCTTTGGGTTTGGGGTTAAGGGGTTTGGGCTGTTGGGCTTAGGATTTGGGATAGGCCTTAACGCAGGGCTTGGGGGTTTAGAGTTTAGGGGCTTGGGATGTACCTAGAGGCTCATACTGTACCCCTTTTTTGGATACCTTATTTTATGGTTAGGATCTGTTATCTTAAAAAGTTGGCGCCCTCAAAAAGGGGTAGGGTATGAGCCTCTAGGTCGGGTTTCGGTTTGGGGCTGGGGTTGAGGGCTTCGCTTCAACACCTGACAAACCACATGGGTGGTTGTCCAAATTAGGGTCCCTTTTTGGGTACCCTAAATATTAGCTACCGTACTATATCAAGGACCCAAAAAAGGACCATAGTTTTGACAACCACCCAGATAGTTCTACAAATGTGTTGTGGAACAGCCTGCCTATAGGTACGTAGGATCCTGTGTACATGTGGGTCTACGTAGATTGGTGCATGTGTACATTGGGCTGAGGGGTCTGTGGCTCTTTCCTCCAGAGGTTTATGGTTTACGGATTTACCATGATCAGCAACTGGACATGAGTGTTAGTCTTGGTGTTGATGACAAGACATGAACAATGGCCATGGTAACGACTGTACCACAGGCAGTGACTCACTGCTCGAGGACTTTGACGAGGATCTTAACCCCAACCCTAATTCCTGAACTCTTAACCATAGAGGGTGTTGCGTCCCCTGGCTCACGCAAGGTTGACCTTGCTATTGAATCTGGTCTACCCACTGGGTAGCTTGTGACTCAGAGTCTACAGTGAAAGACCGGGGCTAAGCCCCAAACACTATCCTCCTAAAGCCCCTAATAGTATTGTATTGATAGGTATATCTAGGCCCTAGAATAAACTCTGAAGTTCAAGAACCAGGGAGCAAGTCTTCTTGGTGGAGGCCCATTGGTCAGGAATGCGGGGCATCGCCACCTCATTGCCTCGAAGCTGATGAGGTTCAGGACTTGGGGGTGTAGGGCTTGAGGGTTTTAGGGAATGCATACGGGTTTGTGCAGGTTTGGGCACTTGAGGATTATATAGTGATTAAGGGATCGGCGCCCAGTCCCGGGAACCCAGCATAACCGAGGTAAAACTGTCTGGGGGGGTCTTGATATTAGCTTGGGATCCTTGTAGTAAGGAGCCTGGTATCCAGGGTTCTGTACTGTTTTCCCCTTTTTTGTCCGACACCCGCGTGGGAACGGCATCCGCTTTAGGATCCAGCTAGCGGAGCTAGCAGCTAGCACTCAAGACCCAAATAGTCTCAACCCCATCTATCTTACAAATAGGGGCCGTGGTAGTAGCAATGGGTTCTGGCTTTCGTGGTACATGAAAGTAAAAGTATGACTTTAAAGCACAGGGACTGCAAAGGGACAACTAGTCAACTAGTAGGCCGAAACGATAAATGCGGCTACTATGTAAAGCCCTACAAAACCCTATACCGTAATATCGGGGCCTTCGTAATTAGAATAGGGCTTCGGGACCCATTACATATACTACAACTACCATCCCGCACCACCAAAATGGTAATTATCTAGGCCCCTATACTAAATCCTTATAATAGCCCTTTAAAGGAACCTATTAGCTAGAAACCCCCGACTGGCCCTAAAACCTAAACCCTCTAAACCTAAACTGGCCCGAAAACCAGCCTCAATGCCACCAGGACCCTCCAAGGGCCCTTTAATAGAGCCCTTATGGACCTTATTAATAGTGGGTATTTGGGGTAAAGTAGAGGGTATTTGGAGGATCTAGGTACGACCCTAAACAGAAAACCCTGAACCCCGAAAGCCCTAAACCCCTAAACCTCTAAACCCTAAACCTCTAAACCCTAAACCTCTAAACCCTAAAACCCTGAACCCTAAACCTCTAAACCCTAAACATCTAAACCCTAAACCTCTAAACCCTAAACCTCTAAACCCTAAACCCTAAAACCCTAAACCATGACACCCTAAACCCTGTAGATCCCTTATAGAGCCCTTATGGATCCCTTTAAAGAAACCCCTATAGATCCCTTTAAGGAAACCCTAAAACCCTGAACCCAGGGCCGGCACCTTCCATGGCCTTCATTTCCTTCTCAAAGCTGTCGAAGAGAGGCAAGAGCCTGAGCGTGCGATGGAAGATAGGGGCATTAATCATTACCTTTTGATACTATTTCGGGGGTTCCCTGTTATGATTATAGTATAATAGTATACCCCAAAACACTATTCTATATATTAATGGTTTAGGGTGTGGGGTTTAGGTTTAGGAATGATAGGGTTTAGGGCTTAGCATTTAAGCTTAGGCCTCACAAGGGGTTAGGGTTTAGCACCCAGGTTTAGGCTTTTTGGTGTTTGTAGGGATGAGCCCCCCTGCAGCCAGCGCCTCCGGATATTGAGGCACACACTGGACCAAGAATACTTATCATCACCGTAGGGTTTACCTTAAACCCGAATAGCCTACCTTTCGAACGAAACCCCATAAAGAACCCAAGAAAGGTAGGTTTGATAGGGTCCAGGTAGGGTTTAAGTTTAGGGTTTTAGGAACAGGCGGCCCTGGCGAAAAAAAACTGTTGTCTTCCATCGATGACCCGACCTTAACCTCAAGCTCTCCACGGCTTAGGGTTTATGGAGTTTACCCTAAGGCCCCATTGTATATAGTTCCTTTTTGCGTTTCATATTTAGAATCCTATAAATTAATCCCAAAAAGGTTGTACTATGGGGCCACTGGGTAGGGTCTAGATGCGATAAGCACTCGGAACCCTTGACCACACTTTTAGGGTCGCGGATTCTGGCTGCGAATTTTGGAGCTTAAGACCTGAAGTTTAAGATCGCGAAGATCGAGAGTTGGGGTTAAAGGGAACTCCAGAAAGTTGGAATATGGATTAATGGTAGGATCCCCTATAAATTACCTTAAAGGGGTTACGATAATGATATTCCAACTTTCTGGCTTCTACTGTAGGGTTCAGGGCTTGGGATTCAGGATCTAGGGTTTAGGGTTTACTGGCGGCAGCACCTTATGCGGTGAGGCGTCCAGGGAGGCATGCCTATAGTCTTCGTTGTAGTTCAGTTTTTTTGGCTAACCAGTTTTATGGTTAGGATCCTATAATAATATAATTTATGGTTAACCAAAGAAAGGAACTACAATGGAGACTGTAGGTAACATCGTGAAGATTGAGAGTTGGGGCGATCTCTGCGCATTGCAGGTCCCTGAGATTTGGACTCTTGCCAACTAAGCCCGGAAAGCAATATATAGAAAACGCACATGGAAGTAAAGCAGCAACAGACAACAAGAAAGCGCCGCAGCTCAAAACCAATATCCTCAGACCAATGTCCTTACCGCAGCAACGCAGGACTGCATCGGCCATGACTCTCTGCAGATCTAAGTAGACTCTCAAGTAGCACGAGCGGTTTAAAGGCGGTTTAGGATGCGGACACAACGATGGCAGCTGAATAATGAGCACAGGGTTTTGGGGCCCATTATCATACATTTATGACAAGAACCCCCAAAATAGTGTACGTAATTATTTAGGCCCCTATCGTAATGGCCTTGGGCTCTTGGTTTTCGGGGTATCGTAGCAGGGTCCGCAAGGATCGTGGATACACCGGTATACCGTGCCTATTAAATATTATGGTTTTTTAAACCTAGAAAGGCCCTAAAGTCCCACATCCTACACTGGGGAGGCGTGCTCGTAAGCCCGCACACATATGATGACGAACGACGTGCAGAAGACGACATGACTGCTCTTTTGCCTTTGCACCCCCAAATATCTTATAAACAAGTACATCCTTAATTACAGTGCAACTGGAAACGTCAAGCATCTCAAGAAGCCCGATCGATTACTTGGAGGTTCATGGGTCATGGGTAGTTATACATGGGGTTAGAAGTCACCTAATAGGGGTAATAACCATATAGTTACCCTAATTATATCCACACGTATAGCTACCCATGAACTTCCAAGTAAGACCTTCTCGCGTTTAACCAGCTGACCATACCAACGCACAGGCAGAGTACCGTACAACAATACAGTAACAGTCTGTAATTGGGCCACTATTAAGGGCCTATGTCTGCGTGTATGTAGACATATATGTGTACATAAATATATACATATATATATATATGCATATATATATATATACACATTGTGTACATAGACACACACACACACACACACACATCCTTTATAAACAGTTACTGAGTGGGCGCAGTACCCCGGATTCAAAGTCGAAACCACGGGCCAAGGCACTGCTCCAGGACCTTGCTGCCTCCTACCTTTCGCAGCTCCTGAGTTTGGGGTTTAGGATTTAGAGTTTAGGGTTTAGGGTTTAGGATTATTATTTTTTGTGTGTAGGTGGTGTAGTGTTTAGGATTTAGGGTCTAGAGTTCAGGGTTCCTCCATCGCAACGTGGGCCTTACAATCCTACAGTGACAACCCAAAACCCTAAGCTAAAGTATAGGGAACAATCTAAGCACACATAAATATATATATATATATATATATATATGTATACATATAGATATATACGTAGGCACATGTGTACATTAACACGTATTCGCACTCTCTCTTGCCAAATAGAGGTAGAGTCAGAGATGGATGCGATCAACAAGACCCGGCACAGGCCCTGGAAGCCCAAGCTGTGGAACGGGGGGGAGTCGAATCCAGCAGCCCTCATACCGATACCACGGCTCATATATATATATATATATATATATATATGTATATATATATATATATATATATATATACACATATATATATATAGCATACTATTTTATAGATTATATATAATTATCAGGATATCTATATATATATATATAGAACATGTAGAACATATGTACTTATAATGTACATATGTATATACATATATATATATATATATACAGTATACATACAGGGGCTTTACCTAGGGTTGTATTGCGGCTTATTACAGGGAAGCAGTTATAGAGTTGTGTCGGGCTTTACAAAGCTGCTGTTAGCCTGCCAGCACTTGCAAACATTCTGAGAATCACAAGAAGATTTTTTCACTGTTTCGTACGACTTTGGGAAACCATAAGGAAAAGTGTATACGGGATACCAGTAGGCTCAGCTTCTGTATTGGCAATGTAGGAACATCAGTAAGAACCCTGATCCTATATAACTCTTATATAACCCCCGATCCAATGGAAGGAGCCCTAATACAGACCCAAGGTTTCTTAACCAGGCTCCTACCCCGAAGGGTCCCACATACCTACATGGTATAAAAAGCAGGGCTTCTTTTCTGGGAAATACAAAATACCCCCCCCCCCCCCATATAGGAACTCTTTTGAAGGAGTCCCCTTAAGAGCTTCTAAGGGTACTACTGGGGATCCGAGTAGACCCTAACCCCCCAAAGATCCTTTTGGAAACGTTTAAGGAACCCCTTAAGGGAGCCCTTAAAGGAACCCTTAAAGGAGCCCTTGAAGGAACCCTCAAAGGAGCCCTTAAAGGAGCCCTTCATGGAACCCCTGAATTCTACACGAACCCCTGATATGCACTTAGGACCCCTTGGGTACGGGGATAATCAAAGTCTGGGCTTCCAAGGCCGTTGCGACTTGGGCCTTTTTCTTCCATAAATGTTTGGGAGTTTCCGAAACTTAGGGGTACCTTGTCTTGGGGTCCTTATAATCGGGATCCTACTATTTAGGGTACTAAATTAGGGTCCCCTATTTTCAGAAACTCCCATTTAGGAACCTCACCTGATTTAGTTGTCATAGCAGCGAGCTAGCCAGCGGTTCTGGTTTAGTGCGAAGTGGATATCAAACTTAGGAAAGAAGGACATGATGATGACTACGACCCCACCCACACCCACTATCGTGTAGGGGCTACTTCTTAGACCGCACCTTGCAATGGTTGGCAGTCTCTAGAAGCTGCATGCTTTCAACCACCCCTTGAAGCCCCCAACAGCACCACGGAAAAGACTCCGGCGCTCTCCGGGCGATCCTTCAGAATCTTATCGGCGCTGGCCTGCTTCGCTTTGAGATCCTGCTCCGGCTTGTGTAGCCAGTTTAGAGATCCAGGGATAGAATGGAATCAAAGGTTCGGGGGAGTCGGTGGTGCGGTAGTGGGTACCTCGTCCTGAGATGCAAAATTCTGCAATCATTGCTATGCTATAAGTGCATTAAGTCTGTGCATGTCATGAGTAGTTCACCACCCAAGAACCCTCTATTGGTGTGCAGGATCTGGGAGATGATGTGGTATCTATGTGGAAGCAATCCCTGAGGGTCCATGTACCCAAATAGTATATACTTTGGGCCCAATGTACCTATATAGGGAGTACTCTAAGGCCAAAGTATAAACTATCTGGGTACATGGACCCTTAGGGAATATTAATGAGCAACGTGAACAAAGACTGTGGCGTCTTACTTGCTGCCGTCCTCCGAGCTGCCGGACTTGCCAGCTTCGGAAGGCACGCCTGAAATGGGGGGGTTTAGGGGTTTAGGGTTTAGGGGTTTAGTTAGGGTTTAGGGTTTAGTAAATGTTAGGTGCCGTACTATTTTAAGGACCCAAAAAGGGACCCCAATTTTCAGAACTACCCAAATACACACAGAATCCTACAGAGGAAGCTTCGGGCCAAGGCCCAAAGGCCCCCTACGGGCTAAAGGTGTAGGGTTTGGGGTATAGGGCTTAGGTTAGGGTTTAGGGTTTAGGCTTTAGGGTTTACCTGTTCGCCTAAACTTCAAGCGCCTGATCTGTTTAAGTATTAAAGAAACATGCGCGTATCAGGAACCAAGAAACTAAAAAGGATCAACGTTGCTTCTTGGTGGGGGGTGGGTCTTTAAGTTTAAGTTGTTGTTTTTGTTGAGCGCTCTTTTCCGTCTGCGCGAGGGTTTAGGGTTTATAGGGTCCAGGGTTTTAAGGGTCAGGTTTGGGGTTTAGGGGCGTTGAGTCTGAGATATGAGGCTAGGGGCTGGAGATTAAGCTATGGGGTCACAGTCGAAGTCGGGTTCCTCTCTGGGCGCTAAATCGCTTTAGGGTTTAGGGTTTAGGGCTCCAGCGCCCTAAGAAGATCCCCAGGGATTTTCGGCTGGTGTTCTTGTGATCGATCCTTTCGCCTGCTTTGAACACAGTTCGGATGTTCTCGTCCTTGGTTCTGGGCGTGCAGCGGTTTGGCAAGTGTGTTGAGATGAGGCTCACGAAAGGAGACTCGGATGCTCCTTGATGCGCATAGATACACTCCGACGTTTGATGATATCATAAACCCTGCATTACCCATAATTAGGAATAGACCATATTTGCCATAGTCTAGGATCTTTTTAAGGTAATGCTGGATGTATATCGTCAACAGTACGGAAAGCATGCTTGAGAACATTAAGAAGCGGATGACCACTGAAGAAGACGGTGTAGAAAGCACGAAGCTTAGGTTGGTTTGCAGACCGTCTCAATGGAACGTAGGGAAGAAAGCACACGAACCTGGTAGGCACACGCGATGTCAGGCGTGTGTGCAAAGATATACATATATATATATATATGTATGTGTGTGTGTGTTCACTTACATGTTTCTAGTGTTAAGCACATATGCATAAATCAAAACGCGTCTCATTCGCGGTGTTTGTTGTACATATATGTAATTGGGTGCCTAAGTATGCATGTATGCACAATGTATATGTAAGTCGCGTATGCAAGTGAGCAGGTGCATTCACACATGCATGCATGGCGCGCACTGCTTGGGCCAAGCCCTGAACGTGCCTCCACGACATGTCTGGGCATTCTCCGCAACCTCTCCCGACAAAAAGCAGAAAACCTACACTCCTAAACCCGAAGTGCTAGATCCCTACATTAGACCTGAGACAAATGCATGTTACGATCAAGACCCCCGTAGTGCCTAAAGCCACTCTACTCTGCAGCCTGCATGCCTGAAATCAGATCGCCCCACAAAGCCCCACTTCGGTTTCATGATATGCCATTCTGCTCGCCAAACCCAAGTCAGAAAACCCGCAACCCCATACTCCTCTCCCAAAGCCTCATCCCTAAATTCGAGAAGTCGTCCTAACCCCCCCTTAATCTCCCAAACATAAGCTCCCAACACGGTTTAGGGTTTAGGGTTGAAGGTTTAGGGTTCAGGGTTTCAAACACCTAAACCCTAAACCCCCTAAACCCTAAACCCCCTAAACCCCCTAAACCCTAAACCCCCTGAACCCTAAAACCCTAAACCCTATAGATCCCTTATAGAGCCCTTATGGATCCCTTTAAAGGAAGCCCTATAGATCCCTTTAAGGAAACCCCTAAACCCTAAAGAAGCCTCGGAAGGATGACGTCGTGCTGCCACCAACCTCGAGGTCTGGACGGTACAGGCCACAGGGGGTTTCGGATTTCGAGGGTTCCCAGAGACTCCAATACCCCTTAATTAAGGAATATTCCTTAAATCATATTATGGATCCTACTATAATTTAAGGTATATTCCTTAATTAAGGGATATTGGAGTCTCTGGGTTGAAGCATGGTACTAATACGACGGTTGATGATATAAATCCTGCATGACCCATGATAAGGAATATACCATAATTCCCATAGCTCAGGGTCCTTAAGGTAATGCAGGATTTATATCATCAACCGTAGGATCTGGGATTTACATGAGTTTGGGGGTGAGGTTCGGATTTCTAAAGTTGAAACATGATACTTGTACTAGGATCTGGGGTTTACATGAGTTTGGGGGGTGAGATTCGGATGCCTATGGTTGAAGCATGGTACTAGTACTAGGATCTGAGATTTACGTGAGTTTGGGGGTCAGAGACGAGAGAGTTTCGTGTTTCAGACCTTTGAGGTTTAGGCCTTTGACGGCAGGGGAGGATCGGGGTTGGTGTCCAGGGACAGCCTAGACTGCAAAGCCTATCTCGGGATAACTTAGTTTAGGGTTTCGGGGGCTCAGGGAGCCGAGAGGTTACCGGAAGGCCCCATAGTAGTTCCTTTTTCGGGTTGCCATATAAGATTGTATTTATGAACCCCAAAAAGGAACTACTATGGGGCCTCAGGGTATGGTGTAGTTCATGTCAATCGCAGTCTTCGTTGAGCCTTCGCTGAGGATGTCGTTGTTCGGTGTATTCCCGGCTGGCGATTTCTTGTTCTGCTTTCTAAACCCTAAACCCTAAGCCCCTAGACCTTGAACCCTAAACCTTCTTCAACCATCGTGCTCTTCTCACAGGAAGCCACAGGACGCTGAAGAGATCAAGGTCTGAGGCTTCCCTCAAAATACCCTAACCTACTAGTCATTACTAGCAGTTCTAGGTTCCGTTTGTTAAAAGCCCCCCCCCATATGGAACTAATAGGACCCTACAAAGTGTAGGTTAAGCCTTCATGTGGAACTAATCGGACCCTGGAAATTGCTGTAGGTTTTGGTAGGTTAAGGTGTGTGACATAGTATTCGATCCCAGGACCCTCAACCCTGAACCCAAACCCTAAACTACTATTAAGGCGACCCTAAGGTCGTGTGCCGCAGGACCCAGCAACTCCCTGAGGTGTCCCTTCATCCCAACCCCAACGCCTTAGATAGGGCCCCCGCCCCCCCCAACAAAAGGCATATAAGCAAAACTGAGGAGAGGGATGTCCCGTATAAACGCCCTGATAATGAAGCCCAGTATGGTAGGGACATCCCTAGAAAATGCGTAAAGCGTATGTCCTTTTGGGGTCCCTAATTACAAGCCCGAACTCTAATCCCCCATGCAAACACTACGGTTGATGATATAAATCCTGCCTTACCTCAGAAGGCCTAGACTCTGCGAAATATACCATATTATGGGTACTGCAGGATCTTGCTTTTATCATTAATACTATACCACCAATCCCTAAACTCCAAACCTTTCACAACGAACTGCCAAATACCTAACCCCTTGATCACGAAATTTGAAAACTCACCACTGACACTCCCCAAAACTTAAAACCCTGAAACCCTAAACCCACACTCCCTTAACTCCAAGGGCAAAAGGGAGGACCCTTAATAAGGACCCCCACCCTAAGTATATACCCTTAATATAGCTATTATATACCCATTACATAGCCCATTATAGGGTAGGGGTCCCCATTAAGGGTTCCTCCTTTTCCCCTAAACCCCCTAAACCCCTAAACCCTACATACCCTTATAGAATCCCTATAGATCCCTTTAAAGGGTCCCTCCTCTTCCCCTTTGATTAACACCAAGTTCCCGAACCCAAGATGCCAGGCCTTGGGTGGCTCCTGAGGCTCGGGGGTCTTCTTGTCCACACCTGGCGAAAATAGAATGTACAGGGTTTAGGGTTTAGGGTTTAGGGTACAGGGTTTAGGGTTTACCTGTAGCCGGAAAGACCTACCTTTTTAGGGTTCCTTACTATTGTTTCTCTATATATATATATATATATATATATATATTTCCTTAAACAGGTAGGTCTTTTCGGCTACAGGTAGGGTTTAGGGTAGGTTGAGGATATAGATGTAGAGAGTTTTGGGCGGCTTCAGGATAAATGTAGGGGTTGGGGCAGGTTTAGGATGAATGTAGGGTTTAGGGTAGGTTCAGGATGAATGTGGGGTGCATAGTGTGAGGCGCGTTTAGGATGAATGCAAGTTTAAGCTAGGTTTATGATGAATGTAGGTTTTCGGGCAGCGCCTTCACATTGAGGCTCGGGGTTTTTGCTTTCGACTTAGCGATTAGAGTTTGGGTGGTTTCCCCCCGACCAAACCCGGAAACCCAAACCCGAACCCCAAACCCTAAAGCCTAAAACCCTCAACCCCGACACCCCCAAACCCCTAAAGCCCTAAACCCTAAAGCCTAAAACCCGAAAACCCTAAACCCCCCAAACCCTAAACCCTAAACCCCTAAAACCCTAAACCCTAAAGCCTAAAATCCGAAATCCCTAAACCCTAAACCCCTAAACCCCAAAACCTAAAACCCCGAAACTTCGCGTGCCTTCGCCGCCTGTGATGCCGCCCCCGCCGGGGCTCGCGAACCTGGTCACCGTCAGCTCCCCGGAGAGCCCAATACCCGTTCGTTAATTAAGGAATATGTTTTTTTATTTTTGGCTTCATATTATGATTTAAGCTATATTCCTTAATTAAGGGGTATTGGGCTCTCTGGCTCTAAACCTATTTGTAGGGGCCTGAATAATCGGAATAGGGCTCGTGTTAAGCAGTTCCTTAAAGGGATACTATAAGCGTACTATAAGGGTAGTATAATGTAGGGGCCTTGAAAATAGGAATAGGGCTCCGTTTAAAGGGCTCCTTAAAGGGATGCTACAAGGGTAATATAGTGTAGTGGCCTTAATAATCGGAAGAGGGTTTTGGGGCCCATTATACTATACTCAAAAAGTGAGGAATCCCCAGAATAGTATAGGTAATTATCAAGGCCCCTATATTAGATCCCGACACCCTGAATCAATTGGGGGCCTAAACGACAAGTAGGTCCATATTCTGGCAGATTCATCGAGGGATTATGTAAGGGGAACCTACTACTATGTCTTCCGAAATTCATTACCGCAGAACCTCCGGGTTATAGGTCTGGAGCTTTTAGGGTTTAGAGCCCCAGTACCCTGAAACCCCGCATGTCCTAAATCCGAAAGACCCTAAACACCAAGTGCCCCAAACTTCAAAATATCTTCTAAAACAAGACCCTCGTTCCACGACTCGGTCGCATGACCTCATACGGCCAAGAATCCTAACACCCTAAACCCTCCTAGACACTGGACCGCAGGCGACTAAATCAGTAGACCCAAACCTAATATTCCCTGCTTTTGAGACTACCTTGCACTGCCGTAACCTACCCTTTTGTAAAGTCGAATTCAAAGCCTCTCTTACGGAAATCACAGGAACCCAATGGTAGGTTTCAGTAGGCTAAGCTACGTATACCTGAAGCGTCAACCCTAGATTCTCTGGGAGGGTGTTTGTGCGTGAGGGTTCATAAGCGGTTCTTGGGCATTTGGGCCTATATAATATATGAAAGCTTCTGCCAGTTTAGTGCGTATTGGTTTTAGGGTTGGGTTTTTCGTCTTAAAACCCTAAACCCTAAATCCTAAGCCCCAAACCCTAACCTCAAATCCTTAATCCTAAAACCTCGGCGCTGCAGACGAAGCACAGGCCAGCCGAGGCGGAGGAGGAGCCTGGCAGGGGAGTACCTACCTGAATTCCAACAAACCCCCGTTGCAAGCCGAAACACCTGAAAATAGATGTGCTGTATTTTCTATATATGCATGTATATAGTATATGTGTATGTATATAGTGTATATATATATATATATATATAGATAGATAGACATGTGCGTGGAGGTTGAGCTGACATCTCTCTCTCTCTCTCTCTCTCTCTCTATATATATATATATATATTATGTGTATATATGTATAGCGATATTTACGTATATATTATGTGTATATATATATACACATAATATATACATAAATATCGATATATATATATATATATATATATATATATATATATATATATATATATAAATGTAATATAATTATATATATATATATATATATATATATATGTATACTCAGGTGTGGGTGTGGGTGTGTCTAAAGAAAAAGAGTATCAAGGCACTGTAGGTTTAGGGTGTTTAAGTGAGGGCGTATGACGAGCAGCTTGTCAGTGCGGCGGGTGACTTTTGGTCGGGCTTAGCACCCAGATAACAGGACTCGGAGATTAGTCGTGAATCACGGTTTTTTGGGTGTAGGGTTTGGAGCTATCATAACATGTATGACAAAAACAGATGATTGTGGGCACAGCTACCAACTTGTTGAGAAGTTTGTAGTACTCCTCAAGCTTCCGAGGTTCACCTTTGGGATTATAAGTGAAGCTCTCGGATCGTGCTAAACCGTCAACATCAGGCCGTGGCAAAATAGCTTAAGGTTACATACTCGATTGCCCGGACCCCCCACTCCCAATTTGAAATACTGCCTCCACTGCTGCCGCTGCCGTTGATGCTGCTGAACCTCGGGCATCCATGACATTTTTGGGCTTCTATGGCTAGGGCACCAAAACTGGGTCAAGGTATGTGAGTTTCAGAAACCGGGCTCCCAGAATATGTAGAGTCTCAGACCCCTGACGGGAGGATCCACTGTGTCAGGACGCAGAAATACGGCACCATTTCTAGACATGACCTGCAGAATCAACGGCTTAGGGCTCAGGGTTTAAGGTTTCGGGTTCAGAGTTTCTACCGTAACATCACCATACTTACATGCAAAGTGCCTTTTTGCAGTTCAATCGATGACAAAGCACAGTCCGGATGTTGTGGCGCCGAAGGCAGCCGTCGATCCTGGCAGGTTTCTCGTGTGCGGGGCACGAAGAAAGACTTGCTGCTGTGAAGAATCAACTGCAAGGGTCCAAAGGACCCAAAAGTCAGGTACTTGGGTTTAGGATAGTAGTTATGTAGGTTACTATTTGGGCGAGTATATTATTATTATTAGATACTTGGACCCTTACCCTAAATAACCTACCGTTTTAAGGACTTAAATAAGGACATCATAAAAAGGAGCCCTAAAAAGGTAGGTTTTTCAGGGTTTAGGTAGGGTTTGATGCCTGATACTGCCGGCTAAAAGTCGGGCCGGGGCTATGTGGAGATGGCAATTTCACATCTGTCACGGGCGGATGCCTCCGCTGCTTCCGCTGCCGCTGGTGCCGCTGAACCTCGGCTGATTTGGGAGGGCCTTCCAGACTTCCAGACCACGTACAGAAAATCAGAAGAGCTCTGAACATCCAGAATCTATCAGCAAGAATCCAAGAGGAAGCGAAGCCGCACACCAAATTCATCAAATCGAACAAATCGCCAATCTTGTCGCTGGGATCGTGATCTTTAGGGTAGACGTCCACTGAAACAGCACCCTCTTTCACATCGCATTGCTTTCTACATGTCAATGAAATGCAATCTGCTCGTACAGCTCGTGCAACCGTGCCTTAGGGTCTGTGGCACGTGAGCTTATGTAGTAGAAGCCAGAAAGTTGGACCATGGTTTCAGGGTAGGATACCTTATAACTTACCACAAAGGGTTTAGGATAACCATATTCCAACTTTCTGGCTTTTACTGTAACAGCACCCATGCATGAAAGCTGGTAGCTGAAGGGACCTCAATGACTAGAATAGGGTTTTGGAGCCCATTGTACTATAATCTTTAAAGGGAGGTCCAAAATTGTATAGGTATTTGTTGAAAGCCCCTATGTTAGCATGCTCTTCTTCATCGCCAGCGCACCACCTGTGCTGAGCAGTTTTTAACCTATGTTTCAACGAGGGACCTTCATGCGCCCACCACCCCCACACTCTAAACCGTAACGCCAAGAGAGGTGCTGCCAGAACACAGGCCGGAGGTCAAGGTCGCTGATGAGGAGGCAGTTCCTGGCGGCATCTTCGTCGGAGCAACAGAAATCAAGTGTACCTGGAGTAGGCTCTACACGGCTATACACAGCAAGTTGTAGAACAAGTTGTGAGCACCCTATCCTGCTTCGAGGTCCACCAGTAGCTTCGCTAGAATAATATATACTGTTCTTGTTGTTCGGTGCATCCTCTCAACCCCCAAGCACTGCAGTGCAGCCAGCAGCACCTGCCTTCCGTCGTGGGCACGCTCCTTTCGGGGCTAGGGTTCTCACGAGAGTCCCTATATGCTTCTTTAAGGTTCCAACAAGGCTATATAGAGGCTGAACCCTGAACCCATCCTGAATCCTGCACAACCCCGAAAACTCTAAGCTTTAAACCCGGCTTAGTGTCCCACAGGGGCCTCGAGTTGCCCTTACTATGGCCTCGATCTCTTAACGACTGGCCGTACGTCGGGGGGTCCCGACGGGTTGTGTTGCATAGGAATTTGGATTAGGGGGACCTTCGGGGATATAGACCCTCTCAATCAGGTCCCTTTTAAGAGCGCCAGAAGTAGGGTTAAGAAGGGTTCCCTATAAGCCGTCTCCCCAATACTACCTTTAATGAGGGATATCTACCATAGTAAGGAACGCACGGGAACATACCCAATACACCCTAAACCCTAAACCGTATACTACCTAGGATCGCGGGGGACTCTGGAGTTCGGCAAAGCTGGGAATCGGTGGAGAGAAATCTTACTCGGCCGGGCTTCCTGAAGACCCTGCGCCACGCAGCTATGGCATCTATGGGAGTTTCCGAAAATTAGGGGTACCTTACTTTGGGGTCCGTATAATAAGAATCCTTCTATTAGGGTACTATATTGAAGTCCCCTATTTTCGGAAACTCCCATATCGCTCCATCAACTAAGAAGAACAATGCCTATAGGGCTCCAGCTACCAATATTCTATAAATGGGTAGTAGCCTAGTATTTAGGTAGCTGTAGCCCTAGGGAATTGTATTAATACCAAGATGATGAAGCGTTAAGCAGGAACCTCGAAGGTAGATTGCACAACGAAGTTGTACGGCGATGCCTGAAGAAGGAACCCCCCCTGGTACATCCTTTGACGAATCTTACATACCATGAAGCCTTAAGAAGGCACCCCGGTATATATCGTGTGCTCCTGAACCACTTCGAATGTCCTGCTGTTCTGTGGACTACCTGTTTCCCCCAAACCATACAGAATAGTCGTCACATGGAATCAAACCCACGGACAGGTGGGTTAGATGATGCACCGACCAAACCCGAAACCCTAAGTCCTCTCATAGACCAAAAGGCCCTACGGCCCTACGGCCAAAACCCAAGGACCCTGGACCCGGGAAGGAACCCAGTTCACGGTTTCTGGGTTTTCTCAGGAGTCAAGATTCTGGGCTTGGGCAGCATGCTGCCCACATCCTCAGCCTTACCAGGTCTTCAGTGCGCTAGCCTAAGCCTGAAACCGAAACCTCGAAAACAGCAACTAGGGGTTCGGGCTGGGAACCCCCAAAACCGTAAACTAGAGCTTCAAACAACCGAAAGCTCCTGAGATATTAAACCTCTCATCCCCAGAGGTGCCAAACACACATAACTTGGACTATCACATATCTTTTAGAAGCTGCCCCCACCCTGTAAAAGTGACTGTAAGGATTGTATTGGGTGCCCTATTATATTCTATTATACCACTATTACAGGGTGGGGGCCCCTTTTAACATATCTTGATGCTTGAAGGGATACTGAGTGTGATTCCGAGTAAACCAGTATAGAAACCTTTGCAGACTTATACTGACTGATAAACCCCCCCTCTGAAAGCTTGGCTTCGGAATTCCTGAACTTAACCCCAAACCCTGAACCGGGTCCTAAACCCTGTAAACCCCCGTATCAAAGGAGGCCAAGGGCCCTGCGCCAGGTCGGCAGATGTGATCGCATCCGCAGCAGCCGAGCCTAATGTAGGGACTTTAATAATTCGAATATTGTTTGGGGGCCCAGTATCCTATAAATACAATAAGGAACCCACAAAAACATTGTTGGTAATTAAAACGGCCCCAATAGTACTAATTTTTGTTGGATCGGTCCACCGAAGCATCTCAGAGAATTGCAAGGTTTAGGGCTGGGGCTTAAGTTGGGGGCCTAGTTGATCTGGCTCCAGGGCATCAGACAGACGACCCCCATGGAAGGTTTTGACAGGGAGTCTACCTGGGCTTCATACAAGCTCTACAGGATGTTCATAGCAGTTGCCGTGGAGCATCGAGGAGATGGAAACTCAGGAGCGATGGATCGTTTTGCCTTTTGTTGGTCACCGGTTTGGTGAAGGTTTGCATCTCAGACCCTCATCTTTCAAAGGGTGATCCTGCAAACAGGGTAGATTGTGCTGTAGACAGCAGGGTAGAGTATAGACCCCCAAAAGCAGCACAGGGCCAAACACAGGGATTGCGCAAGCCTTTTCAGAAAGTGGTATGAAGGCGTCTTAAAGGCTAAATGCTGAGAACAGCTAAGATGTTACTGCGGGCAAGGTACCGGTGCCTCCAGCCGCGTCATGTACGTATTTCTCCGGCGTCACACCGTATTTGTGACACACCTGGCGAAACGCAACGCCGTAAGCTGTTTGTGGTCGCAGGTACCGGCCAGAATCCAGGAGAAAAAAGACGTGCATGTAATGGTATGGTGTCTGTGGGAGACCAAAACCTTAGTTCAGAAAGCGCATGTTCATATGCGACCCATATCCAGGTTACACGTTTTGCTGCACAACAGGGTCGGGTCGGGCTGCAATTCTGTAACTAACTGCATCAATTCCTCTGCCGGAGCGCTTCGCGCGTGCATGCTTAATACTCACTCACGCATTGCAACCGTGGTAACTACAACATCAGAGAAGCCGCACAGAGCACTTGTTTCCAACAGGCCGTAGCAGGTGAAGCCCCAGCTAAACGCAATGACCAATCTTGCATCGCCTTCTGGTACATCTCCAGCTCCTTGCCTTTGTACTTCCCCCCAAGCAGACCATCGATCCTTGACAGTTCAGGGCTGAGAGTTCGAGCATTTAATTCGGATGTTTATCAAAGTCTTGACAAGCTCACAAGTCGACACACCCTGAAACTATTTTGACGTAAATACTCGTTGCTCCATGCCTTCGCCTACCTGTCCATGCCTGCAAGGACACCGGGATTGAACTGTGTGAAGTTGAAGCTTCTTGATCGTCCCTCAATTCGAGCGGCTAGAAGTTACCAACGACCCAGTTTTTGTGACGGAAACTTCGCAGAATTATTGTCCTAAGCCATGCCTCACAGAGCGCACAACCATCTCACAAATGGCTTAAAAACCGTGTAATGCAGTTCGAAGACCTCACCTTTTCATAAGGTTTACTCGTCGCGAAAAATCTCGCAAAACCCTGCTCATTCCGAGCGCCACACGAGCCGACCTTGTCCGGATTGTGCTTAGCATAGACCTGCACGAACCAAACCACAACCGGGAACTTTCAACCCATGTGATCCTAAATGGTTACAAAGTGTAGCTTCTCAGAAGACTTGGTTGCTGATTCGGGAATTCCCTTCTCAACATGGGCTCGACGTTCAATCGGCACACGGTGTGGAAAATGATACTTGAATGAAGCGGAAGCTTGCTTGTCAGGTAAAGCAGTTTCGTGAATTACGCTCCAAGGATGTGAATTTGATGTCGCATGGGGCTAGCATGGTTCAGATCAAGCGCTCCCCATAGGTATGCAGCCAAACACCATCTAGTGTTTCAACGTGGTCGTTGTTGAAGGCTTCTGGTTTCCAGAGCCAGAATCCCGACCAAGCGCAACACTTTGCAAGATCTAAAACAATTCTCGCAAGGTGTGATGTGCGATGACACCGGGAAGGGCCTCACGTGTTCAGGCGTTGGGTTGTGCAGCGCATGTACGCCTCAACTCATCAACCACTTCGTTCGGGCGAGAAAACTGGAGCGCAAATGACATAATGTTTCGGACCGAGGCTGAAGGTATGTATATAGTGCTTGATTAAGAACTTGGTCTCCGCACACTTCGCCTTCTATGTTGCCAGTGACAACACAGGCTCAGCGTGCCACATGCTCCAGAACTAGCCTTACATTGTCGAAAAAAGACCTGCGGCTCCGCGTGCTGCGTGTGAGGATTAGTGCCTTATCTCGTTCAAGGCCTACACGATCTCTGTTTTTCAGAAGCAGCTTGTTGGCTGATGGTTTAAACAGAATGTCATGAACTTGGCGCTTTCGGCACAGCCAGCTAGTAACAGCTAGTAGTAGTAGCACAACCCAGTAGCCGTCCAAGAGGAAGACGAACACGAAAATAGATACGTGACTTATATGACTACAAAAAAACGACCAGTCTGAATGTAGAAGACCTACGCCCGGACACAATTAAAGTCTAATCGCCAAACCTTTAAACATGTGTTTCTTCTGTGCAATTGCAGGTGAGAACGTCCCAAAGTCCGGAGCTCGGGCTCGTACTCGTGAGACACCGTTCCCAGAGACTCCAATATCCCTTAATTAAGGAATATACTTTGACTTTAAATTATACTAGGATCCCTAATATGATTTCAGGAATATTCCTTAATTAAGGGACATTGGAGTCTCTGGGTTAATTTAGGGTTTAGCGAACACATTACGACATCAATCAGATGTTGCCACCTATGTGGGTGGTTGTCAAAATGTTGGTCCCTTTTTGGGTCCCTGATATAATACGGCACCAAAAACTTTTTAAGGTACCCCAAAATGGGGCCCTAACTGTGACCACCACCCATGTACACCCCAATTCCAAACCCTAAACCCTAAACCTTAAATCCTTAACCCTAAACCCTGAACCCTAAACCCTAAATCCTAAACCCTAAACCCTAAACCTTAAATCCTAAACCCTAAACCCTGAACCCTAAACCCTGAATCCTAAACCCTAAACCCTGAACCCTAAACCCTAAACCCAAGAGCTTCAGATCGCGTGTTTAGGGTTCTTCAGCTTTCGGTATTCCCAAAGACTCGTGGGTTCCTTTAAAGGGGTCTACATGGGTTCCGAAAAGGGATCTAGAGGGTTTAGGATTTAGGGGGCTTCAATATCCCTGAATGAAGGGAACATACCTTAAATTATGATAAGACCCCTAATATGATTTAAGTATATTCCTTAATTAAGGGGTATTGGAGTCTCTGGGTTCGCCGAAACCCTAAACCCTAAGCCCCCCAACAAAAACCATCAGCCACTGTCGCGATGTGCGGCAGGTTTTTCCGTTGGAGGTGGGAGGGTTGTTTTGGGATTTCTAGTGGATATCATACTTAGTATAGGGTCCAGCAATTGGGAGCCTAGTGTCCTAGTCTGCTTAGTCTCGGGGATTTGTAAGCATGGTGCGATACAGCGCGTTCTCAACATATGCCTCTAATATTCCACTCTGACTGTTCTTCATGACGACTCCTTCCATCCCCACCGCGGGGAACTGTCCACCAGTTCAGGTTCTATCATATGCGATTACCAGGAAGATCAACCCAAAAGAGAGTTCCATGTGAAAGTCTAAAGGGGGAGGTCCGACAATACATGACTGTTCGATTTGGAGGCTCGGTAATGTGCCGGTCGGTTTAGGAACATGGGCTCCTTTAATGCGTCGGCTCGGGGGCTAATTCCGACCGGTACCAAAAATTTGGGCGGTCTAATTAATGCGTTTTTTTGGGGCTGGGTTTTTTTTGGGGGGGGCGGGGCTGTGCTGTTTGCTGATGGTCAATCTTAAGGCAGCCACGACCTAAACCCCCACCCAAAACCCCACCCAACCCTAAAACCCTGGCCCTGAAGCCCGAAAATCTCTTGCAGAATTGTTTCGCTTATTGGGGCGTCAGGAATGAAAATCTGTACTACTACTGTACTACTACTGTACTACTATTCTACTATACCTTGATTATTGGGGGGGGGGCTGCTAGGGTGAACCGCCGAATCGGGGATTGGACCCTAGCTCAAAAGAGGCCTCTCCAGTACTAAAGTTTGTATAAAAAATGAAGTTTTGGGTCGAATCTGGACCGACCCCCCTTTGGAAGGGTTTAGGGCTTAGGGTTTAGGGTTTGCTATAGGGTTTAGGAGTTTAGGATTCGTTAGGGTTTAGGGTTTGTTAAGGTTTAGGGTTCAGGGTTTAGGGTTTCAGGCGCTGGCCCAGACCCCCCCGACCCCCGACCGCGCAGTCGCGCAGAACCGCAGACCCTGCACCAAAGCCAGCCCCCAAACCCCGGCACCTCCCAATTCCCTGCCACTCAGACCCCTGACCCCTGTCCGGGGCTACCGGTTCCAAATTAAAGAGACCAAAACTTTTTGGTCGGGGGGGGGGGGGGGGGGGGTACCCTACCCGTAAACCGACCGCCACATTAAGACCATGAAAGGCGTAGACAAAAACCACTTTTCCGCTAGGTTGCCACCCGCTATTTAAAGCCTCCGAAAACTGCTACGAACTTAAATTCCCTTAGGCCCGAAGAGGGAAACCTGTAACGTATCCCCTAAACCCTAGACCATAAACTCTAAACCTTTAACCCTCAATCCAAAATCCTACCTAGTCACCCCGGCAAGATACGGAAGATGCTTGACACTGAGGCTTCTGCTTTGACCAAGGGTCCAAAGAACACAATGGCTAGGTATTCGGTTCTATGGTAATTTGGTGAGTATATGCATGATTATTGGGTACTTGGGCGCTGAGTTTTTGGGACTACTACACACATGGACATGGCAGCTGTTGAAACTACCTGTCCTCAAACAGCCATCAGTCAGGATAGACTTCTGGGTAGGAACTCCTTATGAGGAATTATGTTCCCAACGGTCCCTGTTTGTTTGTAGACGTTTCGAACGACCCTGATGGCCTTAAACTCATATGTGAACCCTTATGACCTTATGAGAAATATTACAGTGGAAGCCCAAAAGTTGGAAACCCCATAGCCTCAATCCTTAAGAGTGATGTATAGGGAATTCAGGCACTATTTGGCCTTAATCCGGTTTCCAACTTTATGGGGTTTACTGTAAGCGCTAGGTAAAAGGATCTTTGGACCAATGGCCACATCAGCCTCTTCCAGCTTCTGGCGGCACCAGTCCTGGCCAGAAATCCTAAACCCTAAAACCTGAAACCCTAAAGCCCTAAACTTTAAATCCTCAAACCCTAAACCCCTAAACCTGTGGACAAGACACGAGGGCAGGATGAAAACAACCACCTTCTCTTACCTAAACCTATCTCTTTCCAGGGTCCCTAGAAATTCCATATTGGGACTTGTAGTAAGAACCTACAACAAAGTATAGGCCATCGTATATCCCCAAACAGCGAGCGATAGTTGGAGTCTGTTTTATCTTCTCTTTTCCGAGAGGGTACGGGCTTTGGGTGCATGGTCGCTCCGAGGGCCTGGGGAGCTGGGGCGATAAATGATTAAGGTTCTTGCAAATAGCCCAAGGCCCTAATCCCGAAAAACATCAGCAGCGAAACTTGGACACTGTAAATATCTGCACGAAGATATCACAACCACCGGCCACAAAGCCTAGGGCCCTAAACCCTCAGCCTCAAAACCCCAGGCCCTAAACCATGGGCACTAAGCTCTCAGCTCCTAAAACTTCTAGGCACCCCCAAAGGGTCCTGAGTACTGTCATGGGGAATACTTCCCCAAATCATAGTAGTACTTCCTCATACAGTAGAAGCCAGAAAGTTGGAATATCATTATCGTAACCCCTTTATGGTAAATTATAGGGGATCCTACCATTAATCCATATTCCAACTTTCTGGAGTTCCCTTTAGAAACCCTAGAGTCTGGGTAAGTTGGACCCTTTGGGACCAGACCAACCCCTATTGGCTGCCCCTGTCCTTGACGCCCTGCTCCGCCGACGTAGATGGCCTGGGCCGAAACCGAAAGCCCCCAATTTCTAAACCTTAAAGTCCTAAACCCCAAATCCCAAAAGCTAAACCCTAAACACTAAACTAAATCTTCATGCCGGAAGGTGTAGGGTGTACTGTAAGGGTGCCCTTTATGTCGGGTCCTTAAGATGTACTGCAGGGCTAGTTATTAGATAAGGGTTGACAATGGTTCTTGAATGGTGCGACATGGGTAATTTCAGGGTTCCACAGATATCCATATGCACAAATAGAACACACTTGGGTGCTGACGTACCTATATAGCGAAGCCCAGTGAGGTTTAAGTACATGCTATGCCGGGGCGTAGATGGAAAGCCTACTGGTCTGTGTAAACTCTGGCTAGGTTTATGGCACCACTACCTAAACCCTAACGGGCCTAAAGCCTAACCTTAAACCCTATGTAAGCCCCAAAAATAGTGGACCATGGTAGTTTCCGGGAGTGTAGTTTGGGGATGTGTAAGGTTTGAAGGACATCCAGGTATGTCATGCTCGTAACGTCGGGGTCGAGCATGAAAGCGAACTGTTGCGGCATTTATGAGTGTGTCTGGGGCTTTCCACTAGTATAGGGGCCTTAATATTTAAAATAGGTTTTTGGGACTCCTTATACGAAAACTATAACAAGGAACCCCCAAAATAGTACAGGTAACTATCAAGGCCCCTTTAGTACATGAGCTAAAAATCGAAACCCCAGAGATAAGCCCAAAGCCCTTGCTGAGAGCCCGTCAGGCTGGACAAGAGGGATCTTTCCTGTCAGGACTTGGGCCGTTGGAGTGTCCCTTTGAATCAAGCTTTTATGGTAAGTTTAGGGTTAAAGTGGGTTCAAAGTCAACGGTCGAGGACGGGCATTAATACAGGGTCCCCTTAATAATTAGAATAGGCTTTTGGGGTATTAGAGACATCTGCCAACCGCCTCCGTGGCAGAAGCTGGAGATCGAAATAAGAATTCAAACCTTCGGACTCAAACGGCAAGCGCCGCCCAAGCAAGGCAACCGTCTCGAAGTAGGGCCATCCATTACCATTACCCTGCCATAATCATGTTGCTTGGATATCCCGACCTTATTGCGCTTCGTTAGAAGGGGGTTATATGGGATAGGGATAGCCCTAAACCCCTGAAGCCTAAACCCTACATACCCTAAACCCTAAGGAAAGAAGATGCCGCTTCGGGATGACTACATCTCGTCGCTGGGGATCAGAAGAGGTTTGATGACTGAGCCTCTACGTTCTCTCAAAGTTAGTGGGTACTCTCAGCCATGAAGCACACATGTCGTCGGCCGTGGTGGCACGCCAGGTACAAACATCAAGATTAAACAGCACAACACTGCTCCCTAAACACGAAACCCTAAGCCCTGAACTCCCTGAAGCCCGAAACCGCAAACACTAAACGAAACAATGCCTTCAGCCCGAATCGCTAAACCTTGGAGCCCTAAAACCTTGAACCCAGGACTCCGCACTCCGACAACAAAAAACACTATCATGTATTTCTATATAGAAAATGGAAAAGTATAGAATATAGAAGAGCATAGAATAGCATGGGATAGAATATAACAGAATATATAGCATATGTTATGACAATACAAGGAATACAGTATAAACATACCGGGGCCTTAATAATTTTCAATAGGGTGTTTGGCCCAGCATACTACAATTACAATAAGGAATCCCGAAAAATAGTATAGGTAATTATCAGCGCCTCCGGATTATAGCCCGTATAGTATCCCTTATAGACCCGTTTAAGGATCCCTTGAAAGGAACCCCTATAGGGCCCCAATGTTAACTGAACAGTCTTCGAGGTGGAGGTCCCCCTCCTCGCCAGTCAGCGCTCAGTTGGGTTTGGGGCTCAGGGTTTCTCTAGGGGCTTTGGGGCTTACAGGGTTTTAGGGTTTAGGGTTTATTAGTCGCGAAATTTGCTTTATTATACCGGTCATATACGGCGAAATGCGACGCCTGCATGAGCTATGTTCTGTAGACAGACCTTTGCGGACACGAAACTGCATAGATTTGACGCCGGCTGAACCACCAAACAACCCAGACCATCAACTTTCGGTCCCCTGAAAGCGCACCTTCTCCTTCTTGTCGGCCGGCTTTGGCGGGGTGTCCGGGTAGTACCCCAGACCTCACACATTCGTTAACTACTGTGCCACTATGGTCCTACTAAGCTTGGGATCGTTTCTCGGCTTGGGAACTACCCCAAGGCCCCATTGCCATAGTAGTTCCTTTTGGTGGTTCATATTTAGCATCCATAAGGTAATCCCAAAAAGGAACTAATATGGGGCCTAATTAGGGTAATCTCCTGAAGATGGGGATTCACGCCCAAGTCGCCCTGCAAATCCCTAGATTGAGATGAGGGTTTGTATTGGGGTCCCTTGTTTTCGGAAACTCCCATATGAGATGGACAGCCAGATTCGTGAAGACCACAAAGCCCAGACTCAGACCATGCGCTTCCGACATGAACAATGACAGCAATAATGGGGGGGCCTGAATGGTTCCACATGGGTTTGGCAGTCTGTCTTGACGTGACCATCTGACGGCAACAAGGGACAAACGATCAACTATGCAGACATCTATGTTGTAGCCTAGTTAACAAAAGGCGCCTGCACCCCTTCATCAAGTGACATACCTGCAATCACCGAATGATCCTTTGTTGAGTTTGACATGGATCGTGGTTGAAGGTTCCCACTGCTCGGACACGCTGACCCGGCGTCGCTTTCAAAACCCTAATCACCCGAATAGAGGACCACAAGGAATGCTATTGGCAAACATTTAGGCTTCTATATTAGTCTCCATTACAGTCCTCAACATAAGGCGGGTTAAGCGACAAACGGAACTACAGTGGAGACCAGAGGAAAACCCTGACCCCTAAAACCCTGCACCAGAAACTGTTCCGGGGCTAAGAACCTGTAGCCTACACCGTCCTTAACGAGCTCAAAAGGATCCTAAACCACCCCGAACCGTAAACATCCGTAAACCTCGGTACCCCTCAACCCAACAAGCCCCAAAAGCTGGCTCCCTTAAACCCTAAACCCCTAAACCCTAAAACCCTGAACCCTAAAACCCTAAACCCTGAACCCCACAATCAGTGCCGACCTGCATCGCCGGACTTGAAGGCAAAACCTTCCTTTGCCCCGGCGAAGGCGTCGGCAGACTGAAAGCCCTGTGGCAGCTGCGGCGATTTGGGGCTCCTATAGGCAAAACTGCATACGCCAACCCCCATATATATATATATATATATATATGCGCCCTCTTCCGGAGGGGTGCTGGCCGGAGTTTTGGCCTTCACCCACCACTCAGAGGGTACACTGGTACGGGACCTCATTGCAGGTGGGTGGCGAAGCTCTTGCCATTTCACCTTTGTTACAGGAAAGCGGTGGGGAGTGAGTGGGTTCCGGGAGCACACGGGCCGCGATACGCACTTAGTATCTGCAGAGGGGTCTGTAGAGAAGCGTGCTTGCCATTTGGTTCGCGGCTGCGCTCAGCCCGATGCAGAGGGACATTGTTTGCGTGGCCTAGTACCTCGGAGGGGGACCTTCAAGGGAAGAGCCTGATCGCACGGGTATCCGCGAGGATGGCACGCTGTCTTGCCCTTATGCCGGCTTGCCGGTGGCGGGCCTGCCTAGTTGCTACTTCGTGCGATTGTTGGCATGCCCTCTTGCCAAACTGGGCCGTCTTTGCTGACCTCATAACGTTGTTTCTGGGGTTGGGGCGTTCGCCAGCGGGAACTCCAAGTGGAGGGGGCAATGACGCTTGCGGAGCCCCCTGAGAAGCCGGGAGGGAACGGCGCCTTAGGCATGGCTGCTGCGCGCACCACCTCGTGCAGCTAGTCGCTCGCTCACTCACTCACTCACTCATATATATATATATATATATACAGATGTATATATTCTACAATATATATATATATATATGCATATATATATATATATATATATGATACTACTACTCCTACTACTACTACTGCTGCTACTACTACTACTACTACTACTACTACTACTACTACTACTACTGCTACTGCTACTGCTACTACTGCTACTACTGCTGCTACTGCTGCTACTGCTGCTACTGCTGCTACTGCTGCTACTGCTGCTACTGCTGCTACTGCTGCTACTGCTACTGCTACTGCTACTACTACTACTACTAATAATAATAATAAGAAGAATAATAATAAAGTAAAGCTAAAATAATATAAACATAGTATATATATATATATATACACATATGTATATAAAGATGACATCTATGTGTATGCATATGGCCCAAACGGTTGAAGGTCGGCGTCTGTAAGGTTTAGCTCATTCGAGAGGCAAGCTGCAGAATTAACGCTTCTTTCCGACGGGGATTCGGCGGAAGGGAAGGCTCGGGATTTGGCGAGCAGGTTATTGACTACTGTTCTATAATTACAGGGCATGGATCGTGCGAGTACAGGGAGATACGTGATGGAATGCCCACAATATACCGCCAGAGGCACACAAGACAGAGGTTCGGTTCGGTTTAGGTTGCAATCACACGCAAGAAGCTGCACGTCCCGAACTTACCCCTAAAGATCGAACCCCCAGACCTTTGTATAGCAGAAACAGCGTTCATCTTAAACAGACATCGAAACTGCAGAACAACCCGCACTTCCAGCAAGATCGTTCAGCATCTGTCTGATTTGGTCCCGGAAAGTGAGGCCCTAAACCCAACCTGTAGGCGGAAAGACCTACCACTATTTAGGGTTCCTTATTATGGTTTCTATATATAGTTCCTTAAAAAGGGTAGGTCTTTTCGGCTACAGGAAGGCCCTAGACGAAAAGCCTGGTGAGCCCCGACATGCCTCAACGGCCGACGCGCCGGTTGAGGCTCCGATGCCGAACAAAGATGACGCCATCCTCGAATTTTACTCCTAGCGAGTTGGGGTGGGGCTCCCCTGGGTTCAGGGTTTAGGGTTCAGGGATTGAGGTTTAGGGTTCAGGGTTTAGGGTTCAGGGTTTGGGTTTAGGAGTCTAGGGGTTCGCGGGATGTGTAAGGACCCATAAGAAATGGGATTATTCGTGGTCGTGGGCGTGGTAACTAAGAAACCCGAAGACGGGTCCAACTGCAGTTGGAATCTGGTGTGGGGTTGTATTGTCCGACAACGACAACGAATTCGATGAGGACGACGACCAACCCTAGCTTCCAGTGGTGGTGACTCTGGAGGACCAATATTAGCAACGCTCATGAGTGAGGCTCCAGAAATCCGACCATCCGTAATACCACACCCATCCGAAGATCTCTCGTGCGAAGGCAGCGTCCTCGTCTCGTGTGCGAGGGCGCATGAACTGACTCAAAGGAACAGCATCACGAGATCTCCTACGCCTATAGGCCCAAAGGCTCCATGTACCTTTATAGTGGATACTTAAGCCTTACAGGGGTCCCTATATGGGTACTTTAAGGCCTAAGTATATACCATATGGGTACATGGAGCCTTAGGGAGGGTTTAGGGTTTAGGGGTTTAGCGTTTAGTCAAGATCTGAGATGGCGCAGCTTCTAGAGCTTGTTCCAATCCCTCAAAACCCTGAAGCCTAGACCTTATAAGCCCTAAAAACCATAAATTAAAAGCCCTACACCCCAAAAGCCCTGAGAGCCCTAATTCCACCCAAAAGCCCTAAGAGCCCTAAACCTGAACTGCTGCAGTCTACTGCAGTAAAGTCCATGTCGGCCGAGGGCAGCGCGGGGTGCCAAAGAGGCCTCCGGGCTCTGGTCCTGACTTTGTCAAGCTCTTGCCTACTTGGAGGTTCATGGATAGTTATAAGGGTTCCTTTAAGGGTCCCTTTAAAGGGATTTTATAGGGGTTCTATATGTAGAATAAAAGCCATTTGTAGATATTGGGCCATTACTTTGTCTACTTGTGAGGAGTTTAGGTACGGGATAGGGTTTAAGGCTTAAGGTTTACCTGTCGCGGGCTACGGGTTCAGGGGGTTCAGGGTGTAGGACCTTACCAAGAGGGTCTTTTTTAATCTACGATTATGGGGTTAGATGCCCCAGACCCACAATGTCTCTTGGGACCCTATTCCGTAATTGCAGGATATTCAGTATATATGAACTCTGAGGATTAGCAGGGGTTAACTAACCTGTCCAAATACGCTTCTGAGACAATGCCCGATACAGTCTATATCCAGGTCTATCATAAGACCCTGCAATAAAAAAGGCTATGATAGCCTAGACCCTGGAGTAACCTAGGAATAAAAAGGGTGCCCTTTTTGGTTCAATCGAACGGAGTTATAAGGGAACCTGAACCCCCAAAAAGGGAATAAGGGCCTACTCCGGGTCCTACGATTGATGATATCAACCCTGCATTACCTTAAGACCCCTAAGCTATGGGAATTATGGTATATTCCTTATTATGGGTAATGCAGGATTTCTATCATCAACCGTAGTAGCCCAGGCTCTTCCCTTTACACCCCTCAGCCTTGACCCTATACGGTAGCTCTGTGGTTTGCACGGTTTACGGTTTGGGCTTTTGGGTCCAGGTTCTTTTTTTGAACCCTCTTTTCTCCCCGCCTATGTTTAGGTTGGCTGAAGGCCACAGGTGGCTGAGGGGTGTACTGCGAAGACTCGTGGCCAATGCACCCCAATAACTCCAATTAACATAAGCATGACAAAACTGCAACTTCCCAGCCTCCAAGTACGACGAGAGCGGAGTGATCTCCACGCCCCACAAACACAAGCTGTCCGGTCAGCATACTTAATTACGAATTGCACAGACCAGTTCAACCAGCGATGGGCAACTACAAGAGGCTACACATTAGCAGGACTGAGATGCCACCCACCACATGGACAGCCCGATAGCGAGCCTAGTCCCAGACAACAGCGACCTAAGTAAATCAACCCAAAGTAAGCTCAGCAGGCCCCTTCAATAGCAGAGTTCCTCTGCTGCTTCGTGGCCGGACAAGGCAGAGCGGCAATTGAGAAAGAAATCATATCGTCATCTGCCAGCATTCACTCAGCAGTCAGGCCTTCGCCACACTGGTAGATAGAGCTCCGTGGCCCTTGTGTCCATAACAAACTAAAGAGACCAACATACCTAGACCCTAAAGAAACCAGAACACATTCAAGCAGCTGGGCTCCCAGCTCTGTCACAGGTGAGGACTACAATTGACAATTCCAGAGCAAGTAGACTATCACATGTGTCAAGGTGCAGCATGCAAGGCAAAACGGGGGTCTAGGGGTTCGGGGTTCAGGGTATGTGCTGCAGGGCTTAAGTTACGGGATGCGCAGATTAGCTTTCAAGGGTTGGGCTTGGAAGCCTCATGTAAAGGTAGACTATAGGTAGGAGGTCTTTGTGATTACTTCAGCTATTGGGGAGTCCTATATAAGAAGATCGGTACGTTTTCTGCAAGGCAGTGTAATCTAATAGTGGAGCCAGATGCTCTTCTCCCACCCCCTCGCCTTCTTCTAAGAAACTTCTCGGCAATAGGAATAATAGAGTTTGGGGTTTAGGGTTTAGGGTTTAGTGGAGTTTGGGGTATATTATATAGCCATATCAAGGCTATTTCAGTAGAACTATATGCTGGGACGACCATATACATGTAATTCTTCTATACACACTCGCACACAGCGGGAGTAGTACTGCTAAGGTCTTTCAACAACAGCCGCTACCAAGCCTAATGACAATGAGCAGTATCGCAACGACAGCAATACAGCACTTTTGCCCTAAACCCTAAACCCTAAAGCCTAAACCCCAAACCCTAAACCCCCAAACCCTAAACCCTAAAACCCTAGACCCTAGACCGTAAAACCCTAAAGCCCTAAACCCTAAAATCCTAAACCCTAAACCCCTAAACTCTAACTTAGAGGCTGCCTGCGAAGTTGTGGCTTGTCCCTGACCCAGTGGACATCGCCTGACCAGGGGGGCTAAGAGGGTTTCATGGATATTCCTTGTGGTACGGTGGATGATATAAATACTGCATTACCTTAAGGACCCTAAACTATGGGAAGTATGCTATATTCCTTATTACGGGTCATGCAGGATTTATATCATCAACCGTACCTTTGTCGTATGGGCTGAGGTTGAACTGATGAAGACCTAATGGTCAGAAAACTGAGGCTGGTTGGGGGTAAAGAGTATTCCTCAGACAGCTTGGTGATTCTCTTCGGTTTTTATGGGAATTTCCGGACCCTACTAGTACCCTAAATAGTAGGAGATCCTTTTTATAAGGACCCAGAATAAGGTAGCCCCCCTAATTTTTGGAAACTCCCTTATGTCAGGGCTTAAGTCTGGGTGAAGCCCACCGAATTTAAGCCATCATCTCCTCAAGCCTTGAAATCCGAAGCATCAAAAGTCCTGAATCCTACCCTGAAGCCCCATAGTAGTTCCTAAACGGGATTACCGCATAATATTCTAAAATTGAACCCCAAAAAGGAACTACTATGGGGCCTTAGGGTAGGGCTCCCTCAACAGATAACCTAAACTCTAGTCACTTCATACCCACAAAACTCGCTCTTGAATGCGTAACATCCAACCAACCAAGAACACAAACGAAGCAACAGTAAAACCAAGACCCTAAACTGCAAAGCCGCAACTCCAAAGCCACAAACCCTAAACCCTGAACGCTGCATCCTGAATTCCCACGGCTCACCCTCATGTAGGCTGCGGCCGATTCGATTTTGCAGAGCGCCAAACGTCCATTTACTCTGTGGTTCGGACCTGGCTGGAAAAAAGTTTCAGCTGGCTCGGGCCTTCTCGAAGAACGCCGGAAGGGACATGCGTGGGTCCATGTTGCCGAGCTGCGTACCGTCACTGAGGACGATCTTGACCTGATAGTCTCGGAACTCTGGCCGGCTCGCGACACGGTGCAGAACATCCGCCAGCATGTCCCCCTCCGTAAACTTGAAGCTGGCTGCCTCCTCGCCTGACATGGAGATCATTGTGACCTTATAAAGGGTGTCCTCCTTCTGCACGTCCGCAGTGAACATCATAGTGTTCGGGCTTAGCGGCGTCCGCATGTCCCCGGCCGGCATGTGGAAGGGCAGCCGTAAATTCTCGTCGGTGGGTTGCATGAAGCTCTGCGGTCGGACTGTAGCTCCCTCACAGCGAAAGAGCCACCTCCTGTCTCGGTCAGCAAGCCAGTTCTGGAAGTCATGAACACAGGCGTTGTCCACGGGGAACTGCTGCGATCCGACCCTCCACAAATCGCCCCTCATTTTGTTGATGCAGTGGCCGTAGATGATGCTCAAGTACCAGCTGGGCGTGCCTTCGTCGTCTTCGGTGTCTCTGCGTGCAATCAGCTGCGTTCTGGCCACGGCCCTGGTATCATAGCTATACCACACCAGGCTGTCAGGGGGTCGCGGTGGAATATCGCCTATGTTTTTGTAGAAGAACACACGGCCATCGCAAACGATGGACACCATATTTGCCGCTGGCGCAGCGCAGACGAAAAGCTCAGTACGGCCCAGAAGCAAACGCTTGCGGAAGAGCACGGATGCGTAGATCCGGAGTGTCAGACGGATAGCAAGCCCACAAAGAAGAACAATCGGGACAGGGATCCAGCATTCACTGACACCTAGGGCAGCAGCGAATACAATGGCTGCGAGCGCGCAGAACAGGAGTTCGGGACAGGGGAAGCACTTCCAGGCTCGAGTGCGCTGATCGATGAACTCTGTCGTGGCGAAATGCTGCCAAGTAGCCTTATTTGCTGCATTCATAAGCCCCAAAAAGTGTACACTTTCGGTTTTATAGTGGGTAGTATTATCCCAAAGAGTGTAAAGTGTATCCACTCAGCTACTAAGTAGCTCCTGCTAAGGCCATGGGGTAGATTTGGCATCGCCCAGCATCCACTTCGCGCTGCATCTCAGCGTGAAGTCGCAAGCGGACAATCTGGGGCAGGACCAGGAACGGGCTCAACATGGGGCCGACCATCCAAAACAGCACGCCAACATGCCAAAACTCGGTGTATACCGTTACCTCTTCGGGGCACCACAATTCTTGGAAAGCCATGCCAGCAAGCAGCAGCTCCGGCCCGACAGGGGGTGGGTTCTCAGGGTAATGCACTTCCAGCTGTTGGTAGAGCACCTTGTCCACGTAAACTTTCTTGCCCACAGCGGCTTCACATTCGGGATCGCATTGCAGTTCCCAGTCAGCTTGCCTGGGATCTTGTTATCTAAGGGATTGCAGTTAAGTTACCATAATAAGGAAACCAGATTATTTACTATAGATCCCGACTATGGTAACTGAAACCTTAAACCCTAAACCCTTACAGGAACCCTTATAGATCCCTTAAAGTAACCTTTATAGATCCCGTTAACGAACCCTTATAAATCCCTATGATGGTAGCTAAAAAACTATAATTCCTTACCCTAAGGCTCCATGTACCCATATAGTAGATACTTAGGCCGTAAAGTACCCATATAGGGACCCCTTAAGGCTTAAGTAACTACTATAAAGGTACATGGAGCCTTTGGGTTATTAACCCTAAACCCTAAACCCTAAAACTAGAACCCAGTTGCGCCGCAAGAAGGGCCTCCAACGAGCTCACGACGTGGAGCTCCGTCCCTTTTGTGCGGTCGAGTTCCTGTAGTTTACCCAAAGGCCCCAAAGTAGTTCCTTTTTGGGGTTCATATATAGAATCCTATAAGGTACTCCCAAAAAGGAACTACTTTGGGGCCTCTGGGTAGTGCTTAGGGTTTAGGGGGTTTGGGGTTTTAGGCTTTAGGTTTAAGGTTTAGGGCTCTTCGAAACTTCTGAGAAACTGTATTACTACTACTCATGATACTCAAACAAATAAACCAATAGATATATATATATATATATGTATATGTATATATTTCTATTTCATGTTGACATTTACTTATGGTGCTCAATTTCCATAGATTGTTAATACATTAATATCTTGATATAATAATATATTCAACGATTACTCTATTACGATATTGCTATATAGCAAAATTACTATAGTACTATACTACCATCTATACTAGTAAATTACTGTTACTGTTATTTACCATGCTGTCGCATTATTAGACTATTCTACTACTGCAGTACTACCTCATTCTACTACTGCATTACTAGCTTATTATTCTACGTAGACTCTTATACGAATGTATGGTTACATTAAGAATACCATTATTAACATTTGTTACAAGTCTATATGCGTGTACTCTAACCTATGACTATAATTAATTAATTAAATAATTAATTAATATATATATATATATATATATACATATACATATACATATACATATACATATACATATACATATATATATATGGTACCCCCCCCCCAAAAAAAAAACACGCTTCGCTGTCGGGTACTCTCGACTTGCCCAACTTCATCGGGGCATGGATGCAGCTGCAATAACGTTCAGGGTCTTTCAGGGCTTCTCAATTTGAGGGATTCGCGACGCGACGTGTAAGTATCTGATGCTCAAAGGGCCTCGCTGTGACGGATACTTCAGCGGATTTGCGGATTCGCAGATTCGCATATTCGCAGATTCGCGGATTCGCGGATTCGCAGATTCGCAGATTCGCAGATTCGCGGATTCGCAGATTCGCAGATTCGCAGATTCACAGATTCGCAGATTCGCAGATTCGCGGATTCGCAGATTCGCAGAATCCCAGATTCGCAGATTGCCAAATCGCAGAGGCTATACAATCTGCGAATCTAAGACTCGGCAAATCTGCGAATCTGCAAATCTGCGAATCTGCGAATCCGCGAATCTGCGAATCTGCGAATTTGCGAACCTGACAACCTGCGACTTTGTGCCAACCTGTGAAACATCATGACATCCAGATTTCGTTTCTTTCTCAAGCACAGAGGCTGATACATGTGCGCATAAAGGAATCTGGTAGTGTCAAGGCAGGAAATATTTGTTGTTCCGGTGTGTTTAAAGACCCTGTTTGCTTCTTTTCAACATAAATCCAAATAACGGCATCATTCAAAAAGTTAACCTATGTGGAAGCTTCTTGTGGCTTCTTCATGCCTGTGGTTAATCAGATTACATACTTGAAATACTAAGTAAACATCCCATTCTATAGTGTTTTGCTTATATCTTCATTTTCATTTGTCACGTGCCAGACTAGTTGTCTTTTGGCCATTCATCAGTCCAACTCATGTATAGGAACCCACTATCATTGCCAAAATGAAGCCTCTAATCTGCATGCGGGCGTATCTAAATGCATGTCGGTTAAAATTTCTGCTTATATCAAGATAAGGAGCTAGCCATTTCAAACGGTTTAAGCACATCTTTAGTCTACTTGCTGCCAAGCCGAGTAATTGTTTTCCACCTTTGGCATTCTGACAGCCCTATGCCAGAGGCAAGCAATTGGAAACCTATGGGTTGGTGAATGGATGCACTTGTCCCGTGATTGAAACATGACCAGACCATGGTAATGTAGATAATTAGCTAATTCCAGGTGCTTACACAGTGTATGTCACAGTGTCATGTAACAGTGTCATGTACACACAAAAACGTTGATTTAGCCAGTCACCTAATCAACTTACTGGCAATATTTGTGAGTGGTATATCCGTGCTTTCTTAATTTAGTTTATGATGGAAGTTATGACAGTAAACTGAACGAGTTCTTTGGCCCCTGCTTGAACTAACCCATGTAGCACTCCAGCGATTTTGCGAGTATTATCACGGATACATTGAATACTACGAGCCAGGACGAGGGACTGGTGATATCAGTGGCCAGCAGGGATCTCTACTACGGATTACTAGTACTCATACCACTCAAGCTGAACGAAATGCTCTGAGCGTTGGCAACGATGGTAATATCTGACGCCAATACTCGTAATAATGTGGGAGCATTGCTAGGAGCTAAAGGATTACGGGCAGCCATGGTTTCGTGAATGTAGTGCTGCGGTGACTTGCAGGCCGCAGGCCACAGACATGTAGAAATTCAGGGTTTGTGGGCTGCAAAACAGGCCGAACCCAAATCCCGCCTAATGTTCTGCACGCCGGGCCCAATACTAATTTCACTTCTCAGGGGTGACTTCCTACAGCGGGAAAGGATTAAGCCGATGTAGGGAAATTAGCTAGTCAATGGTTCTAGAAGACAGCAGGCTTCTCATCCAAATCATGTCATATTGTGCAATGAGTCAGTTAATCAACAGCTAGGTTCGTTCAAGGGGACCTGGAACCTACACGCAGGGCTTCGGGACTAGGGCTTAGGCTTAGGGCTTAGGGTTCAGGGTTTAGGATCCAAGGTCTCTAGGGCTTAGGGCTCACGATTGAAATTGAGATTTGTCTGTCTGTCTGCCAACTTAACTTGGAGTTATTAGAACAGGGCAGACAACAAAGCAATACTTCGCTAGGTTATGTTAGATATATTGTGTTCTGCGTAATCCCTAATAGCAATTGTACTAGTACTGTATCAAATTGTCGAAAATTTTATAAGAATATTTACATTTCTTGCTCCAGGGCAGACAACAAAACAATACTTCACTAGATTATCTTGGTTATATTGTGTTTTGAGTAATTCCTAACATTACTTGCAGTAGTGCTGTATCAAATTGTTCAAATATTTAAAAGAATATTTATAATTCTAGTTATTAAGCAGATAACAGCAATACTTCACTAGATTATCTTGTCTACACCGTATTTTGCACACGCGTGGATAACACATGCAGGAATGCTGGAGTGAACTATCAGGATCTTTTACTAGTTCTTGCGGGTCTTGAGGGGGGGGGGGGTAGCATATATATATATATATATATATATATATATATATATACATATATACATATATATATATATACATATGCGATCGTATTTCATTCTACTTTGTTTGCGTTATCACATTTCGAAGCAAGATGTTCAACAAAACTGAAATGGACTGTAGAACACATCCCAAAGCTTGCCGGGTTTCCTGTTGCCCACAGACAAAATATGACAGGATGGAGAATGCAACAGTCAAGCACGTGACCAGTGCGAAGAAGGCGAGGCAGGTTCGCGTAGCCTTGGGGAAATGGAATCGCTCGAGGAGTTCCCGGCCGGACACTTCCATGATCTGCCGGACTCGAAGGTCCGCTGCAGACCCCTTGCAGATGTGAAGCAGTTGGTGCCTGCGACCGGAGGAAGATGCTTCCCCTGCAAAGCCAAGCACAAGCTGAGCCGTGCTCGCGCACTGGTTCTAGGTTTCGCACAAACAAAATATCAGCTGATGGGGCTCGAGCCCACACCCTGACGGACTCGATTTATCACAAAATCTAGAAATGCAGTGATTCTGCGAGATCTGGGCACATGGACCACCAAGTGCAACCCTCCCCATGTGCATGTACGAATCTCGGAATGCGAAAGCTTCTGCAGGTGGCAGGGCATGCGCTTTGTAAACTACCCTAAACCCTAAACCCTAAACCCTAAACCCCTAATATGGTCATTGGCTCGATTGATGCCGGATTGATTTACTTGTGGGCTACCCAAGCTTCCATTCATTCAGTCTCTTGGAAGGACTCGCCAGTAGAAACACTTCAGAAAATCGTCGAAAGGCCTTGTCAACAGCAAAGTTTCAGAATCCTTAAAACTCTCGCCGGGCTATCCGGCCGAAAAGAGGCCGCTGCTGCCGGATGAAGCGGCAAGGCCAGAGAAAAGCCCGCCGGCAGTAGACCTGCAACGATGACACAAATAATGACATGAACAACAATCATCGTACACCGCATAATGGTGATCGTAAACATCGTAAATAATGAAACTGATAGTAATAATCGCAAGCATACTAGTGCAAGTCTCTTTTATGCTATACGACTCGAACAAGTTGCAACAGAAACAACTTTAGCGATAGCTATCATGACAACAATAAGCACATAAAGTCGGTAATAAACCAATACATTCAAGCTTGGGGGCGTCCAGGGCTCTAGCGGGGTAAGGGCTTGAGGGTGTAGGACTTAACCCTAAACCCTAAACTGTAGTCCATAATCCCTAAGCCCTGTAATTCCTTGAGGTTTAAAGCGTTCGGGAAGACAGGTCAATGGGCCTGTGCGCATGGACGCGTTTAGCGTTCCTGGGGTGGAGAGGATTAGTTTCGGGTTGACCCTGAAGAACTTGAATGTTCGGGCGTCCTCCCTGAAGCCAAAGCACATCAAACGCTAACGCTAAACCACTAAAAGATAGGCTTTAGGCTACCAGTTTAGCACTTCAGGTTTTCATTCCCTAAAACTGCACACGAAGCCCTACACTAAAACTCCAATGCCTAGGGGGACCGCCCTAGGGGCCCTTCAATAGAGTCCTTATGGCCCTGAATAGAGGGTACTTGGGGGGTCTAGAATTGGGCACAGGGTACCAGTGATGAAATTGCCGTCTGCCAAAACGGCCCTGTAGGCCTTCGCAACCAAAACAGGCAGCCACGGTTTGAGGTTTAGCATAATCGGTTACTGCTCCCAAAGCCACGAGATTGGCACGTACCCGTCACCCAGTAACCTGCGAAATGAAAGAACAAAGACCACACAATGCATCCATCATCCAGTAACTCGCTAGTTAAGAGAGTAACAGCACCAAGCAAACCAATTCAACAGTACCCCAGAATAGCTTCTGAAAGCCCTACCACACATATGGACACCCATATATAGCCAGCCTACAAAAGCAAATAAAAGCAATGACGTCCGAAAAAATTGAGACCCCGGAATCTAACCTCTGGCCGAATTTCGATGATTCATGGGTTTGGGTTTTAAGTTCTGGGTTTAGGAGATCTATCTCAACAAATATCTGTGGAACTCTCAGGACGGAGTAGATGTAATATAGGGGCCTTAAATTTTGGAATAGGGTTTTCGGGCATATTGCACTATATCTATAGTAAGGAACCCTCGGAATAACATTCATAATCATTTAGGCTCCTATTTACATAACGTCTGCGAACCTCCCTAAACCCAAAACCCACACCCACGGCCGTGGTGCTGCTGAGCTCCCGACGGGCTGCCAAAGAGGGATGTGGCGCTGGCAGATGAGCTGTCCAAACCTAGTGCAGCGGCCTAAATGATTAGAATATGGCTGGGGTAGATTGTATGATATTCATACGGGTGGTTATCAAAATTAGGATCCCTTAATTTTTTGGGTACCGTAGATATTGGGTGCCGGATTATAACAATGGCCCTACCTCGCCAGATCTGTGGACCCGTCATTCATCACCAGCATCAGACTGCAACCCCAAAAGGGTCCAAAGTACCGATACAGTAGAATGTAGGGTTTCTAAATTAGGAATTACTACTATGATTTGGGGAAGTGTTCCCCGCAGTACCTAGGACCCTTTGGGAACTAGTGCTGCAGTACATACCTTGTGGTCCCAAATACCAGTATCTACTAGGAATCTGCCACATTATTGGTATTTGGACCCTTTGGACCCTAAACCCTAAACCCTAAACCCCTAAACCCTAAACCCATAAAAGAGCGTTCCATTGTTCGGCTCTTCTATATCGGCAGACCACTCGTTCTTGGTCATGTAGGGGCCTGAAAATACGTTAGATCAGGAGTTCGGGGTATCATAGTATAAGACTACAGAGTCAGGAGCCTTGCCGCTCCATGTTTATATTATATGTATATATATATATATATACATATATATATATATGAATATATATATATATATACATATATATATATGAATATATATATATATATATATATATACATATATTGTGTGTGTTTGTTTCCCATCCCAGCTTGTGGATGAGGGTTCTCGAATCTGATTGCATGTTCTATGGGACGTGAGAAACAATAACCCTCTATGTACGTAGGTCACTGGTCTCCTAAGGCTAAGATTAAGGCATGACATACCTGCAGACTGACCTGGAAACGACACGAGGAGCCCAATGAGGCCTACTTAACTCCACATCCCAGAGTTCCCTAGACTCCAACAGCCCTGAACGATCAAGGTGAAGCCTTTGTGCACAAGCCGTGACCTCGGAGCTCGCAACGTCTAATCCTAGTGCAACCTTCAAAGACACCCAGTTTAAGGTTTGCGAAGGGTTCTCCTCTACTGTAGTCTCCTAGTCACTAGTCTCCGTAGTACTTGCTTTGTTGGGGATACAATACTAGACTCTGAATAATACGCACATATATGCATGTGTATATGTATGTAAACTTCAAGCCAGTCAAATGAACTACAGTGGAGACTATGGGGACTTATGGGGAGAGCATGAATTTAGGTTCTGCCCTGTACGGCACCTCCGCCACTTGAGCTGGAAGAGGATACAGAGCCCCCGGACACCTCGCACATAAGGCGGCTGGGGTTTCGGGCTCAGGGTCTTAGGGTTTAGGGTTTATAGGGTTTAGGGGTTAGGGAAGATTAGGTGTTAGGGGAGAATTAGAATAGGCCTTTGGGGTACAGCAGGGTATACTCATACATAGGGCGCAGTAGCTAGAAGAAGTATAATTCCTAGCAGTCTAATATGCTTGAACTCAAGGCTTGAATATTGAGTCTTGTGTATATCTATCCATCTATCTACATACTTAGCTATTTACTCGCGTATTTGCATATTTCTTCATTTCAAGCGAAAACTTGCCTCCGATCTCTACTTGATCGGACTCTGCTTGATGTCGGTTTGACGGCTCTGAGGGTCCTGGGTGCCAGCGGCAGTTTCTACCTCGGATGATGCCTCAACGAACCAACGCTTTCATTTGAGGGTCTGGAGTCTGGAGCGGGGTAAACCCTGAACCTACAGCATACTCTGCACCCTAAACCGGGGCGGGCGGGGGCATCCTCAATTAAACCCGCAGCCGGGAAGCCCAACTACTATGGGGCCTCTGGGTATGTCAGGGAGAAAGTCTGAGTGAGGTGGTATGCGTGGCCTGTTCCTGAAATTTGGGTTTAACGAACCGATGGAAGCGTATGTAGCAAGTGCCCATACAATCTGACTTAGCCTCAGATGCCCAAAATCTTATCAATGCGGAATCCCAATCTTCGGAAACAGAATATCACGAATCATTCATCCCCTCAAGCGTTACAAACCGAAGCATCAAAAGTCTTGAATCGTAGTGCTCCCCCAAAGCCAAAAACCCTAAACCCTGAACGCTGCATCCTGAATTCCAACGGCTCACCCGCGGCCTATTCGATTTTTCAGAGCGCCAAACGCGTTTCAGCTGGCTTGGGCCTTCTCGAAGAACGCCGGAAGGGACATGCGTGGGTCCATGTTGCCGAGCTGCGTACCGTCACTGAGGACGATCTTGACCTGATAGTCTCGGAACTCTCGCCTGCTCGCGACACGGTGCAGAACATCCGCCAGCGTGTGCCCCTCCGTAAACTTGAAGCTGGCTGCCTCCTCTCCTGACATGGAGATCATTGTGATCTTATAAAAGGCATCCTCCTTCTGCACGTCCGCAGTGAACATCATAGTGTTCGAGCTCAGCGGCGTCCGCATGTCCCCGGCCGGCATGTGGAAGGGCGTCCGTAAATTCTCGAATGTGGGTTGCATGAAGCTCTGCGGTCGGGCTGTAGCTCCCTCACAGCGAAAGAGCCACCTCCTGTCTCGATTAGCAAGCCAGTTCTGGAAGTCATGAACACACGCGTTATCCACGGGGAACAGCTTCGATCCGACACTCCAGAGATTTTTCCTTGATTTGTCGAAGCAGTAGCCATAGATGATGTTCAAGTACCAGCTGGGCGTGCCTTCGTCGTCTTCGGTGTCTCTGCGTGCAATTAGCTGCGTTCTGGCCAGTACCATGGTTTCATAGCTATACCACACTAGGCTCTCAGGGGGTTGGTGTGGAATGTCGCCTAGGTTTTTGTAGAAGAACACTTGGCCATCGCAAACGATGGACACCATATTTGCTGTTGGCGCAGCGCAGACGAAAAGCTCAGCACGGCCAAGAAGCAAACGCTTGCGGAAGAGCACGGATGCGTAGATGCGGCGTGTCAGACGGATAGCAAGCCCAATAATAAAAACAATCGAGACAGGGACCAAGGATCCTCTGAGACCCATGGCAGCACCGAATACAATGGCTGGGAGCGCGCATGCCAGGAGCTCGGAACAAGGGAAGGTTTGCCAGGCTTGAGTTCGGTGATCGATGAACTCTGTCGTGGCGAAGTGCTGCCAAGTAGCTCCTGCTAAAGCCATGGGGTAGATTTGGCATCGCCCAGCATCCACTTCGTGCTGCATCTCAGCGTGAAGTCGCAACCGGACAATCTGGGGCAGGATCAAGCATGGGCTCAACATGTTGCAGACGACGAGAAACATCAGGCCAGAACGCCAAAAGTCGCCGTATACCGGAGCGGGGCACCACAATTCTTGGAAAGCGTTGCCAGCAAGCAAAAGCTCCGGCCCAAGAGGGGGTGGATTCTCAGGGTAGTACACTTGGAGCTTTTGGTCCAACACCTGATCCACGTAAACTTTCTTGCCCACACTGCCTTCACATTCGTGATTGCAGTGCAGCCCCAGGTCAGCTTGCGCAGCTCGAAGGGCCTCCAACGAGCTCACGACGTGGAGCTCCGTGCCTTTTCTGCGTTCGAGTTCCTTTGGTTGGCTCTTCGAAGCGTCTGGGAAACTGCATTACTACTACTCACAATACTTCAACGAGCAAACGATTGCACATGTATAGTTATATGTAAATGTCATAACAGTATTTACTTACAGTGCTCAATTTCTAGAGACTATTAGTACATCAATATATTGTTATGTCAATACATATTAATATATTGCTGTATTTAGCTGCCGCCCCGCCCGTTTGCCCACCGCCAGGTCGTCACGACATCCGCTGTTTCGGCTTTGAGAATGGTTTGAAGTTTCGGGGATAGGATGGAAGATAGTCTATACGCTATCTCAGGTTTCGTTCATAAGATAGAGGCTAATTGAGAGATATGAAAACATTACCAAATATGTTCTGTTCAGGACATCGCATAACATATATCTAAGAAATATGTTGTTGGTTGATACGAAATCGGGTAAGACATATGTTGTATACATTGCACATATGTCCTCGTGTGCTCTATGCTTCTTAGCACGACTAGGCATTGCCACGCAAAGCTTCTAGTTTCGGAGAATCCTCTATTCTTTGGGGTCTGGCCTCGGCTTACGTCCGGGATTTGTGGGGTTTCTGGTTTTTTGGTCGGTTCTTGGTCACTGGGGTGGCTGCTGTGCTGTGCAGGGGGACAGCAAGCCAATGGCCGGCATCTCCGAGAGATGCCAGCATGCGTTCGAGAACAGTTGATCGAGGAGAGTCACATGCATGAGGTCTCGGTGCCTTTCTTTCAAAGTGCACAAAAGAAGTTCAAATGGGGCGGAGACCAGCGTGCAGAGGCGCGCGTCGGTGCTGTCAAACGGCAGTTAAGACACAGCAACTTGTTGGGACGCGGCGCCACCGGGGCTGCACATGTCGACGGCTTGTGCAGTCACTTCTTGCTGGACAATGTGGGTGTGGCTCCTGTCGTTGCTGCCGTGGCAGGATACCACAAATTTAAAGCGGTGCAAAACGTGCTGCCTCCCAAGACTGCTTGGAACGACCGGCAGTGGTTGCAGGTGGGACTCTGCAGCTGAGGCAAAAAGGCACAGTTTTGGACTTCGGACCTTTGTCGGCAGGACTGGGGTTGTCTTCATGTCGGGATTCCGAATTCAGCAGTTCTTATCCACCAAATACATTACCCCACACACTGCGAAACTGCTGTAAATACCACTATAAAACAACCCCGTGCGCTACTTATGGTGGGCAAACGTACGTGGCGGTCCCTATATTTACTATATTGCTATATTACTGTTATTGTTCTACTATGACTATTACTACCTTATTTTACGCAAACTCTTATACGGATGTACGGTTATATTAAGGTTACTACTGTTAACATTTTCCTAACAAGAAACAACATTCTAATTCTAATATATCACAGTATTACATATAATATAGATAGGCGAATGTACTTCATTCTATTCTGCTTGTCTTCTCACATTTCCGAAGCAATATCTTGAAACAGACTGAAGTGGACAGTAAAACATATCCCAAAGCTTGCCTGGGCTCCTGTTGCCCACAAACAAAAAATGACATGATGGAGAATGCAACGACCAAGCACACGACCAGTGCGAAGGATGCGAGGTAGGTTCGCGTAGCCTTGGGGAAGTGGAATCGCTCGAGGAGTGCCCTGCCGGACACTTCCATGACGTCGAGGACTTCTGCAGATGTGAAGCAGTTGGTGCCCGCGGCCAGAGGAAGATGCTTCCCCTGCAAAGCCAAGCACCAGCTCAATCGTGCTCGCGCAGTGGTTCTAGCTTACAGCTGTGGGGCTCGAGCCCACGCCCTTACGGACTTGATCTAGCATAGAAACTAGAAGTGCTGTGCTTCCGTGAGATCTGGGCACATGGACCACCAGATGCAAACCTCCCTATGCGCATGTACGGGTCTCGGAATCCGAACTTCTTTAGCTCAGTTGGCAGGGCATGTGCTTTGTAAGCGTATGGTCATTGCCTCGATTCATGTGGGATTGACTTACTTGTGGGCTACCCAGGCTTCCATTCGTTATAAGTCTCTTGGAGTGAAACCTCTTTCCTAAATCCTCCACCAGGGTGTCGGGTTTAGGGCTTAGGGTTTACCTATAGTCTCCATTGTAGTTCCTTTTTTTGGTTTGACCAATTATACATAAAGGATCCCACAAGGTAACCCCAAAAAAGAACTACAATGGAGACTACAGGTAGGGTTTAGGCAGTCTGCGAGATGGAGATCGGCAAGCAACTTGTCAACGATCCGGTCTGGATTCGACTCGGCAAGCCCCTACCCTAAGGCCCCAAAGTAGCTCCTTTTGGGGGTTCGTATAAGGAATCCTATTGGGTAATCCCCAAAAGGAACTACTTTGGGGCCTATGGGTAGAAACACTTCAGAAAAACGTCAAAAGCCCTTGGCAAAAACAAAGTTTCAGAATCCTTTAAACTCTCGCCGGGCTATCCGGCCGAAAAGAGGCCGCTGCTGCCGGAAGAAGCGGCAAGGCCAGAGAAAAGCCCGCCGGCAGTAGACCTGCAGCTGCCACATACTGATAATAACTCAAATGATGACATGAACAACAATCATCGTCATGATAAGGAAAGCCAAACACCACATAATAGTAATGGTAAACATAGTAAATAGAGAAACTGATAGTAATAATCGCAAGCATACTATTGAAAGTCCCTGCTATGCTGTACGACTCGAACAAATAGCAATAGTGACAACTCTAGCGATAGCTATCATGACAACAGTAAGCACATAAAGTCGGAACTAAGCCAATACGTTCAAGCTTGGGAGCGTCCAGGGCTCTAGCGGGGTAAGGGCTTGAGGGTGTAAGACTTAACCCTATAAACCCTAAACTGTAATCCATAATCCCTAAGCCCCATAAAAAAATGATGTATAAAGCGGTCGGGAAGGCAGGTCAATGGGGCTGTGCGCTGAGTGTTCCTGGGGTGGAGAGGATTAGTTTCGGGTTGACCCCCGAACCCTGAAGAACCTGAATGTTCGGGCGTCACATCCCTGAAGCCAGAGCACATCAAAGGCTAATGCTAAACAACTAAAAGACAGGCTTTAGGCGACCAGTTTAGCACTTCAGGTTTTCATTCCCTAAAACTGCAGACGAAGCCCCACACTAAAACTCCAATGTCTAGGGGGACCCCCCTAGGGGCCCTTCAACAGAGTCCGTATGGCCCTTAATAGAGGGTACTTGGGGGGTTGGGAGTTGAGGGCTTAGGGTACCAAGGATGAAGTTGCCATCTGCCAAAACGGCTCTGTAGGCCTTCGCAACCAAAGCAGCCAGCCACGGTTTGAGGTTTAGCATAATGGGTTAATTACTGCTCCCAAAGCTACAAAATTGGCACGTACCCGTCACCAAGTAACCTGCGAAATGAAAGAACAAAGACCACACAATGCATCCATCATCCAGTAACTCGCTAGTTAAGAGAGTAACAGCACCAAGCAACCCAATTGAAACGTACGCCACAATAGCCTCTGAAAGCCCGACCACACATATGGATATCCATATTATATGTATAGCCAGCCTGCAAACAAAAGCAAGTAAAAGCAACGACGGCCGAAAACCCTGAGCCCCCCAGGAATCTAACATCTGGCCGAATTTCAAACGGGCTTCTAGGGTGTGGGTTTTAAGTTTTGGGTTCAAGAGATCTATCTCAAAAATGTCTGTGAAACTCTCAGGACCGAGTAGATGTAATATAGGGGCCTTAATATTAGAACAGGGTGTTGGGGCATATTGTGCTATAGCTATAATAAGGAACCCTCGGAATAACATTGATAATTATTTAGGGTCCTATATTTAAGTAAGGTCTGCGAACCTCCCTGAACCCAAAACCCAGACCCACGGCCGTGGTGCTGCTGAGGTCACGACGGGCTGCCAAAGAGGGATGTGGCGCTGGCAGATGAGCTGTCCAAACCTAGTGCAGCGGCCTAAATGATTAGAATATGGTTCTGGGGTAGATTGTATGATGTTCATACGGGTGGTGATCAAAATTAGAACCTCTTTTTGGGTACCCTGAATATTGGGTGCCGGATTATAATAATGGCCTAATTTTGACAACCATCCATATAGAGACTGCCAGGGCATAGTATTGCCAAGTATTATTGATCCACACCGACCTTCACACCCATCGATACTCCGCTTCACGCGCGAGATCTGTGGACCCGTCATTCATCACCAGTAACAGACTGTGCAACTACCGAAAGGCGCCAAAGTAGTTCCTGTATATAGAACCCTATAAGGTAGTCCCGAAAAGGAACTACTATGGGGCCTCTGGGGAGTACTGCAGTACATACCTTGTGGTCCCAAATACTAGTTCCTGCTACGTATCTACTACATTATTGGTATTTGGACCCTGTGAGACTAGCATCGTCATCGCGAGCGTTCCATGGTTCGGCTCTTCTACATCGGCAAATCACTCGTTCTTGGTCATGTAGCGGCCTGAGAATACGTCAGATCAGGAATTCGGAGTATTATAGTATAAGACCACAGAGTCAGGAGCCTTGTCGAAACATTTCTCATGTAGACCCGCTCCATGTTTATAATATATATATATATATATATATATCTATGTATGTATATATACACCCTTATGGGTAAATACATGTCCTTATAAATAAACATATATATATATATATATACATACGTGCCCATCCCAGCTTGAGTATGAGGGTTGTCAAATTTGATTGCATGTCCTATGGGACTAGAGAAACAGTGACCCTCTATGTACGTAGGTCACCGGGCTCCTAAGGCTAAGACTAAGGCATGACATACCTGCAGAATGACCTGGAACCGACACGAGGAGCCCAATGAGGTCTACCTACAGGGAACTCCAGAAAGTTGGAATATGGTTTCAGGGTAGGATCCCCCATAATTTACCTTAAAGGGGTTACGATAATGATATTCCAACTTTCGGGCTTCTACTGTAACTCCACATCCCAGAGTTCTCCAGACTCCAAAACCCCGGAACCATCAAGGTGAAACCTGCGTGCACAAGCCGTAACCTCGGAGCTCGCAACACCTAATCCTACTCCAATCTTCAAAGACACCCAGTTTCAGGTTTGCAAAGGGTTCTCCTCCAGTGTAGTGTCCTAGTCACTAGTCTCCGTAGTATTTGCTTTGTTGGGGTTACCTTATTGGACTCTGAATATAAGTATGTATATATATATATATATACGTATGTATGTATGTATGTATGCATATATGTATGTATACTTGAAACCTGTCAAATGAACTACAGTGGAAACTATTGGGAGAGCATGAATTTAGGTTCTGCCCTGTACCGCACCTCCGCCACTTGAGCTGGAGGAGGATACAGAGCCCGCGGAGGCCTCGCACATAGGGCGGCTGAAAAGTTGGAAACCCCACAGCCTCAATCCTTAAGAGTGATGTATAGGGAATTCAGGCACTATTTGGCCTTAATCCGGTTTCCAACTTTATGGGGTTTACTGTAAGAAGTATTCTGCCTGTCTGGCTAACCAGGAAGCAGCAGGCAAAATGATAGTCCTGATTCCTTACCGGCCTTTCCTAGTGACTACAGTGAGAAACCCACCATATGGGGGTTTTCGAGAATCGAGGACCCTGATAAAGTACCCTAAATAGTAGAATCCGTATTATAAGGACCCCAAAATGAGGTACCCTAATTATCGGAAACTCCCAAACTGTAAATGAGCTCAAGTCCAAGGATTCCGCAGAGTGCTGCGGAATCCCGACCCCCCGGTGCCCACATGGCCCGAAACACCCATCCCGAACTAACCCTGAAACCTAAACCGTCCTAAACCTCCTAACCCCTGAACCCAGAACCCTAAAAATCCAAGCGCCCTTCTTGCCCCAGAACCCCCGAAAGGATTTAAACATATAGGACCCCCCATCCGAAAGAGACCTAGACTGGACCCTAAGCCCTAAACCTCTAAGACCTAAAACCCTAACACTTAAAACCCTAACCCCTGTAAAAACACAGCCCTGAACCCAAGCCGTAAAACCCTGACCCTACCCCCAAACTAGACCTAAGAGTAACCTAGGAATGAAAATGGTGCGCCTTTTGGCTTAAAGAGGGTTGTAAGGGAACCTAAATCCTAAAGAAGGGAATAAGGGCCTACTCTGGGTCCTAGTAGACACCTTTGAACCCTGAACCCTAAACCCCCAAACCTCTCAACCCTAAACCCTACCTTAAGCCGGAATAACCTACCTTTTTAGGGCTCCTTACTGTGATTTCCTTATATACGTTCTTAAAAATGTAGGTTATTCCGGCCTATGGTAAACCCTAGACCCTACCTGGACCCCAAACAACCTACCTTTTTATTTTAAGGAGTTATATGAAGAAATCATCTTAGGGAGCCTAAGCCCGAAACCCTGCCTGGAAGAATGTACACTTAATATAGCTATTATATACGCATTATATAGCCCATTATAGGGTAGGGGTCCCCATAAAGGGTTTGAACCTTTCCATTCGAACACTCGCCTGGAAGAGGGACGCGCCAGATCCGGAGCTCCCGGAGAAAAGACTCCCACCAGAGGACCTTTTTCGGTACAGCTTAGGGTTTAGGGCTTACCTGTAGCCGGAAAGACCTACCTTTTTAGGGTTCCTTAGTATGGTTTCTATATATGTATCTGTATATATATATATATATATATATATAGTTCCTTAAAAACGGTAGGTCTTTTCGGCTAGAGATATCGTTTAGGACCTTTTCTTCGGTACTTGCGCAGTTTTTTAAAGGATTTAGGGGTTTACTCGAAGGCCCCAAAATAGTTCCCTTTTTGGGGGGGTTCATATTTCGAATCTGATGAGGTAATCCCAAAGAGGAACTACTATGGGGCCTCTGGGTAGGGTGTAGGGTCCACCACGGTTTAGGGTTTAGGGTGGCCGCATTTGAAAGGTTTATGACTTTTAATGAGGACCTACAGAGTCTCCCAAGGGCCTTTTACGGGCTACGTCGTTTGCTTTGGGTTAGGGTTTAGGGTTCAGGGTTTGGGGTTAAAGCTTTGAGTCTCGGGGGTCCGGTAGAAGACCTGGCGTAGAGGATCCTGCTGGGAGCATACCATAGTCATGTTAAGGACCAGACCGGACGATGCCTAGAGATTGCTCAGTTCAGAACCCCTTCTATGTGAGATTTGTTTAATGCGCTCAGGGCTTAGGAAACTTCGTGCTTCTGTTTTCTCGTGGGGTGCGCAGAGAAGGGGGCATGGTGGTGCTTTCGGGGCTGAATAGCACGGGACCCCAAACCCTCAACCCTGCAGTGCGCTAAGCCCTACTACCCAAACTGCACCTTCAGCCCCCAAAATGCTGACACCGTAAACCAGGCAGCACGCCCCAACAATAATTACAAGAAGGAACCTCCCCCCAAAAAAAGTATAGGTAACTACTAGTACACCCTAAACTGCAAAGTAGCCTCGAGACCCGGGAGCATCCATTCAAAGCTCCTGGCTGGTTGCCGAAGACAGACGAAGTGGGCGCCATGCTTCCTGAAGTTTAGGGGTAGGGTTACGGTTTACCGTAAACCCTCAACAATGAAGTTTAGGTTTAGGGTTGAAGTTTAGGGATGCTTCGGGTTTGCGGATTTGGATTTGGGGTCTAGGGGTTGGGGTTGAAGCGTCCTGCCGTCCGTGTTGTGGCGCTGCTGCGCCGGTTTTCCCGAGGTTGAGGAAGTTTGGATTTGTTCGAAGCGGGTTAGGGGTTTCGGGCTTGACATGGACACTACGCCAGCAAATGAATCCTTGAACCATGACCGGTTGTAGGTGAGTTACTGTCCCATAAACCCTGTGTGCACCTTGCGATCCCGCTCAAATAGAAAGGCTTTAGGTACCAACAGCCATTCAGAGCACCGCATCGGAGACTTGGGGAACTAAACCTCTACTACTTGGTTACTTGGAGCCTCTACAGCTCCTGGAATAGCCCGGTAGCCTACTTTAGTGAGCATAGAACCTGAATAAAGAAACGCTTACAACTCCATAAGAACCCAATTCTCGGCTTCGAAACCGTTCAGTTTCAAGCTGGCCTGCCCCTGAAAGCGTCCTTACAACCAGGGGTTTAGGGTTTGTTGGGGGTTAAGGATCTGGGGGTAAAGGTTGAGGATTTGGGGTTTACGGTTTAGTTTAGGGTGCTCTGAATGGCTGAGAAAACGGTGGCTTCAGAGGATTTATAAGGCAACTACCCGGGTCACCCTGCATTACATCCAACAAACCCACCATTACAAGCATTCAGGCCTCTATTCAGGTTACATCGGTGGGGTCCTGATGAAGGCTTTTAGCTTGGGCTTGGACTCTGTTTGAGGAGCTACGACGGTTGATGATATACATCTTGCATTACCTTGAGGACCCTAAACTAGGGGAAAACATGCTATATCCATTTCTCTGGGTAATGCAGCTATTTATATGGGTGGTTGACAAAATGACGGTCCCTTTTGGGTACCTATTATAATAGGGCACCTAATATTTATGGTACCCAAACACGGACTATAATTCTGACAACCACCCATATCATCAACCGTATGATACCGGTACTGCGGATCTTTCGGCCCGTTGGGTTCGGCACATCCTTAAGGATTGGTTGTATAAATCCTGCGTTACCTTAAGGACCCTCAACTATGGGAACTTTGGTATATTGCTTATTATGGGTAATGCAGGATTTATATCATCAACCCAAGGATTGGTTGTGCCATTGCCTGCTTGGAACTGAACTGGGCTTTTGAGTAACCAGGGAGAAAAAGCATAAACTTGTATTTCGCAATGTTCCTCGTAGCTGCTGAGTTCATAAGCCCCAAAATGTGTACGCTTTGGGTTTCATAGTGGGTAATGGTGTATCCACTCAGCTACTAAGTCCTTTAAGAAAGAAGTATTAAAGTATGGTACTCCACAGCCCAGTGAACACACAGTCGAAATTTGGCCACGATCCCAAAAAACTTTGGAACCACACAGCTTGCAACCCTTCACCCTAAGCTCCAAACCTGGCATCCCCGCAACCCAAACCCTAAACTTAGGCCCAAAACTCTCAGCCCTAAACTGCGGCCCTCAACCCTCACGGTTTAGGGTTTAGGGTTTAGGGTTTAGGGTTTAGGGTTTCCTAATCTTAGGCCCTAAACCCCTATGAGCCGCCTAAACTTAGGCCTTAAACCTGCGAAGCCCGAGTCGTTGCTCTCTCGGCGCCTCCTTTGTCGGAAGCTATGCCGGAGCTGGCAGAGTCTGCCGCCTCAGGGTTTAGGGTTTAGGGTTTTGGGTGTGGGGGGAGGTTAGGGTTTACGGGTTTAGGGGTTTGAACCTTCGTGTGTTTATGTTTCGGGGCGGGGGGGGGGGGTAGTGTTTCAGATTATGGGAGCTGAGATGCAGGTTTCTTGGTGTCGCTGTATGCGCACACTTGGCAACTGATCTAATCTAAAAGGAGAGTCCATCGCCAGCTTCTTCTAGATAAGCCCTGAACCCGCCCAAGCCCTAAACCCCCTAAACCTCCAAACCCGAAACCCCTAAACCCCTAAACCCCTAAACCCTAAACCCTATAAACTCTAAACCCATGAACACTAAAGCCCTAGAGCCTAAACCCTAAGTCTGAACCCCAAACCCTAAATCTGAACCCGTGGGTGGGTGTGTGTGGACCCAAACTCTTCGATCCACTGACCTTGTGGGAACACTCCCTGCAAGATACGGTAGAGAAAGTAGAGGTATCCACGCTCAGGGCGAACAATGAAAGTGCGCTCAACAACTAGAACAGGTTTTTGGGTATATGGGTAGTTCTCTAAATTCGGGTTCCCTTTTTGGGGTCCGTAGTATTATGAGAGTGGCGTACTATATAGGGGACCCAAATAGGGACCCCAATTTAGAGAACTACAGATATGCTTTTTACAGCTATGACAGTGAACCCTATTGAGCATACAAAGATGGGAGGCCACCTCCCCTTCGTGTTTAGCTCTTGCCCCTACATACACTACGTTCCCCAGCAGCCCTTTAATAATTCGAATAAGGTTCAGAAAATGTAGGTTATTATTAAGGACCTATGTCAAGGGTACCCTTCTTCGTAGTACTGGGCTTTATTTATTGTTACGGGAACCCAAAGAGTAACGGGGAACCTAGCACAGCAGTAGAATCAAAAGCAAGATCAGGAGATGGAAGCAAAAGCAAACTTGCGGCCTCAGACGGTCAGAAAACTTAACTGAGCCCAAACCAGGACACAGTTGAATCTGCGCTGAAACCGAAACATGTGAAACGCAGCTTCCTATTCCAAACTCAAATGCTTCAACCTCGTTACGAAAACAGCATCCGGTTGGAAGCTTGCCTTGAACAAGCCTTCAGAGAAGAGCCCGCCGCTGGACCTTCAAATGAGGGGCATCGGTAAGGGGCTGAAGTTTCAGGTACGACTCTAGCTGGCGATGGTAGCAGCATCGAAGATCACGATGGAGCCGTTTAAGAATAATTTCGACAGTGAGTGTGGCCATGGCATTGATAGCGATGTTGCACCTGCTTTGCTCCTCACGGTAATGATGATGATGACGATGATGATGATGATAACGGAGAGGTGTGTGTGTGTGTGATGATACTGATGGCGATGTTGACGACGGTGGCGGTCGTGGCAGTGAAGAGGTTACATGCCAAGGGTGTGATGAGGCAGACATGGCTACCCAGAGAGCCGAATACCCCCTAATTAAGGAATATGGCTTAAACTATATAGGGCTTCATATGAATATTATGAGTTCAGCTATATTCCTTAATTAAGGGGTATTGGGCTCTCTGGGTACTTGTTCTACCCACAATAGCCTGGAGCCCGGCCTCCGCTTTTTGAGCATTGTACCCAACCAAGAGGGTCCATACCCTAAGGCTTTTTATAGTAGTTCCTTTTTGGGGTTCATGTCTAGAACACTATAATAATCGCAAAAAGGAGCTACTATGGAGCCTCTGGGTACGTACTACTATTATGCCATCAGGTCCCCAAAGCCATAACAAGGATGGTCTGTTGGAGCCTAATTCCACGGTAGAAGTGTAATGACCCTCAGGGCAATTTGCTCTTTGTTGACACCCCGCTTCCACCTGCAAGTCTCCCCGAAACCTGGGTCTAGGGTTCAGGCTTTATCATACGAAACACGGTATATACATTCGCTCTATCTAACCTCTTACAGTCACCCTCACAGTGGCTCTTCTTGGCTGACTTCTGAACCCCTCCCAAAAGTTGAACTTTCATCCTCCTCATTCTAGATCATATCGAATCGAAACCCAAAAAGTTAACTGGACTTTGAAGTAGGGAGAACAAATATAGACTTTTTTCAGAATGGTTCCTTTAAGAAACAGGTAGCAGAACAAGTATTCGAGTATGGTACTCCAAACCCCGTTTGAAGTCCTAAGATCCAACCAGAAGAACGCCAAGTCTTATGGAAGCTCCCATGCCCTCAGCCGAGGCCCAAACGCACCGCCGAAAAGCGATCCGGAGGAGGCCGGACCTGACAAAGGATTAGCAGTGGAAACTTAAGATGCAAAACTTGAGATTATAAGCTTTAGTGTTCAAGGTGTAAGATTCACATACTTCAAACTTAAGCAGTCCCTTTGTAAGCAGTCGAAGGCCACAGTATATGCTGCATGGCTCCACGTACCACTTGAGGTTTCTCCCGGGGAGCCCGGCGGTGCTTCACAAGGCCTTAAGTGGTTTGGGGCTTCGGGATTTTTTTTTGTTGAACGCCTTTTTCCGCCTGCAAGACAGAACCCCTCGAGAGTTTTAGGCTCTAGGGTTTAGGGTTTGGGGTCTCGAGAGTTTAGGGGTAGGGCATCGCGTTTGGAGTGTAACGCTGCTTTACTTAGGGGATCAGGGGACTTAGTGTATAGGTTGCAAGAAAAGGATACGAGAAGGCTGATCCCAACTAGGGTACTTCTACCTGCAGCCTACCTGGGCCCAAAACAACCTTCCTCTAGTAAGCTTTCCTGATGTAAGTCCTTAAAAAGTATGTTATCTGGGGTCCGGGTATTTACTGAGTCACCAAGCCCCATTCTCCGAAGCAGCCGCCCAGTTATCTTAACGGATGGTGGCTCCTGAAGCAATCTTCTCGGCTTTGAAGCAAAGCAACCAAGGACAAACATGCATAGATGTTTCTTTCATAATAAATTTCCTTTGGGGAACAGGTCCAAGAAAGAAGCAGTATAAGTATGGTACTCCAAGAAGCTAGGATTAAGACCAATATAACCGGGTAGCACCCATAACACAGCACCTGCCGAATAGGTGTAACTGGGCTTTTACGGTAAGGCCAACTTGACATGAATGGGAGAAGTAAGTCCAGTTGCTTTTCGTGCTTGTCTTCGTTGACATATATCTGAAAACTCTTTCCCCCTAAGGGTCCATGTAACCATATAGCGATACATGAGCCCCAAAGTACCTATATAGGGACTTCATTAAGGCCAATGTATATACTATATGAGTACATGGACCCTTAGGGTCCGATTTCCCTACTGCATGATTCTAAACATCCTGCTCAACGCTGGCTTCTATTGACATAAACTATACTGAACTTAGAAGCCTAGCAAAAATCATAATTTTAGCTGTTTCTTAGGGATTATTATAATAACCAAAAATTAAAAATTATTTCTAAATACCCCTAAGTAAAACCGTGCACGGTTAGACCCCTGCATGTTTTCAGACATGAAACCTTGCACGGTTAGACGCTTTGTATGTAGACGAGCTACAAACTCTTACGCCGCTAAACCCTCGACGCTAGCTCCACCATTCTGCTTCCGGAAACCCCCACGGTGCCTGTAACGGAGGCCTTTTAGCCCTTTGTAGCGGGTATTTAGGCCAGGCAACAACTGAGGGCCCTCGGGTTCTCGGTATTGTAACAGGGGCTATCCCCAGAGAGCCCAATACCCGTTAATTCTTAAATCAGAATATGAAGCTCTGTATAATTTAAGCCTCTTCCTTAATTAGGGGGTAAAGTAAGAGCCAGAAAGTTGGAATATGATTATCCTAAACCCTTTATGGTAAATTATAGGGTATCCCACCCTGAAACCATATTCCAACTTTCTGGACTCCCCTTTATTGGGATCTCTGGGTCCAGGTGTGGAAGAGTTGAAGCGCTTTGCCAACACTCGCCAAGAGGCAGCAGCAAGCGCGAGGAGAAGCGGTGCTTATTCATTCACTGTTGCCACCCATCCCAAAACAATAGACCACTCTCATCCACAGTACACACCATTATCGGAGCCGTCGCACCATGAGCCTTTGTAGCAGCAGCTCAGCATGCACACTCACACTTATAGATTCGATCTGATGCGCAACAATGAGAAGTTTGAACACCAACGCCAGAAGAAAAGCAGCTAATGAACACAACGAACCATCCCTCAACTCCAATCTCCAAACCTGGAGGCCAAGACTACATATGAGATCGACTCCCACCTGTGCTAAGCCCTAAACATACCTAAACCCTAGACTAGACCCTAAAGCTTAAACCCTAAACCCTGAAGTCTTAACCCAAAACCCTAAATCAGATCGACTCCCACCTGTGCTGCTGGCACCGGAGGATGCGCCCGTACTCGCTGCCTTCGAGGCGATTCCCCAATGGAAAACAATGGCCGCTATGCAGAACAAAGAAGCTCTACGCGGAATGCATACATACTTATATATATATATTTATACACACACATATATATATGTGTGTGTGTATACAACGGTAGGCACATATTGTCTACATATCTAAGAACTTGTATTATGCATAACGTACGTATGTATGCATTGATGGATGGGTGTATGTGTGTGTGTGCGCGCATGTATGTGTGTATCTCTTTATGTATGTAAGTAGTGTGATGTAATGCTGCATATATGTATGTATGTATTAATGAGCTTTTTCGGGAGCTTAGGAAGCTATGTCGCAACCCACAAGGGTTTGCAGACAAGAAGCAGTCACGGATTCCTATCTTTGTTTAAACCTTATCGCTTCGTTTTGCTTCTCGGTTTACAAGCCCCGAGAAATGTTTATGATAAGTGTTACATCAAGTGATTGCCTCACTCCTTGAGAAAGCCTTCGGGTCTAATTGATAGAAATACTATTACTAACCGCAAAATCAGACGAATACCAGTGTCGGGAAGCTGGTGCCTGGAACGGGGAGGATCCCGGCGCGGTGCTCGGAGCTGCGAAGGGTGACGCTGCGGCCCTCAGCTTAGGGTTCAGGGTTGAGGGTTGAAGGGTTGAGGGTTCAAGGTCTAGGGATTGCGGCAGGGAGAAAAAACATCAGAGCACCTTTTTCCTGGATCTGGCTCGCTCATAATCATAATTAGTACATAATGCAGCCAGCACTGCTGTAAACCTTACCACTTACTTGAACATCAATATCTGGCTGATCTCGACTTATCCGTTAAGCGGCACCCTACCCCGCTCCCCAAGAAACAGCCACATGCACAGTACTCCTGCGCAGTTTTCCAACCAGGCCCCGCACGAACCGCCGAAAGGCGTCCCCGAAGAGGCCGGACCTGGCAGCGGATCTGTAGGCACTCTCTATTTCGCCTAAATCACGGTTTAGGGTTTAAGGTTTCGTGTTTACAGTTTAGGGTTTAGGGTTTTGGGCTACTAAATCATGAAGCAAGTCGCATGGTATAGCTGCCAGACAGACAGGATCTCGAGACTCTACACCCCGAAGCTCAAACTGTGAGATCCACTCCCACCTGTGCTGCTGCCACTCGAGGCCGCGCCAGCGCTCGCTGCCTTCCCGCAGGGTTTCGGGGCTTAAAACGTCCCCTGCACAGTTCAAGCGGTTAGGATTGAAGCTTGCTGAATCTTTTCTGTCTCAAAGCTAATGGAGAGCCTCAGCGTGCGGTGGCACTCTGCCGCGATGGCAATCGTCGGCAGCTGTGCAAGACCGGAAGAGAGCGGAATAAACAGAACTAGCTTTTGCAAATGCCTGTGAAGCCTGTACCCTCTATGCCCCAACTCGCACAAAAAGCGGGTGCCTGGAACGGGGAAGATCCGGGCGCAGTGCTCGGAGCTGCGAATGGTGATGCCGCAGGCCTCAGCTTCACAATGATAGGCAGGAAGCCTCATGCTGGGCCGTTCCTTGATCGCGCTTGTTGTTACCTCGTATTGCGTGTTGCCAGCATTTCCTCTTCATGTACCACGTATAAGCATGTAAGTTTACAGACTCGTCATAGAAGCCACTGCTCAACTCACTCAACACATGATGCGAGTAACTGCCTTAACTTTCCGAAGTTTGAACCCGCGACCGCAATGCTCCCAATCGAGGCCCACACGCACCGCCGAAAAGTGTCCCAGAAGAAGCCGGACCTACAAAACGGATCTGCAGGCTCGAGGTAGGGCAAACGCTTTACACTGTGTACCCTAACTGGCAGTCTCAGATATGCACCCTATATATTGGAACTATGATTATTCTTACTGTTGTTTTCTTATTAATTAGTATCTTTAGTCTTACAGCTATCAGCATCGAAAAAGGATGCATAGTAATGCTCTTTTGAGACAGACAGGATCTCAACACCCCGAAGCTCAAACTATGAGATCCACTCCCACCTGTGCTGCTGCCACTCGAGGCTGCGCCAGCGCTCGCTGCCTTCCCGTAAGGTTTTCGGGGCTTAAAACCTGCCCTGCGCAATCCAGGCGGTTAGGACTGAAGCTTGCTGAATCATTTTCTATCTCAACGCAAAATGCACATCGGCAGCTGTCCCAAAGGGTCCAAGCACCATTATAGTAGGTATTTTGGCCCCCCAAAGTATATACGATAACTTTACTCGGACCCGTTGGGTGTGCAAGACCAGAGGAAAAGTGCCTTAAAGGGGGAGGAGCCGGGTGCAGTGCTCGGTGCTGCAAAAGGTGACGCGGCAGGCCTCAGCTTCAGAATCTGGGCAGAAAGAAAATAACTTGAGTGGGATCTACCCAGAGGCTCCAAAGTAGTTCCTTTTTGGGGTTCATATATAGAATCCTATAAGGTAATCCCCAAAAGGAACTACTTTGGAGCCTATGGGTAAATGGTTCTAAGTTACCATAATCGGGATCTACAGGACCTGATACGGCTTACTTATTACGGCGCATTAAGGAAACAGAGACCTTAGCGAGAACCCAGTTGAGAGCAAGAACAATCATGTTGGCCTTTTCCTTGATCTGGCTCCTCCGTGTCGAGTACTGTGTGTAGTCAGCAATCTTGCAAGCGTTGCAGTATCGTCAGCATCAATGTCGATGATTTCGACTCATCCGTGAAGCAGCGCGCTAGCCGCTAGCCAGAGTTCACATTACAGGCAATACGACATGCATACAGCTGAATGCATGCACTGCTATTCATCCATCAAATCATGATGCGACTCGCTGTGTTGACCTCAACCTTGACCTCCCAAAAACTTACTTGTTTTGTAGGGTCCCTATATATCCATAGTAGGGTTTATAATAAGAACCTACAAAAAAGTAGGGTTTGGTAGTTTAAGGAACAGCTTGAACCCGAAACCGCAATGGCCCCAAACGAGGCCGGCACGCACCGCCGAAAAGCGTCCCAGCAGAGGCCGGTCCTGGCTACGGATGTGTGCGCCCGAGGCCCAAAGGCTCCATGTACTTTTATAGTAGATACTTAGGCCTTAAAGGGGTCCCTATAATGGTACTTTAAGGCCTAAGTATATACTATATGGATACATGGAGCCTTAGGGAGGGGCAAAGAGATGACAACGCACACTGACGCTACATCAAAAGGGAAGTTGTGTGTGTATGGGTGGTTGTCAAAATTAAGGTCCCTTATTGGGAGCCATAAATAATAGGTGCAGTATTATGTATAATGGTGAGCCAAATTAAAGGGGACCCTAATATTGACAACCACCCGTATGTAGTTGTATCGTATAGCATAGCTCTAACCCCAAGGATCCAAAGGACCCTTAAATAATTAGGTACTCGGCCTTAGGATAGTATAGTTATGTAGGTTCGGATTTTGGAGAGTATATGATTCGGTACCTGGGCCCTTGGGACAAGACAGACAGGATCTCTACACCCCGGAGTCGAAATTAGACGATGAGATCCACTCCCACCTGTGCTGCTGGCACTGGAGGACGTCCCTGCGCTCGCTGCCTTCGCGCAAACTTTTGGGGCTTAACACCTCCTCTGCAGCGTAATATGCAGAGCCTGGACGTGCAGTGGGGGGGGGGGGGCTGGGGCTGACACTCCGCCGCGATGCAAACATCATCGGTAGTCGTAGCCGTGCAAAACCATCGGAAACCCTAAACCCTAAACCCTAAAAACCCTAAACCCTAAACCGTGGGTTTAGGGTTTTGTCCCCAACACACGGGAAGCTGGCGCCTTAAAAGGGGAGGAGCCTGGCGCGGTGCTTGGTGCTGCAAAGGGAGACGCCGCAGCCCTCAGCTGCAAAACGCAAGGCAGGGACGGTTTAGGGTTTAGGGTTTAGGGAAACTTGAGAGCACAAACCCTCATGTTGGTTTCCATTATCTTACCCAAAGGCTCCATGTACCCATATGATAGGTACTTAGGCCTTGAAGTACCCATATAGAGGGACCCCTTTAATTAAGACCTAAGTACCTACTTTATGGGCATATCATGGAGTCTTTAGGTTATCTTGCTCGTTCATACCTAGTACTGAGCGGAGCCAGCAGTCTTGCAAACCTTTTATGCAGCGTCGACCTAACCGTTTAAGCAACAATCAATAAAGCTCCCCAACTAATGCAATCTTGAACTACACAGCCACCTGTAGAGTATGGTAATACCGCACGCATAGAAGTTCATCGCACTAATTGCTCCATGATGCTCCCGAAGCATGCAATGTTGCCGACCGGGGCCCACGCGCACCACCGAAAAGTGTCCCAGAGGAGGCCGGACCTAGCAACGGCTCCAACGTGCTGGAGGCCGGGAAAACGCGCGTCTCTATGCTGTCTAATATAGGGGCCTTAAAGTTAGAATAGGGTTGCTTTGAAGTGTTCCTTTAGGGACACTTTAAAAGGGTACTATAATGTAAGGGCTTTCATCATTAATCATTAGAATCGGGTTTTGGGGCACATTATATTGTTTGTTATAATAAGGAACCCCTAAACTAGTATAGGCAATTGTTAAGGCCCCTATACTATCCGGTTGTAGTCATTGCCACGGAGCCTACATCAAGAAAGTGTTGCATGATCTGGCTCTCATAACGAGACAGACCGGATCTCTGCAACCCGAACGGTTGATGAAATAAATCCTGCATTACCCATAATAAGGAATATACCATATTTCCCATAGTTTAGGGTCCTTAACGTAATGCAGGATTTTATATCACCACCCCTAAACCCTGAAACCCTATAGATCCCTTAAAGGAACCCCTAAAGGTACCCTTATAGATCCCTTTAAAGGAACCCTAGGATTCACCCCAAAGCACAAAGTGTGAGATCCGCTCCCGCCTTTGCGGCTGGCACTGGAGGACGTCCCTGCGCTGGCTGCCTTCCGACACACCCTAAGGCTCCATGTACCCATATAGTAGATACTTGGGCCTAAAAGTACCCATATAGGGAGCCCTTTAAGGCTTAAGTACCTACTAGGTGGGCACATGGAGCCTTCCGACACAGTTTTGGGGTTTAACACGTCCCTGCGCAGTTCAGGCGGTTTTCGACTGAGGAGTGCTGTTCGTTTTGCTTTGAAGGCAGAATGCAGAGCCTGAACATGCAGGGCGACGTTCTGCAACGACTTAGAACCTGAATCCCAAATGCCCTGCCCACACCGTTGTACGCAGGCGCTGCCGCCGGCGGTGCTTTCCGGAAGTCCGGAAGAACTGTGCCTGCGACCAGGGGTCCGCTCCGCCGGCCCACGGATCATCTTGCGGCGAAGCAGTTTGCTGCCCGGCTGCCTGCGTCCCGTGGCAGAATGAATAAAACTGACTGGCTTTTGCAAAACGCCTGTGAAGGTTTTACACCATTCCCAGAGATTCCATAGTCGTTCCTTTTTGGGGTTACAGTATTCTAAATATAAACCTCCAGAAAAGAACTACTATGGAGCCTTAAGATATGCCCCAACCCACACGGGAAGCTGGCGCCTGGAACGGGGAGGAGCCCGGCGCTGCGCTGGGAGCTGCGAAGGGTGATGCCGCGGGCCTCAGCTTAAAATCCCAGCACGGTTGACACCCCAAACACCCAAAATCCTGAACTTCAAACCCTTACAGTAGAAGCCCAAAAGTTGGAAACCCCAGAGCCTCCATCCTTAAGAGTAATGTATAGGGAATCCCAGCGCCCTTTGGCCTTAATCCAGTTTCCAAGTTTATGGGGTTTACTGTAGACCTTGAAGCCTAGAGCCATGGAGCCCTGAATCCCTAAACCCCTAAAGCTCCAATGCCCAAGAACCCTAAAGCCCCAAAACCCTGAAGCCCTAAAACCCTGAACCCTAGCTCTTGAGGCTGCTACTTGCTTGAGAAAGTGCATGTCGCCCGAAACATCATGGCTCTTGCATCTACTATCCTGTTCGTGCGTATACATCTGGTACCGGTAGACAAGCATGATCTAGTCCGAGTGCGCGCCAACGGTCTTCAATACGTGGCTGAGCCTGATTTATTTATCCTTGTGTCGGCCCCTCTTCGATTTCCCCACCCAGGAGGAGCAAGATTGTCTTCATTGTTCAGTCCGCGAATTGTACAAGTTTTTTTTACATCGCGAACTACACAGCCACATGCTGAGTACGGCAGCTATTCCCCAAGAAATGCTGCGTTAAGTTTCTGAAGCCGGATCCTTCACCAATATACAGCTACATTGTTCCCAACTCAGGCCGCCACGCACCGCCGAAAAGCGTCCCAGAAGAAGCGGGACCTGACCACGGCTTCGTGTAAAGGTATTGTGATCTGCAACAGACAGCAAAAGACACGATGTTGAACATCGGCACCAAAACCATCGATGCTCTTGAGCCCAACAAATGCTCCCTCAACTCCAATCTCTTGGGGATCCAACATCCTTGGCGGATCAATACCCTGCAATAATGGGGTCATCATACCCACTATGTTGCAGGGCTTGGAGCTACGGTTACACCTTGAAGCCCCCAAACCCCTAATCCCGAGGAGCCCTTACCTTAGGCGAGCCCTTAAAGGAATCCTGGACAGCTGTGTAGGTACCATAAACCTAATTAGCATCCCCCAAGCTATGAGAGCCACTCCGACCTGTGCCGCTGGAGGACGCGCTTGTGCTCGCTGCCTTCGCGTGGAGCTCCGGGGCTTGATTCATCCCCCCCCCAAGAGACTCCAATATCCCTTAATTAAGGAATATTCCTTAAATCATATTTGGGATCCTACTATAAGTTAAGGTATATTCCTTAGATTTGATTAAGGGATATTGGAGTCTCTGGGCCCCCTCCCCCGAATTAATGTAGCAACCTGATTAAGAAACCCTGGGCCTTTATTAGGGTTGCTTGACATGAATCCTACTAAGTATACTAGTTTGGAGTTATAGGCCCAGGGTTTCAACAAAGTACGAAAGCAGAAGCCAACAAGACTTTCCAGTACACCCACCATCTGTCCCCAAGACCGATTTAGTCTCTTGGAAAGTTCGACTGTTAGAATTCAGCGAGTTCAACCCGATGGACTTAACCCTGTATACACTCTAGACCCCAAACCCCAACCCTAAACCGAAAGCCCCCTAAACTCCAAACCCTAAACCCCAAACCCTAGACGCCAAGCCCTATATTATTATAAACCCCACACCCTCAACCCTACCCCAAACCCCAAGCCCTATACACCCCAAACCCTAAAACCCCAAACCCTAAACCCCAAGCCCCATAAACCCCAAACTCTAAACCCTAAACCCCAAGCGCTATCAACCCCAAACCCCAAACAATAAAACCTTAACCCCAATCCGAATCCCCAAAAAATCCCAAACCCCAAACCCCAAGCCCTATGCACTCTAAACCCCATGAACCCCAAACCCCAAACCCTAAACCCTATACCCCAAACCACAAACCCTAAACCCCAAACCCCAAACCCCATACCCCAAACCCTAAACCCCAAACCCCAAACCCTAAACCCTATACCCTAAACCCTATACCGCGAACCCGAAAAACCCCAAACCCTAAACCCCCAAACCCTAGAAACCTCAAACGCTGAACCCCCAAACCCTGGAATCCTAGAAACCCCAAACCCAAAAGCCTAAAGCCCAAACCCCAAGCCGTCATAACCCCAAGCCCCAAGCCCTAAAACACTAAACCCTAAAAACCTAAACCCTAAACCCTCACAACCCCAAACCCTAAACCCTCACAACCCCAAGCCCTAAACCCTCACAACCCCAAGCCCTAAAACCCCTAAACCGTCATAAGCCACCGCCTGGAACGGGGAGGAGCCCGGCGCGGTGGGAGCTCCGAAAGGCGATGCCGCGGGCCTCGGCTGCGAAATGCAGGGCGGAGAGGAGGGTTTGGGTCTTAGGGTCTGATAACGCTATAGATTATAGGCATTTTAGGGTCGAGTTAGGTTTTAGGATTTAGGGTGTAGGTTTTAGGGTTTGGGGTGTAGGCTTTAGGGTTTGGGGTGTAGGTTTCAGGGTTTAGGGTGTAGGTTTTCGGGTTTGGGGTGTAGGCTTTATAGGGTTTAGATTTTAGGTTTAGGGTCACTTGAGCAATTAGCATTTGGGGAGAAAGTAAGGTTCCTTTAAAGGGCTCCCTTCCAGGATCCTTAAAGGGATCCATAATGGACTAGAGGGACCCGTCGGGATCTGGAGGTCCTTTTCAAGAGAGCCAGAGAAAAGGGGTCCCCGTAAGAAGCGTCTCCCTAATACCATCTGCGAAGGGCATCCCTAAGGGTCCATGTACCTAAATAGTATATACTTCGGCCCCAATGTGCCGAAACAGGGACGACTTTAAGGCTGATGCATATATTATTTGGGTACATGGACCCTCAGGGCATAATATCCAATATGGTCACGATGGTTGCGGGCTACGTTCCCCCAGCTATGGAGGTAGGGAAAGTGTATACATGTCATTATCACGTTTGTTTACCGGGCCCTTGTTCAACTGCATTGCGGTTGAAACCCCCGAGTTTGGGGGAGCCAGGAGACGGGGTCTTATAGAGTTTAGGGCTTACCCTAAGGCCCCAAAGTAGTTCATTTTTGGGGTTCATATTTAGAATCTTATGAGGTAATCCCAAAAAGGAACTACTAAGGGGCCTCTGGGTAGGGTATGCTCTCTAGAGAAAGCCGTGGCGCCGACTCACGCTAAGTCTTACAGCAGCCCCCGGCCTGAAACTAGCCCACATGGTAAGTCGAGATGTAGAAGCCTTATAGCCCTAAGGCTCCATGTACCCATTTAGTAGATACTTGGGCCTTAAAGTACCCATATAGGGACCCCTTCAAGGCTTAAGTACCTACTAGGTGGGCACATGGAGCCTTAGGGTAGCAAATACATGCTGATGCCAGCCCGTGCGGTTCCTCCTCCCTCATAGGCCCAGCCCCATTGTCGAACCCAGGAGCACAAAAAGACTCCTATCCTAACTATTCAGAATCTGCGAATCTGCGCTTCTGCAAATCTGAGGGGTGCGGCTTCAGGGTTTCAGGGGGGGTACCAAATAATCCTATCCTACGTATTCAGGACACTTTAGTAGTGCAGGAACTCGAATGAGGCCCACACACGCCGCCGTAAAGCGATCCAGCCGAAGCTTGGCCTGGTTTAATCAGATCTGGCGCTTTTGGCGCTTCCCAGAGAGCCCAATACCGCTCAATTAAGAAATATAGCGTAAATGATAATATGAAGCCCTATATAATTTAAGCCATATTCCTCAATTAGCGGGTATTGGGCTCTCTGGGTTAGGGCTTCTGGGACTTATAAGTGCTTAGGGCTTAAAATTTAGGGCTTAAGAAGTCGGGTTTAGGATTTGGGTTGAGGAGTTCTACGGTTTAAGGACTTGGTGCTCAAGGTTCAGAGGTCAGGAGTTTCGGATTTAGGGCGGTAGAGAAACATGTGCGACACTTTGACAGTTATGCAGCAATACTGCGGCATGTCGAAAGGCTTGCAATCTCAAGCACTGACAAGTGACGCCACATATCTCCTGCTACAACAAAACCCCTTGCCGTGTCTATTCAACTCAATGTCCCAAGAGCAGGGGAATGAGTCCTCTAATCCCCCAAACCCTGCACTGCCTACACCCTACAGACACCATGCAACCGAAATCCTGATATCAAGACCTCCGAGCCGAAACAGCTTCACCTCGAAGCCTCATGTTGAAATCTGACGTTTTGATAATGTTAGAATCCCCCTACTCATACCCGAAACCCTTTTCTACTTAAGGCCGCTATGCTCAGAAGATGAGCTGCCCTCCCACCTGTGCTTCCTCCGAAGGGCGCACTTGTGGCTTTTGCCTCCCGGCGACGTTCTGGGGCTTAAAGTCCATGAGTTTAGGGTTTTGGTTTAGGGTGTCCTATGTACTGTTATGGGGGGATACTTCCCTAAGTCGTAATCGTAATTCCTAGTATGGAAACCCTACAGTCTACTATACCGGTGCATAGGGCCCTTTGGTTCAGGCTAGGGTTATTTTGCAATGCTCCTGCTTGCTTCGCAGACAGTGGTCAAGCCGCCGAACTTACCCATCTTTCACACACGTATACAAATCACCATGTGATCATTACGGCACTTTGGCATGTCCTTTAGGTTGTGGCTTTCGGATGTATTTAGGGAATAGCGCTTAGCTTCGGGTTTAGGCTATGATATCGTGGGGTTTCGGCTTGAACAGGTGTCACAATTCCATGCTCCAGCAAATAAAGTAGATGCCTGGACTGTTACACCTTTTCAGGGCCTGGGAGGGTTTAATAGGGACCCCAAACAGGACATAAACATAGGCATTTTGTAGGGATAGCCCTATCTTATTGGGCTTCACTGTTTATATGGGAGATCCCTATCCTAACTTTTGCTTATGTGCTTTTGGGGGCCCTATTTTATCCGAGGCCCACATTACTTGCGACTGGACGCAATGGAAGGGGACTCTGCCGCCACCGCCATGGGAGAACAAATGCACGGAAACAATTACCATAACCTACTTCTAGTACCTGAATCTATCACATTTCCTACCCATAACCTACTTTCAGTTTGAGTTTAGGGTCGTGAGAATTACGGCCCGGCCAGTGTAGAATCGATAGCAGGGGCCATGCCAAACAACGGACGGAATGAATTGTCTTCAGGTACCGAAAGCTGCTAAACCAGCACCCTCATCCCTAGACCTTAAAACCTAATCCTACCCAATCACCTACTAGAACCAAACCCTAATAAACCTAAGCTAAGTAAACCCTGTGAAAACCCTAAATACTTACCCTAAGGCTCCATAGTAGTTCCTGCCTGGGTTCATAATTAGAATCCTCTAAAGTACTCCCAAACCCTAAACCCTAAACCCTAAACCCTAAACCCATAAACCCTAAACCCTAAACCCCTAAACCCCTAAACCCTAAACCCTAAGTTCACAAGCAAACAGGCCCAGGCCAAACACGAGCACCCTGAGCCTTGTACCTACAAACCAACACATCCCAAGGCCTTAGGGTAAAGGATTCAGAACTCCATGAATTAATCCTATAAAGGAACTACTATGGAGCATAGTTGCTTGGGGTTCATAAGAATCCTATAAGCTAATCCCAAAAAGGAACTACTATGGAACCGTAGGGTAAACTACCCATAGGCCCCAAAGTAGTTCCTTTTGGGGATTACCTGAAAAGGATTCCTTATGCGAACCCCCAAAAGGAACTACTTTGGGGCCTTAGGACAACACATCACAAGGCCTTAGGGTAAAGGCACTTGTGCCTGGAATGGGGAGGATCCCGTCGAGCTCCCAAAAGCTGCAAATGGGGATGCCGCGGACCTCAAGGAATTATCGAAACCTAAACGGGGGGCGGGGGGGTTCCTTATAAGGGTTCTATAAGTCTGTAAGGGTACTATAAGGGTTTAGGGTGTAAGGGTCCATGTACACAAATAGTCTATACTTTGGGCCCAAGGTACCTTTAAGGCCAACGTATATACCACTTGGGTACATGGACCCTGTAGGGGGAAGCAAGCGGAACCATCATTCTAGGGCTTGGGCTTACAAGGTTCAGAGGCTGGCGATGAAGGTTCGAAGTTTTGGCTCAAACACCTCATTCCAAGAGGGTCCATATGGCAAAATTATGGCCCCTTTTTGGGCACCCTAAATAATAGGTGCCGCACTATAATGAGGACCCAGAAGGGACCCTAATTTTGACAACCACCCATATATTTATATATACATGACTGTCATGAAACCTCTTCTTCCAACCAAAAATTGATGGTCTTTGGGAGGGCACAACGGCATAATGTCCGTATATATAAACATATACATATATATATATATATATATATATACACGTATATGTACATATATAGATATACATATACGTATCTATCTATATATATATATATATACATCTGGACCCTCTGAAAAGCCAGCAAGAAGCCATGCCGAGGTTTGCCGCGAAATACCGCGTGGGTTTGCCCTTTTCAACAATCCTACCGATTTCTTTCCAAGGGAGTTCTTCTAAACCACTGAATACTCAATGACCAACACATGGTTTACTTACCTTCAGTGGTAGGTTAGGAGTTTTTTCACTCTAGCTCAATTTCTGTCGCAAGTACAGCGACTACTTATTATCGCATGAAAATGTACTGCGCTCAGTGGACTATCTAGTATTTGAACCACCTGCACTATTTGCCGATACGTTGATGTTTAGCATGATGCAGATTCACCAACCACCCTCCACATAGCACAAGTGTCACATCACTATCCTGTTGTTGCCTTCCACCGACTCTTTAAAGAGGTGTGACGCGGCTTCGCATAAACGCTCATATGGTTTGTAGGAGTTAGAGAAGTATATATAATATAGAGCTTAGGTTGTTGGGATTTTGGGGGTTTCAGTTTAGGGGCTTCGGGTTTGTAGAGGTTGAAACGAGACTGGGCATTGCACATGCGAGAACGCGAACGGGACAAATGTCGACACCGGTACCGAGCAAATCCCAGCAGCATAGAACGAATACATAAATACGAGTAATTACCAACAATGAGCATACCCTAAGTTCAAGCCGGAAACCGTGAACCTTCATACAGTGAACATCTGCTGAACATCCATTGCGATTGCATGCAGCACAGTCCCCGCATAGGCTCGCGCCCACCACCGAAAAGCGTAGAGGTCTGACCTGACAGTCCAGAACCCGGGTTTACCAAGTTCGGGCAGCACCTACCCTAAACCCTAAACCCCTAAACTCTAAGCAAGTCTGGCTTTTGATCTAAGACTACTTAAGCCAAGTAGGGTATGAATGTGTCAAGCACAAAAACCGGTGCGGTGGGCCCTGTACATAAGCCCACCTTTGGTATGAGCCCACAGTAACCCATTACATCATCTCATCCCTTTAAAACCAAGGCTTAGCCCGAAATCTTCTAGAAGCCATTTGGGCGCTAGATAACACGGTACTCTTGTTGCCTTGGAGCCGCATCAGAACTGATGCACGAGCTATCCTCGTGTTAAGGCTTGACAAAGACACAGGTCTACGATTCGTAAGACAAGAAATCACCGGCACTGATCTGTGCACTATCCGACAGCGACCTCACACATGCAACTATCAAACCTGATCTCTGCACGTACCCGTCAGGAAACAGAACCTAACATCGACACTACAAGTGTAAGCTATCCACCTCCGCTGCTGGAGCCCGAAGACGCAGTGGTCGTCGCCTTTCCGGCGCTTTGCTTCAACAGTTTGGGAACTGATTCCTTCGGAATATTTCGGCTTGTACCTTAGAAGGGGCCCCCACCCTGTAATAGTGGTATAATAGGAGTATAATAGGGCTCTAATATAATATTAATCCTTACCGTCACTATTACAGGGAGAGGGCAGCTTCTAACTTGTACCGGTACTCACCACCTCAAACACCCTGAGAACCATAACAAAAAGAATGTCTTCAATACGCCCTTTGGAGTTTTGCTACAATTCAATATAACTCGAATGCCATTCGAAAAGTACACAACAGCCAACGCAGTTCCTTTTGCAGGTAGCCAACTTGATTTACGATTCGGCTCGAGTACTCAACCAACACGGACCTGAATTGACGGACCGAACTTTTGGAAATCGTGGTATATTCCTTGTTATAGGTTATGCGGGATTTACGATAGAGATTCGCTTGAGCGGCTCCTATGACGGCTCTTACACGGTGTTGCTAGGATGCTTTAGGCAGAAAAAGGTGCCACGTTTCAAGATCCAGGTGGAAACTGTGATTCTCTAGGTCGGCTACATATAACCCTTGCTACGACTGCAGTTTTGGAAGTCCCCAAAGTTACAAGTGGAAAATAGGCAACCCAACTTCTTACCCTGCTATAATAGAATACTTACATCCCGACAGTGCACGGTTACCTGAAGGACGATGGGAGTTTAGCACCCTAGATAGTAGATCCATAAGGACCCCGAAATAAGGTACCCCGAATTTATGGAAACTCCCCGATGAGTCGGCCTGGAACGGTGAGGCAGCGGAGGAGCCGCCAAACAAAGCGTTGGGTGAAGGCCCTGCAGGCCTCACACGAGCCCAGGGTCCAAAGGACCCAATGATCAGGTACTCGGTTTAGGATAGTAGTTATGTAGGTTCCCTAAGGCTCCATGTGCCCACCTAGTAGGTACTTAAGCCTTAAAGGGGTCCCTATATGGGTACTTTAAGGCCCAAGTATCTACTATATGGGTACATGGAGCCTTAGGGGTTAGTATTTGGGAGAGTATATGATTATCAGGTACTTGGACCCTTAGGGGAGGGCTTGAGGGGTTTAGGGTTTAGGGGTTTAGGGGTTGAGGGGTTTAGGGTGTAAGGCTTTAGGGTAATGACTGAGAAGGATCAGTGGCTTTATGAGGGAAGCTTTGCTGGGAACCCAGGAACTTACATAGGAAGCTACTCTTCCTTGAACTACCCTAAACCCTAAGCCCCAAACCCTCAAACAGTTAGAAACGTGAAGAGTGCCCGGAGGAAATCTATACGATGAATGGGTACATGTTGTGACTTGGACCCGAAATCGCAAAGAGCACTAGCCTGAGGGCCTCAGGGTGCGAGCTCTGTGCCTGAAGCCCACAGACCCTGCCCAGGGTTTAGGGTTTTGGGCCTAGGGTCACCCTAGAAATGTTCAACAACTTCGACACCAAACTGAGTCGTCACTACGGAGCGTTTCGAAACAACCTACGGCAGCGTCTGCATTTAACCAAAACCCACTCTCAACTCAACTTCCAGCCTGCAGTCAAAATACTCAGAACCGGGTTTAGGGTTCAGGTGTTCAGCGGTTCAGAGGTTTAGGGGCTTAGGTTAAAGGGTTTGTTTGTAGTCCCTTTGTCCACCGTCCCGCCAGCAAAAGACGGCATAGGTCAGGGGTCGGCAGCAAGGCCGAACACAAGGTACACTGCTCTGGCACCCTTACCAGCGCCAGGCTTTGGTTCGTGCAGTTGGTTCCTCGACTGTTGTTCCGGAAGCGAAGTCATGTATGTCTTGCATGAGCCCTAAACCCTAAACCCTAAACCCTAAACTCCCTGGCATGCATGATGTCTCTTGTGCGCAAGCTTCGAATCTGGCAGGCCGGACTTTGGAGGGGCACCCGTTGCTGTTCCAGCAACCAGCCCGAGATCTCCGATTCCCGGACCTTCCTATAGGCAATTGCGCCATGGCCGCCCGATCGCGATGCTCCAAAAATGGAGCCAAAACTGCAGCATTGCAGCAATCCGGAGCCACCCAAAAGCAAGCCCTCTCACACATGGGAGTTTCCGGAAATAGGGGACCCTAATATAGTACCCTAGATAGTAGGATCCTTATTATGAGGACCCCAAACTAAGGTACCCCATGGCCCTCTCCACCCCTTCGAAGACCGTGAACAACAACGTTTGGATCAAGCCGACAGCTTTGAGAATCGAAAGCGTTCGTGATCCAGACCTAACAAGGGTGCCCTTTTAGAGTTAAGGGGTTTAGGGTCAAGGGCTGGCCGGCTTAGGTGGTTGAGGGTTGAAGAACCTATACTGAACTTAGAACCGTAGCAAAAATTATAATTTTGGCTGTTTCTTAGGGATTATAATAACCCAAAATTAAAAATTATTTCTAAGTACCCCTAAGGAACCGGGTCGCTGACGTACCGCCGAAGAGACCACTGGCAGTTGAGGATGCTAATCCGCCTCCAGCTAGGGTCGGTTGAGTCATACCCTACCTATAGTCTCCATTGTAGTTCCTTTTTTGGGTTACTTTATAGGATCCTTAGTATATAGTTGGTTAAACCAAAAAAAGGAACTACAATGGAGACTATAGGTAAGGCCCCAAGTGGCCGCAAAGGACCAAGTTGCAGACTTTAGGCTCCAAAGTAAGTGCAAGTTTAGACTCGGAGTGTTGGGGATAGGGTTGAGGGGTTGAGGGTGAGGGCTTTGGAGGCTTTGCGGCTGGAGGTGAACGCAATGAGGCTGTCAACCCCCTTGGATGCAGTGTCTGGATTCTCACTCATCGCTGCTACACCTAAAGACCCACCTGAATTCTCAGAAAATAGAGCAGGTCAACACATGAAAGAACAAAAACAAAGACCCGGTCCAAGAAGCCTTGTGGGATTTCTTGGGACTAAAGGATGAACCCCAAACCCTAAACACTTAGTCATTCAGAGTTAGTCTAAATTCTAAACTTTAAACCCTAAACCCCAAACACGAGTCATCCAGTGTTACAGCTGTAGGCCTTGACGGTTTGGGGCTGATGCGACTGGGAGGATGCAGCTGAAGTGGATTTAGGTTCCTGAGTAGCCCCTTTACAACATATGGTACCCTTTTTTAACTACTATTCGGCTTCGATATGGGGGCCCCACGATAGAATGGCAAAAGGGCACTACTCAGGAATTTAGGGATATAGATCTCATAGGTCGCTAAGATCCCAGCTGCTAGCTCGCATCAGCTTAGGTTTAGGGGTTTAGGGGCTTAGGCCCTTAAAGCTTTAGGGCCTTTGGGGCTTTAGATTTATGGTTTGGGGACAGACTGGTGGCTTTGATACGGCGTTGGACTCGACATGGTTGGTAAAGGTTTTCTCGGGGCCTTAAACCCACATGGATATGCGGACTATGCGGTCTGTTTGGGTTGGAAGCGACAGAACCTACTGGAAATTGTAGGTTTACTTGACCAAACACGCAAGCTTAGGGCTCAGGGTTCCTTTCGTCTCTGTCCAGCCTCTGAAAGTGTCGCTCCCTGTTGGCAGCTACCTTAAAATATCACGTTTAAGGGCACCAACCCTTGCGCAGGAAATATAAATACACGCCACAAATCAGGTGATTAAGTTAATTGAGCGGCGATGACAACCTCTTTTGCATCCTTTGACGCTAACAAACCCTTGTGCGTGCTTCCGCGTGCAGAGCCAACTGTCCCTTACGCGCAACCCCCTCAGTCTGTTCCAAGCTTTTTACGCCCCATGTGCAAGATTAAAAGATCCCATGATACTCTTGCGCAAACCCTTTGCGCGCATCGGCTGTTAAAGCAACCGGTGCGCAAGCCTTATACCTGGACCCTAAGGAACCTGCCTTTTTGGGGTTCCCTAGTGTGATTTCTTTATATAAGTGCTTAAAAAGGTAGGTTACTTGGGTTAAGGTACGCGCATGCGACTGTTGCTTACGCGCGCATGCGCACCCATTTTTTTTGGGGGTTCATACTTAGAATCTTATGAGGTACCCCCAAAAAGGAACTACTATGGGGCCTCTTCTAAGTAGCTCTTCGGTGGTTTACGGCTCCGCTCAATTGAAACTGAAGTTTGGACTTTAGTGATACACTCTAAACCCTCAACCCCGTAGCTCAGGAATCTGGAGGGGCTCAAAGAAATCTCTCGCCTGCAAAGGGAGAACTTGCTTTGCCCGCCGCCTTCAGGTGCGAGCGGTGTGGACTTAGGTGTTTAGTATGAGGGTTTGGTGGTTTCGGGCTTACGTTTCAGGGATTTAGGGGTTTGAAGGGAAGCAGGGCTCAGGAATTTAAGGTCGCGTTAGTCTTCGCAATAAAGATAAGACAGCAATCCGGCCAGTGATTCTTGTAGTGATTCACTACTCTGCAACACCTTTGCCGGCAGTGTACCGTCCTTGAATTTTAAGCCCTCAACCCTAAACCCAATACGCGTTTCAATCAAAGCCTTCGCAAAACACACAACCTGGTGCTAAGGCTCAAACTCTAAAATCATCAACCGTTATACCCAAATATCCTAAACCTTCAAAGCCTCAAAAGCGAGGCTCCCTCTAAGAGCAGCGCAGATCCCTTTCTTTGAGAATCCATGTGCCCAAATCCCTGAGGGTCCATGTACCCAAGGACTTTACTTTGGGCCCAGCATACCTTTCGGGAGTACTTTGAGGCCACAGTATATATTTGGTATGGTACGAGTATACTGCATACCTCGTCATTGTATACCTATAGGCCATATTGAGGGGTTCCCGCTTTTGCACCTTGTGTCCAAACGATAAACGATCGAGGCATTTACATGGACCGCAAAGCCCTGCACCACAACCCATAAACCCTACATGGAGGTGCATGGGCAGTTATGAGTGGGGATATAATTAGGGTAACTATGGTTATGACCCCGATTAGGGGACTTAGAACCCCACTTATAACTATCGATGAACCTCCAAGTATACCAGCACCCTGTAAGGATCCTGACGTGGAACCGAAACTCCATCTCGAAGTTTGGCAATGTGGGCACATCAAGACCTTATAGAACGCTTAAAGCATACCGTAAGCCCCAAACTCTCAAACCCTAACCGCCATACCGTGATAAACCCCAAAACCCTGCCCAAGCCTGAAATGGGACGAATATAGGGGCCTTAACTATTGAAATAAGGTTTTGCGGCCCATTATACTATAACTGTAATAAGGAACACCCCCCCCCCCCCGCCAATATAGTATAGGTAATTTTTAAGGCCTCTATATTAGAAGCTGCCCCCACCCTGTAATAGTGGTATAATGGGAATATAATAGGGCCCTCTAATATAATCCTTATAGTCACTTGTTCAGTGTGGGTGCAGCTTCTAACCTCTATATCAGAAAGTCAAGGACCGAAGATCCCACCAGAGCCTGGAAGGGCGATGGAGAACCTGCCCTTGGAGGCTTGGCGGTGCAGGGTTGAGGGGGTGTGGGGGGGGGGTGCCTGGAGGGGGGTGTGGGGGCTGAGGGGTTTAGGGGGCGAGGGGGCCTGGGGGGGGTTGTAGAGGGATTACTGCTCCTTCAAAAGGGTTGCCAAAACCCTAAACCCAATGCCTAAACCCCAAGCCCCAACTGTTCCAGCTTCTGCTTGAGAGCTTGGGAGCCGATCTAAGCATCACATCCCTAAAGCACCAAAAAAGCACATAAGCAAAAATTAGGACAGGGATATCCCATATAAACCCTCTTAAAAGGAAGCCCAATAAGGTAGGGATATCCCCATAAAATGCTTATGCTTATGTGTTTTTTGGGTCCCTAAATGCCCACTCCTCCTCTACTGACCACAGCCTACGGAAAACCTGTCGAGATTTAATGTACGAACCTGATTAAGAAAGCCTGTGCCTACAATCCCCAATATAACAGGACTCATATAAGGAGCCCTAATAATAGCCCAAGGTTTCTTAATCAGGCTCCTACATTACTAACCCCCCTTTGCTGCCTGGGCGGTTTTCGGGAAACGGGAAGCATAAACCCTAAACCCTAAGCCCTAAACCCTAAACCCTAAGCCCTAAACCCTAAACCCCTAAACCCTAAACCCCAAACCCTAAACCCTTAACCCTAAACCCGGAGGCGCCTCACGAGCTTCGCCGGGTCGTCGAAGACCCGTGCTGGCGCTTCAGGCGCTCCAAGCAGGACTTGAGTGGAAACAGGTCGTCCTCATCAGTGATGATAGTCTCCATTGTAGCTCCTTTTTTTGGGCTAACCAAAATCTCTATTATAGGATCCTAACCATAAAACTGGTTAACCCAAAAAAGGGAACTACTTACAATGGAAACTATAGGGAGTGTGCGAAGGTTGCGCTCGCCAAGGCAGGTCTGAACTGCCGTCTCACACACCGTCCCAAAGGGTCCAAGCATCACTATGGTAAAGTTTTATAGGGTATTTGGGGGGGTATCATGATGGTATATACTTACAGGGTATTTGGGGGGGTCTAAGTATATACCATAATGATACTTGGAGCCTTTGGGTGTGGTAGAGTCTTCGACTCCCAAGTCAGCCTGCAAGGCCAATAAGAAACCAAAGCCTGTGATCTGCTCACACCACCTACAGGAGAAGCCAGAAAGTTGGAACATCATTATCCTCATACACTTAAAGTAAAGTATAGGGAATCCCCGCACGAATCATCCTAAATCCATGTTCCAACTTTCTGGGGTTCACTATACTAGACCCCCCCAACTACTCTTTATTGTAGCCCTTGATTTCGTCTTCATGTGGGCTATGACAAAGGCTCCAAGCCTCCCTGTGCAGCCTCAAACCCTTATCCTAAATCATAAACCTGTAAGATTGATGGGCACAAGACCTCTCAGCACTTGGAGCGAAAGCCATTTCATCAATCAGAATCAGAAGCCACTTGTAGCTTAAGGCAGACAGTACCCTTACAACAACTCTTCATCTGCAGCCACAAAACATGTATTACAGTATAGTTCCCGCAGGAAAAGTGTCTAACTCTTACAACCGTAGGTCATGGAATGCACAAGTATAAACCCCAAACTCCAAACCCACGGAAAGTCCTATTATCAGCACTAAACCACTACCCCAAACTTTGCAGCTGTTTACCACGCCCTCTTTTTGGGGGGACGCAAACAAAAGGAATGCTAACCACCAGAACAGGGGCGTAGGGTACGGTATATCATCGTCTGTTTAAACTGGGAGTAGATTAGGGACCCGAAGGGTTTAGGGTTTAGGAGCAGATTAGGGACCCGAAGGACGGACTAGAAGTGCCAATTACTCAGGCTTCTCTATCATGTTCGGGGCGGCAACGGCATATCTCTTGAGTCCGAAGCTTGGCAGTGGCAGTGAAGGGAGAACTCGCAGATGCCGCTTTGGATGTGGGCGCGCTGCCTGGGTGTAGGGTTTAGGGTTGCTAGGATTTAGGGATCGGAACATCTAAAGAGCGCAGTGGCCGATGCATTTCTACGTAGCCCCTTTACAATAAAGGTGCCGCTGTTTCTATTATTCGGTTTTAACCATAAGAGAAAAAGGGCAAAAGGGTACTACTCAAAAACCTAGATTTACAAGGTCATAGAAGGTTCCATGGGGTTTGCGATTTCGAGCGTTCTGCAAGGTTCTTGGTCAGGTCGTAAGATTCCAGTTGCCAGAAATATAGGGGCCTAAATGGTTAGAACAATGCTTTGCGGTACATTAGCTGTGTATGGTCTAGTTAATAAAGCAAGGAACCTATCTGGCGGACTATTGGCCGCTATTTGGGCCCTCTAATTGTACTTACAGGATTTATGATATGAGTGAGGCTCTTCCGGTGTCGTTATCACCATACTATGCAGCGCAGCACAACGGGCCGAAACGCCCGAAGACCCCTAAAACCCCAAACCCTAAGCCCTAAACCCTAAAACCTAAGATTCTAAACCCTAAAACCCTAAACACCCGAAGTCCAAAGGCCTCCTTTCGATCTTGCCGACGGTGGCTTCGCAGGGGCGCGCAGTGCTGGCCACTCTGGCATGTCGCCTGAGCCCAGCCCAGGTACCCAAATAGGGCTCCTTTTAGGGCTCCGTTAAGGGTTCCACTCTAAAGGCTGCCATAGAGTTTAGGGATATTTGTCGGTATAGACGGGTCCATGTACCTAAATAGTATATACTTTGGGCCCATTGTACCAAGTATGTATTATATGGGCACATGGACCCTCAGTGCAAGACCAACCGGGCTTTCGGTTTCGGGTCTGGCGTGGTCAAGACACGTTGAGAGTTTGGGTTTGGGGCGAGGTTTTGGGCCTGAACATTAAGTTAAAAAAGTGCTATCGGGGTTTTGGGTAACTCATACCACACTGTCATTGTATCCGCGACAATTATTCGGGGATACGTATACGGTTCTTGCTGCCGATTAATTAATTGCTCCTCCACCCCCCATCGAACCTAGCCTTAAGAACCTCATATTTACATGCGGCAATATGTCCAAGAATCTGATTCGCCAAAGTGTCCTTTGTACTGTTATGGGGGATACTTGCCTAAATCATAATAGTAATTCCTAATATGGAAACCCTACATTCTACTATATCGATACATAGGACCCTTTGGGTTCTAGTTATGAAGCCCTACATTACCTTCACTCCAGAGAAGGAACTGCAGTCCCATTCCGGTGCCATGTTTACTCTCTGAAACCGATAGTATAGTTCAGGGTTTAGAGCCAAAAGTTGCGGTTGAGTCAGTCACATGCACACATATCTGGGTAGTTCTCTAAGTTTGGGTCCTTTGTTTGGGCTCCTTATTGTAAGGGTGCCGTGCTATATAGGGGACCTAACAAGGGACGCCATTTTAGACGATGGCCCTTCAGTTTCGGCCGCTGGAGGCCTAAGTGAGTCCGAGAGGGCATAAACCGAACATGCCAGACCCTGGGGATCTAAGGACTCATATCTTAAGGCTTTTGGGCCCAAAGACCATACTGCATAAGGCTTTCGGGCTGTTTGGATCCCTATAGGGAAATGTCCTGGGCAAAAGGGTGTAAAGGTGCAAGGATAGGGGTCAAAAATCTCAAGTCCTGCAAGCAACCCATTGAAGACAGTACGAAGTTAAAATACAACGTGGCCGCTATGCCTCTGCAATTCCACTTCCACAGTCTCAAAACTGCACCACGTAAAAAACCCTACAGCACAAGACCCAGAATGCGTCACTAAGGGCCCGAAGAACATCTAATAGTAATTTAGACTGGGGTGTGGGATACACCATCAGCCGGAGCAAACATCAAGTAAGGTAAAAACTACCCAAGTTACCAAAGCCACAACCGCTAATCTGCAACCCCTAACACCTCAACCCTAACACCTGAACCTTTAACCCTAAACCCGCAAACTCTGAGACTCCAACAGAACTTCAAGGTGATGGAACCATCCGAATCTGCCAGCAAGAGCACCTGAGATCCAAGCATTTAGCCTTTAAGGTTGAAGTTAAAATGTAGACTTCGGTATTTATGGGTAAGGGTGCAGGATGGGTTTGGGTTTAGGAGCAAGGTTGAGGGAGGAGATGCCGTTGATTTTGGATTTGGTGCTTCGGGATGTCGCGGCGCGGCTATCAGTTCTCACTAGGGTTTAGGGTTTAGGGCCTAGGGAATAGGGTTTAGGGCTTACGGCCTAGACCGCGCGCATCCGAGTCCTAAAACCTTGCAGCACAAGGCTTTGGGTTTACAGAACACCCTAAGCCCTCAGCCCTACATACACCTTCCACCTGGAAGCTTCTGTCTTCCCTATAGTCTCCATTGTAGTTCCTTTTTGGGGCTGCCTTATAGGAATCTCCTTTTTGGGGCTGCCTTATAGGAATCTCCTTTTTGGGGCTGCCTTATAGGAATCTGGATCCTAATTACATATTTGGTTAAATGGTTAAACCAAAAAAAAAGGAGCTACAATGGAAACTGGAGGTCTTTTCTACTTATTGGCCAGCCGGAAGCAACGCCAAAGCCTTTGGAAGACGAAAACTCGTCCGTAGGACACCCTAACTCCTGGGCCCTAAACACCTGAAAACCTCAGCCATACGGTTGATGATATAAATCCTGCATTACCCATAATAAGGAAGATACCATAATTCCCGTAGTTTAGGGTCCTTGGTAATGCAGGATTTATATCATCAGCCGCAATGCCCTGAGCCGTTAAACAAACCCCTCATAGGGACCCTTAGAAGAACCCGAAAACAAACACTCCCCAAAACCCAAACCCTGAACATCCACCCTGAGCCCCAAAACCAAAGAGCAAAGCCCTGAGCCCTAAGGCCCTAAACCCTCTACCCTAGACCCTGAGCCGTGGACCCTACGCCCTTAACCCTAAACCCTCAACCCTAGACCCTATAAACCCCTTTTAAAGGAGCCGAAATCCTTCGACACCCTCAACCCTCTACGCCCTAAGCCCTGAACCCTCCCACGGTTTAGGGCTTAGGGTTTAGGGTTTAGGGTTTAGGGTTTAGGGCCCAAAGCCTAAACCCTCAACCAATTTTTGAAGGCGCCAGGGCGCCGGAGGGTCCTCCAAATCTCCCTCCGTGGCAGATTTTTTGGACCTGGCCCATGTCAGGGTGTCTTGAGGGCTTATATACCTTTAGGGAATCTATAGAGGTTTAGGGGTTTAGGGGATTAGGGTGTAGGGTTCAGGGGATTAGGGTTTAGGGTGTAGGGCTTAGGGTTTAGGCTTTAAGAATTGCTTTCAGGGACCCAACGGGGCTCCTTTAGGGGTTTCTATAAGGCCTCTGTAAAGAGTTTGGGGAAGTTTAGGGTCTTCAAGTGCTTCAAAGGTCTAGTCTTGCAAATAAGTAGAGTTAAGAAATGGCTACCCCAAAAAGTGGCACAAGCCGTATTTCCTGGTCCGCGAAGCCCTAAACCCCTACACGTCTAATCCCCTACGTAGTGTCTCCGATAGGTAGAACTGATACGGACAGGTGTAAGCCGGCTGCAATTGCAAGATTGGCGCAGACACCACGTCCTCCTTCAACATCTTCTCTAACCAGTTGCTCGAAGCGATGTAGCCGCCTAGAAGGCGACTGGCAATGATCATGCCGGCCTGCTTGGCCTGCTCGTCCGTTCTTGCATCCATATCATTCACCTCCGGAAGGGTTGACATCGCTCTGAAGGTTTCTTTGTCAATACAGACATAAATAAGGTGTGTGGGCATGTCCTCAAAAAACGAATCGTCAATGATGGCATTTAGTAAGGCCGAGACCCAAGACCAATCGGGACTGCGGCGCTTCATACAACTGGCCATTAAGGGAACCCTAAGGGTCCAAAGGACCCAATGATTAGGTACTCAGTTTTAGGATCGTAGTTATGTAGCTTAGTATTTTGGGGAGTATATGATTATTGTATAGGTACTCGGACCCTTAGGAGAAGCTTTGAAAGTGGCACAGGGCTTTGGGATATCACACGACAATCACATTTGGAAACTGCAGGAATATTAAGCTGTGGTAATAATTACCAAAAGCTACCCCTGGGAGCTCTTTAAACTTCGTTTGAATTATCCGATGCTATATTTTCCCTAAACCCGAAATTTAACCCTAAACCCCTAAACCCTAAACGCTAAACCCTAACACCCTAAACCTTTAAATCCTAAAACCCTAAACTCCGAAACCCTAAACCTCTAAATCCTAAAACCCTAATTAATCAAACCCTATAAACCCTAAAACCCTAAACCTCTAAATCCTAAAACCCTAAACCCTGAACCGGCCTGGGTATGCGGCCTTTGAAGCTGGTGACCACGCACATGCCGCGGAGGTCACAGACCTGGGTGCGGAACCCCGTAGGGGTTTAGGGTTTAGGGGTTTTGGGTTCAGGGTTTAAGGGTTTGGGGTTTGGGGGCTTAGGGGTTGAGGGGTTTAGGGTTTAGGGGTTAGGGTATAGGGGTTTTGGGTTCAGAGTCTAGGGTGGTCATGACTTACTGTTTCAAGCTCACTTAACAAAAACCGTTGTTGTTCGTGTTGTATCAATATGTCTTTTCGCTGAACCGCATACACAAATCCTAAATCGTACTTCTACCAGAGTTGCCACGTGCATGCAACGCTTTCGCACTTACGCGTGTGCTCTGATAGGGCTCTTGTGCAATCATTGCACCCAGCACGTACTATACAACAAAATCCCCATTTATTCTCACTAGCCAGACAATTACTCTCACTATGCTTCGGAAGCCTGCCATAGGATAATGCGAGTTGATATATTTGGATTTTACTGCAACTTCTTGTAGTTCTACTACGACCACACACAAAGCCCTTAAAGTAGGGGTCGTCGTAGAAGCCTCAGAGGAGACCACCACAACGACGTTGACTTCGGAGCACCCTAAGGCCTGCAAACAAAAGCCCAGCAGATTCGTATGTACGGCTTAGGGTTTAGGGTTTAGGGTACGGGTTTGGGGCTGAGGGATAAAAGTCCGTGTCTTGCAAAGCAGAACAGGGATGGTGCCTTTTTGGAACTTGGTAAAAGAATGGTGATTCACATGGAGCCCTTCAAAAGGCTCCACGGGTTCTGATTCTTAGGGCTTCAAAGCATCATCGAGGCCCCGATCTCTGGAGTAGCTTTCTGGGGTATGCCTTGATAGCTATGATGCAACACGTGGCTGTTTAAATTAAGATCTCTTTTTGGGTCCCTGTTACAATACGGCACCTACTTTTTGGGGTACCCAAAAGGGACCTTAATTTTGACAACTGCCCATGTATTCCGGAATAGCCACAAGAAAAAACACACTGTTGGGACTAAAACTACTCCATATTTGCCTTCAGCCCTGCAATCTTTCATGCCTTCGGCTCTGAGGAAAGGGCATGAGAGTCCTCTTCGTCGTAGATGGGCTTGCAGTACGGCTGCTTCCCCTGATTCTGGGCTAGAAAAAACCCCAGCGACTAGAATCGAAGCCCTAAACCCGAAATGCTCTAAATCTGAAGGTTTCGAATCGAAGACCTCAGCATCGATTTCAGGGTTTAGGATTAGTGTAAGGATTAGGCCTACGGACCGGGTTTAGAGTTTAGAGTTTAGGGACATGTAGGGGTTTCGAGTGCATCGAGGGGTCGGGGTTTAGTTGTATACTGTTCTGGGACATGGAGTTGTTGGTCGGGTCGTGAAGCAGGGAAGGAAGAGTGTGAGAGACACTACTTGAAAACTTGAACTGGCATGTGTGTTGTTGGAATCTGCTTTATGGAAAACAGATGAGAAATTAAGGTAACCCAAGAGCCAATTCTCCCTACTCACTACACCTTCAATTATTAATTATGTTCCGGAAACTGTATTGACCCTTGCGCCCCTAAACCCTAGACCCGAAACGCCTAAAGTCTGAACCCGCAGCACTACGCCCGGTGAGTTTACCTTGACCACCAAGGTCGAAACTCGCAATCCTTGCACGGCCCTCAACCCTGATCCAAGTGCAGCCATTGTAAAACCCTCGGGGAATTGTAGTGAATCAGCGGCCCTGTAAATCCAAACCCTAAACCTAAACCCCTTGACTAATATAGAGGCCTTAATATTGAAATTACGGTTTTGGGGCCCATTATGCTATGATCATCATAAGGAGCCCCCAAATTAGTATAGGCAAGCATTAAGGCCCCTATACCATAGAACCCTACTATAGATCCCTTAAAAACCCCTTTAAGGATCCCGTTAAAGGAACCATATAAATCCCGAACCTAAACCATTTTTGCTAAGCTTACGCTAACTTATGCATTGAACTTCTAACCTTAAACCCCTTTTATAAGTCCAAACCCGCCGGCCTCTGGCGGCGTGACGACGACCCATCCAGAAATCACGTCTTGGTGATTCGTGCACGAAGCATTGCCTGGGCTTTTGAGGCTTGATATTGGGTACTGCCCCCGTCCTGTATCAGTTTGGTCTACAGGTCTGCTTTTATTGGGATTCATATATATATATATATATATATAGATAGATAAATACCTGTGTACATATTATACTACTATAGTATAGATGTAGCAAGACTGTTTCAGAGTGGGGGCAGTGTCCAAGTTATGAGATTTGTCAGGATAGCGGTTGCTTGTAGCATGGGCTCTTCTCAAGCCTTGTTAGTAGGAGTTATATGGGTGGTTATTAAAATCATGGTCCCTTTTTGGATCCTTATTATAGTACGGCACCTAATATTTAGGGTTCCCCAAAAAGGACCATAATTTTGACAACCACCCATATGGTGGAAGGGTTGAGGAGATAATGGGTTCGGAATCGTTTCGGTCGTGTGTGTGACACTAGTCTCACAAGCAGAGGGGTTTCGGGCTTGGGATTTCCGGGTTTCTCTTTTTTTGAAAGGGAAACCGGATGTCGGGGCTCAGGGTTAGGGCTTAGGGGTCCAGAGTTACGATGGGTTTGGGGTACGGTCTACGCGGCTCGGTGATTATCGATTGGTGCCCCAGGGATAGGTGCGTTGTGAGTATGGCTTGGGGGTTTTGGTTGTAAATTAAAGCTCTTGGGGTTGAACATAGGGGTTCGGGTCTCGGGAGCAGGGTCATAAAGCTACAGTGTGCGGGGCTTAGGGCAGAGAGCAGCGTGAGTAAGCCCTACACCCGGCAAACCGAACTGGGCGATCAGGGTCCACACTGTATCCCAGAACCCCAAACTACAAACCCTCATTTTAACCTAGACCCCCAAAAGTAGGTAGCAGAATCGCCCGACACATACTAGGATACCCAGTAACCTAAGAATAAAAAGGCCTCTCTTTTTGGTATTGGGTAACTTTATAAGGAACCTAGGACTACAAAAAGGGAATAAGGGTACTACTGGGCATCCTAGCATATAATATTAACAGGCCATTATTCTACATAGTTTTGGGGTCGAGGAACAAGTGATCGAGGTCGACAGTGTGGGGATTTTGTTGCTTGGCACATGACCCCGGGGTTGCAGCCCTGCTTGTGCAGAAGTTCCGTAAACCCAGAAACAAAGAGAACCGCACGCGTCCCACACCTAGGGAACGGTATGTGACATAAAGCATAGACCCCAAATCCTGAAGCCTCAGACGAACTTCAAACGTCTCCTAAATCCTTAACCCTAAGCGTTTAAGTGTAAAGCCTACAAAAGCATTGACCTTAAACCTGAACCCTGTTCTGAACACCTAAACCAATCTCAAGCAAACACCTACAAAAGCCTTAACTCGCCAAACCCCAAGCCCCAAACCCGCAAACATAACATTACAAGCAACCCTAAACGTTTTGATAGGTCTTAAGCGAAATGGCAAAGCACGAAAGACCTTACGAACCTTGACTCAACAGCCTACTCAAGGCTGAACCCCATACAACAAACCTGGAAAAGAACCTGATTAAGGCCGTTATCCGCTCAAACCCCTATCCCTAAGGCTCCATGTACCCAAATAGTATATACTTTGGGCCCAATGTACCCATATAGGGACTACTTTAAGGCCAATGTATATACTATTTAGGTACATGGACACTTAGGGTATGAAGCCATCCACAAACGATTTAAAACCACTACAACACCTGTTTAAGCTCAAAAAAACCAAAGGCTCCATGTACCCATATAGTATATACTTATGCCTTAAAGTACCCATATAGGGACCCCTTTTAAGGCTTAAGTATCTACTGTAAAAGTACATGTCGAGCCTTTGGGCTTGGGGCTTCTAGGGTGCACCTAAACCCTAAACCCATCATCCTAAACCCTGTAAACCCCAAACCCTAAATCCTATGCGAAGGGACTTGGCTCCCTGCTGGTGAGCAAGCTGATTTGTGCGCCCGAAGAGGAACCGAGCAGAAGAAGTGACCTCGGTGCGACATGCAGAAGTCTATGATTACCTTAAGAGTTTAGGGTTCAGGGTTTAGGGTTTAGGGTTTTTTCGGTTTAGGGGTTTCCCTTAAGGCTCCATAGTAGAAGTTTATTTTAGTAGGATCCCGAATATGATTTAAGGTATATTCCTTACTTAAGGGATATTGGGGTGTTTGGGACTTTACCCGGAACCCTAGGCTACCCTAAGGCCCCATAGTAGTTCCTTTTTGGGGTCCATATTTAGAATCCTGTAAGGTAATCCCAAAAGGAACTACTTTGGGGCTTATGATTAACTTAGACCCCTGAGTCCGTACGTACTAGATTCCTTGTATGTCAAGTCCCTGCCACTAAGATAGCCATGACGATTGCTGTTCAGCTACGGGCTAACTATGCTTTATCAACACTGCTAAAAGCAGCATCTGGATGGCTACTGCTACGATAACGGTATCAATAGAATCTAACATTCTGACTACGACAGTTATTACCAGTCACCGTCATGGCTATTATTGCTACTGTTCGTACTCCTTGGGTTTCATTTATTGTTTCAGGAACTTACGGTTGATGATAAATCCTGCATTACCCATAATAAGGAATATACCATAATTCCCACAGGCTAAAGTCATTAAGGTAATGTAGGATTTATACCATCAACTGTAAAGCCCTTGTCAAGCCCGATAAACCGATGAAAACCGGATAAAAACTTGGTAAAACGAGATGAAGAGTTTACGAAACGTCAGCTTACTCAACCCCTATACTTGGAGGTTCATGGGTAGTTATAAGTAGGGTTATAAGTCGGATAAGTATAGTTATAACCCATACTAGTGGACTTATAACCCCTGAACCTCCAAGTAAGGAACCCAGAAGGAACCTGCAAAGGCCCAAACATACGGTTGATGATATAAATCCTGCATTACCTTAAGGCCCTTAAACTATGGGAATTATGGTACATTCCTTATTAAGGGCAATGCAGGATTTATATCATCAACCGTAGTGCCCCATGCCACGAAGTCAGCTTTCTGGTCGTGGGATTGTAATGTAGGGGCCTTAATGATTAGAATGGGTTTTGGGGCCCATTATACTATAATTAAAAGATGAGGAACCGCCCCAACAAATAGCATAGTAGGTATTTATCAAGGCCCCTATATTACGTGGTGCTGTGCAGCTCCGTCTAGGAATATGAGTTATTGAAGGCCTCTCTTGGTGGAGCTTGCCCAGCTTGCGCTGATGCCGTTCCTCCAGGAGTCTGCTTGGCCTCTTCAAGGCGGTTGATGACATAAATCCTGCATTTCCTTAAGGACCCTAAACTATGCGAATTATGGTGTATTCCTTGTTATGGGTAATGCAGGATTTATATCATCACCCAAGGCCACGTGATGCAGATAAATGGTTAAAGTGACCATACTTCATCCCTACTACACGCCTTACGAAGAGAGGCGGTTTGCTAATCAGGGGTCCGCTTAAAGCTGTAAGCTTTTCAGTTTACAGTGGTCTTCTTAATGGGGTCCTAATTACTGCGATCAGAGCGCTCTCTTGCCGGGGAAGCCGCGGTACAGGAGTTGCAGTTAGGGAACCGCGCGTATCAACCCCGACAGACCTCCCTATAGTCTCCATTGTAGTTCCTTTTGTTGGTTTAACCAAATATATAATTAGGATCCTATAAGGTAACCCCAAAAAGGAGCTAAAATGGAGACTAGAGGTCCTACTCAATCAAGGAACCGTTTCTTACGTTGAGGTCCCGGGCCAATCTGGAATCCACACGGTGTGCATGAGGAGTTGATCCACCTTAATTAGGTGTTCTGGATTCTTTAAGAGCACAGTAGGCTTCAGTAGCTTCTTGTTTTATGACAGCTTTAACTACAATCCGCAACAAGAAACCACTGCTGCGCACCCATGAGGGGAAGGGGTGTCGCATGGTCGACGGGCCTACTGAAGTGGATTTGTGGATGGCCTTGGGCGGCCTATCAAAGGGCAGCCTGCTGTTTCGCTTATTACTTTATCAGGGAGGCTTAGTTGAACTTCGGGTGTTCTTCGAAGCGTGGCTATACGTGAACAATGCCTGGGCTTGGCTGGCCTTGATGTCAATGTATTTTTAAAAGATGTCCCCCCCCCGGCATGGGCTTCGAATCATTGAAAATGCCCTAGGTTCCTGAGTAGCCCCATGATAATACGGGCACCCTTTGTCCTACTATTCGCGGTTTTCATAAGGGGACTCTAAACTAATTAGGGAAAAAGTGTACTACCCAGGAACCTACAGATTGACAACGTCAGGGCTTTGGCAACAGCATAGAAACATCTAAACACATGCTCGTGAAGAAAAACCCACTAAGGCCCCGGGCTTCAAGAGTCTATGTTCGTCTGCTTTGCCATTTGTTTGGCCACTAGTCCAACCCTACGGGTCCATGTACCTCTGGAGCCTATTGAAGCCTTACTTGGTTCCTATACACTAGACCTAAGAGTAACCTAGGGAAAAAAAGGGTGGCCTTCTTTGGGTTAAAGGGTGTTATAAGGGAAACTAAGCCCTAAAAAAGGGAATAAGGGCCTACTCTGGGTCCTAGTACACGAACTGTAAATGCCAACCCTACACCCTAAACCCTAAACCCTGAACCCTAAACCCTAAACCCTACTGTAAATGCCATGGCACCGGCTTTCTGGATGCTTGGGCGTCCCTGAACCCTAAGCCCTAAACCCTACCCCGGAATCCTAAATCTACCCCAATCCCAAACTCCAAACCCTAAACTCCAAGCCCTGACCCTCAAAACAGCCCTAAAACTTAAACGATCCCCAAGGCACTCTGAGAAAAGCTAGATAACAGTATACTATAGTATTATATACTAGATAACAACAGCATAGTATAGTATAGCACAGTATAGTATAGTGTATTGTGGTATACTACAGAGGAAAGCTGGGGGTGCCACGGTGCCAGCCTTTTCAGGATCGATCTCGATCTCATTAAAGGCCAAGGCCTGCTCAGGATTTAGGGATTTAGGACTCAGGGTTTAGGGCTTAGGGTCTAGGGTTCAGGACTTAGGGTTTTAGGACTTAGGGTTTAGGGCTTAGGGTTTAGGGTTTAGGGTTCAGGGTTTAGGGGTTAGGGTTTAGGGATTTAGGACTTAGGGTTTAGGGGTTAGGGTTAGGGTTCAGGGTTTAAGGTTTAGGACTTAGGGTTTAGGGTTTTGACAAGGGTGTGGGATTGAGGGATTTAGGGATTCAAGCAGTTGAGAAGGATTTAGGGTTCAGACTTAGGGATTTGGAATTTAGGGTTATGTGTTTTGGGGGTATACGCTGCAGATGCCCAAAGAGCAACTAGGGTTCTGGGTTTTGTGTTGGCACCTGTAGTCACTCGGTCCGTCTGCTAGCCCTTTCTACATACACATGAGAACTTACCATGCAGAATAGGATTGTATTGAAAAAGTTTGGGGGGGAGTAGCAGTACACAATATTATACAACCCTGGCACCGTGTAGAGACCCTAATTCCTGAACCCGGCACCACGTTACAGACCCCTATGTCCAGGTTTCTGTGTAGAACCCAAGCTGTACACCGCGCATCCTGTTATAGCCCTTTCCTTAAACACAAAACCTAACCCTGAACCCTAAACCCAGAGGCTCCATAGTAGTTGCTTTTTGGGATTACCTTACAGAATTCTGAATATGAACCCCCCAAAGGGAACCACTATGGAGCCTTAAGGGAATCCCCTAAACCCCTCAACCCAAAACCCTTAAAACCTGAGCCCTAAACTCTTATGACCCTAAATCTAACCACCCAGAGACTCCACTATCCCTTCATTAAAGAATATTCCTTAAATCATATTAGGGATCCTACTAGAATTTAAGGTATATTCCTTAATTAAGGGATATTGGAGTCTCTGGGCACCTTGTTCAGACCCGAGCCTTCAGTGACACCTTGCGTCCGTCCGGCGAGATGGTCAGAATCGCCTGCAGTCGGCAGAAAAGACCCAGGAAGAGCTTTAGACCCTGAAAACAAAAATGATCTAGGGGCTTTAATAATTGGAATAAGGTTTTGGGGCCCATTATACAATAATTCAAACAAGGAACCCCACAATAGTATTGGAAATTATTTAGGCCCCTATACACCCGAAAATCGGGACCCTCAGGGCCCAATATAGTAGAATGTAAGGTTTCTATATTAGGAATTATTACTATGATTTGGGGAAGTATTCCCCATGACAATACCTAGGACCCTTTGGGAATTTCTAAGCCCTTAAACCGCCAATTCTGCAGTCCAGGGTCTAGGGAGAGCCTCTTGAACAATGGAGTACGGCAGTTTAAGCTGTTCCGCACCAGAGGTTTCAATAGCTAGCAATAATTAGAAAGCATCTCCTTAAAGTACTATAGCCAATGTCTAATTGATGTGTCCCCTATATTGGGGAATTGCGGCTCATTGGTCTCGACATGACTCCCATGGCAAGCACAACTGCATCTCCACCCCTGAAAAACCTGAAACACAAAAACCTACTGCAAGGCCTCCTCACACACTACCTGCATTTGGACCCCATCCTCCACTAACATAGCAGGTTATTGCACCATGAACACAGAATCAACAAGTCCATAAAGCAACCTGTTTGGTAGCCAGCGGTGCATCCAAAAGTCCAAGTATCATTATGGTACATACTTAGACCCCCCAAAATACCCTATAAGTATATACCATAATGATACTTGGACCCTTTGGGTTTTTAACGCCTGGTAGGTCGTGAGATCAGACTCGTCCTCCTCCTCGAAGACCTTTGCCCAGCTTTGGAGTTGAAAGCTCCCTCAACTGCCACAACTCACCCTTCTTGTAGGCGGTCAGGATAAACTCAGATACAGATATACATATACATATACACATATATGAGTGTACACACACATCTATATGAAAAAAAAATATATATATATATATATATATGTATATACATATGAATATTTGTGCATAGCTGTACATATATGCTTGGCAAGCCAAACCCTCAGACTCAAAAGCACCTGACCCTGAGCCTCCTTGGTTTGTTGGCGCGCTGAGTGCAAGGTTCAGGCATGAGTCGACTGTAGTTCAGGGCATTCTTGGGGGCCATTAGATTTCACGTTTGATTTTGAAAGCACGTTACCTGTGCAGAGAACCACTTGCAGTTTCGGACGCTCCTACAGAAACCAGCTAGCCGAGAACCCTGGGCTTGTGAGGATTTCCTTAGCCTTTCGAATTTTGTGCTTTACGTCGAAAATATAAACCTGACTCTCGCGGTGCTGATTACTTGTACTTGCTGCTGGTTTTAAAAATGAAAGAATGGGCCTGAAATGAAACCCCTACTGTAAACCCTAAACCCCGAATTTTCGAAACCCCAAAACCCCCTAGTGTAGGAGCCTAAATGGCTTCAAACACATTCCCTGAGGTTCCTTCTGATAGCAATACTGTTTGGCTTAGGCTTTTTTCGGTTTAGGGCTTAGGGCTTAAGTCTGAGGGTTCAGGGCTTAGGGTTTATAGGCTTTAGGGTTTTAGGCTTAGGGATTAGGCTTTAGGGTTTAGGGCAAGTGTAGGGTGTAGAAAGGCTCTTGCATTATCTGCAGCCTGGTGGCATAGAGGCACATCACCTCTTGGTTCACCCCGGCCTCCAGCGAACATCGATTGAAGTCTTGAGCTTGGGGCCGGGAGTGGTATGCTGACCTCCGTCCGTCTTCAGTACGTATCTGATGCTAGTGCTGTTGCTGCAACTGCTCTACTACTACTACTACTACGACGACGACGACGACTACTACTACTACTACTGCTACTACTACTACTACTACTACTACTACTACTACTACTACCACTTCTTGTTCTACTTCTGCTGCAACCAAAAAACTACGACTACGACTGCAAATGGAAGGACAAGGCGACACTGTGCCCTGTTCTTCGGAAGGCTCGGGGTCAAGGAGTTCGGGCTCAGGGTTTGCTAGACCCAAGAGTAGCCTAGGAATAAAAAGGGTGCCCTTTTGGTTTAAAGGGGCTTATGAGGGAACCTGAACCCCAAAAAAGGGAATAAGCACGCTGGGTCCGAGTTTGAGATGCAGGAGTTTGAAGCCACAAATCTTGCGGTTTTTGGGCTTGTGCTGCCGGCCGATTGCCAAAGGCTCCCAAAAGGTCCTAGGTATCTATATGGGGGATACTTGCCCAAAGCGTAATCGTAATTCCTATTATCGAAGCCCTACATTCTACCATATAAGTACTTAAGACCCTTTGGGGCTGTCTGTTCTGGCTCCACGTTCACGTGATTATGTACGTTACGGGCTTGATAGCAAGGAACCCAAAGGCTCCATGTAATTTTATAGTAGATACTTAAGCCTTGAAGGGGTCCCTATATGGGTACTTCAAGGCCTAAGTATAGACTATATGGTCACATGGAGCCTTAGTGGAAAGATGGGTCTATTCGGTTTCAGTCATTCTCCGAGTTGTAGCCTTCGGTTTAGGGCTTAGGGTTTAGGGTTTAGGATTTAGGGTTTAGGGTTTAGGGCCTAGGGCTTAGGGTTTAGGATTTAGGGTTTAGGGTTTAGGGCCTAGGGCTTAGGGTTTAGGATTTAGGGTTTAGGGCTTAGGGCTTAGGGTTTAGGGTTTAGGGATTTAGGGTTTAGGGCTTAGAGCTTAGGGTTTAGGGTTTAGGGATTTAGGGATTTAGGTTTAGGGTTTAGGGTTTAGGGTTTAGGGCTTAGGGGTTAGGGTTTAGGGTTTAGGGTTTACCTGTTGATCCCCAACGCTCTCAACTGACCTAAGGGCAGCATAAGTACCCAAAGGCCCCAAAGTAGTTCCTTGTTGGGGTTCATATATAGAATCCTACAAGGTACTCCCAAAAAGGAACTACTTTGGGGCCTCTGGGTATGCTGTAAAATTTCTACGTTGCGTGCAAGATGCAGGTACACTTTTGCTTTGCACTGCACTCAAACCCAAGCCCCCCTGGAGGCTGAAGTGTAAAACAACCTTTCTTGGGATAGCCTATCGTATGGTTAGGAAGCTAATGTTACAAACTAAGAGTGAACAAAGCTACTTCAATTCCAGGTTCTTGGTATTCACCGCAGACCTTCATTTTGTATAGCCTATTCTAGAACCCAACTATAGTATCCTTCGAAGAGTACCCTATTCTTGACGCCTATATTTCAAGTGTATACTGTATATACCCCAGTATCGTACCCTAAACTCTAAACACTGTTCTAGAGCCCTGGTACAAACCCTCCACTCTCAAACCCTACCTAGAGTCTCCATTGTAGTTCCTTCTGTTGGTTTAACCAAATATATGATTAAGATCCTAGAAGGTAACCCCCAAAACGAACTACAATGGAGACTATGTAGAAGCCCAGAAGTTGGAAACCTCATAGCCTCAATCCTTAATAGTAATGTATGGGGAAACCCAGCACTATTTGGCCTTAATCCGGTGTCCAACTTCTTGGGGTTCCCTAAACCCTAAACCCTTGTAGGTCCCCTTATAGATCCCTATTACGGTGATTAAACGAACTACAATGGAGACTATACCCTAAGGGTCCATGTGCCTAAATAGTATATACATTGGCCTTAAAGTACTCGCTATATGGGTACATTGGGCCCAAAGTATATACTATTTGGGTACATGGACCCTTAGGGATAGGTAATCCCTTAAACCCTTGATTTTCCTCGCCGCCAGCCGCCGTCCGCAAGAGCCGGTTTCCCAATTCAAAAGTGGGCCCTACCGGCAAAGCGGTCCGCACGCTAGGCGTTTTTTCTGGCCCTGGAGAGAGCATGTAGTTGTAGGGTTTAGAGTTCAGGGCTTTAGGGTTTAGGGTCCGATTTTGAGGATTTCGGGTTCATAGGTCATGCACGATTTATATCGAACGGCCAGGTTTAAGGGCCATAAATGTCCGAGACAGGAACCTTAGAACGTCTTCAAATCGCGGCATGCATTCCGCGTACTCCAAACGCTGCAGCCGTAAACTCTGAACCCTAAACCCCATAAAAAGTCGTAACCTTGCACCCGAGGCCCGAAACCTGTATAACAAAAGAGATCTAAGCCTAAACCTTAAACTACCAAACCCTACTTTTTTGTAGGTTCTTATTATAAACCCTAAATGGAGTTTATAGGGACCCTACAAAAAGCAGGTTTTGGTAGGTTAAGGTACACCCAAAGCCCAAAGCCCCAACACCTGAAGCTCTCTGAAGGGCCTGGGAAAAGTGCCATGCAGCCCGGTCTCTTTGAGGTGTCGGGAAAGATCTGCCATCCTCTACATGATCCGTAGGTAGTATTATTAGGGAGACCCCTTAAAGGGTACCCCTTCTGAACCCTACTTCTGGCTCTCTTCAAAGGGGCCTTATTGAGAGGGTCTATGTCCCCAAGGGTCCCCTAATCGTAGACTCCCAATCCGAGGGGGCGAACCCTGTAGCAACTCGATTGAGTGAAGCGTTCTCAGTATATACGGTATAGAGTCTATGGGGAAGGGGGTCAGTGGGTTTTGAAACGGAAACTAAGGTTTCGATGGTCTCACTTGCTACGGATATGACTGCCATTTTGACTGCTGCGCCTCGACTCCTGTACCTGATTCTAGAACCGTGAAACTTGCCGTGTTGAGCAATTCCCGGCCCGTCTGGCTTCACCGTGGCTCTTGTTACCTCCTATCCTACGTATTATAAAGCTAAACGATCATGAGTCTTTTGGAGGCCAGAGGTTTTGGGGCAAGAATTGTGTCCTTTGCACTGAGTCCGTGCTTCAGGAGTAGTTCTGCTGCAGAGGACGAGGAAGTCGCTGAGGTAAAGGGCGCCCCCTTCGAGTGAGGCGCCCGGGGCTGCGGGAGCTCCGGAGGAAGAGCAAGCTGAGAGAGCCCCTGCCGGGGAGCAGGGTTCCACGGACACGGAGAACCCGGCTGCAACAAAAGGAGCCTGCTACTACTCCTGCAGAGACTTCTACTACTGCTGCGCCTGCTTCGGAGGAGGCTGCGCTTAGGGTTTAGGGTTTAGGGTATGATCCCGGAATAGTTTTGCAGGCATTCGGTAGTATACCAGTATCCTCCAAAATAGTCTAAATATTGAAGCCCTATGCATTGGGTATGCATGTGTTATTACAGTCTTTTCCTTTTCCTTTTGGATCTGTTACCAGAAGGCAGACCGTGCAAGCACCCAAGTGATTCACCCGGGCCCTGCCGGGCGAAACGGAAGGTGGAGTCATTAATATAGGGGCCTTAATAATTGGAATGGGGTTTTGGGGGATAGTATACTACGGTTGATGATATAAATCCTGCATCACCCATAATAAGGAATATACCATAATTCCCATAGTTTAGGGTCCTTAAGGTAATGCAGGATTTCTATGATCAACCGTATCATTACGATAAGGGACCACCAAATAGTATTGGTAATTATTGTTTTTGTTATTAAGGCCCCTATAGTAAACGCACCCAGGGGGTTCCGATGCACCGAGCTTGAGAGCAGTGGAAAGCAAAGGCCAGACGACAAAACTTGGCTGACTTTTGAACCCCTCCTAACAGTTACAACTTGTAGCGCCTCCTTATTACAGTTCACATAAAATCGCCAAAAAAGTTAAATCAAAGTCCTAAGAGCCAACCAGAAGAACACCAACGAAACCCTGCCAAAACATGGTACCAGATGCCACTGTAAACATCTTCATGTAATCGTTGCAGGGCAGTTTGGCTTCAATACCACCAGATTCATGACCTTCAAGAACCCCTAAACCCTAACCCTCAAAACCCTGAAGCCCTAAATCCTAAAAATACTAAAGCCCTAAATCTCCAAATTGAACACTCAAAACTCTGAAGCCATGAACCCTGAAATACTAAAGCTATACTGAACTTAGAACCCTAGCACAAATTATAATTTTAGCTGTTTCTTAGGGGTTATAATAACCAAAGATTAAAAATTATTTCTAAGTACCTCTAAGAAAGCCCTACATCTTCAAATTGTGCTCGGTTTCAGGTCGTTGGACCCCAAGGGTACCACGGGAGACGAGATCCCCTCGGCAACTATGAGCAGCTCTTCTCCACTACCAGTGGTCTTTTAAAAATGCACACTGTATTAAGCATAGTCTTTATGTCGTGTGATTATTACTCTTGAGATAATTACAAGTATATTTGTTATTGCTATCATTGCGATTCTGATTTTTTGCCACCGCGCAAGAGTGTGCTACTCCTGTACAATATGGTGCTGTCTGCACCGTATCTCTGAGTGTCACCTGCGTTTTGCAGGCTAAGCTGTACGTATCTAACAATAGCCGCTAAGCAAACGGCGGCAAACCTTCACGGGAACGACAGTCTGATAGTCACCTTGGAACGGTTGATGATAGAAATCCTGCATTACCTTAAGGACCCTAAACTATGGGAATTATGGTATATTCCTTATTATGGGTGATGCAGGATTTATATCATCAACCGAAGAAGAGGTCAAAGGGCCGAAGGCTCTGCACTTAGCCGGGAACATGGTGTTTCATTTTCATAACTGAACTTAGAACCCTAGCAAAAATCATAATTTTAGGGTTTAGGGTTTAGGGCTCTTAGGGATTAAATATATAACCAAAAATTAGAAAATATTTCTAAGTACCCCTAAGATAAGGGGACTCGTCAGGTTGCTGCTCTTAGTGCTGTACTACCACATGGACTCAGAG